CTAAAATCAAAGGGAAAATTGATTGGAGTTTAAAAATGAATTCTATTTATGCTTCAAGATAGAAATTTGTTCAACAAGACATTATTTAGCGCTTCTGTTAGTGATCTATCAAGATCGGAAGAACCCAAAAGGAACACTTCCAATTTGTTTTATCTCCTTTCGCTATGGAAAGACACATTTTATGAAGTTGCTGCTGCATTGTTTAGACATAAAAGCCCAGAAACCATCTCTTTTTGCCATTACTAGCTGGTGTTACAACACACTGCGGATACTTAAAGATACGTTGGTGCGCTGCATCAGCTGCACATGATAATGAAAACTTCTTGGGATCGGGCCGTAAGTGCTGACCTACTTAACAGGCCCCCGGGTGGGGCGAATGGCAAGGGGCGGGGCAGGGTGGCCGGAAGGGGGAAAACAGGCAAGAGGAAAAGCGAAGGAGAAATACACACCGTCTAAACAGAGTCAAAGATCGCAGATACACATATCCAGACACATTCCACTGGCAAATGCACAAACATTTCTCTCTTTTTCGATTTGATTGCCTTCTTGGGTAGCCGGGGGGTGGTTCTTGGGGGCGGGGGCGGGGGTGGTGGAGACCCAGTCTGGTGGAGTCTATTTTACAGCTGCTGACCCACTTTTCCCAAAGTCAAGACATTTTCTGTTGCTCTGGCTGTTGTTGTTCCTGTAGCATAGAACATTTCTTTCAATGCGCCCAACAGAAAACGCCGAAAAATTGAAAGTGAATTCTGGTGTTGGGCTGCTGCAGCCCCTCCACATTCCCTCCCACTGCCACCACCCACCTCACCTCCCCCTGCAAACAACTCAACAGTGCCGCGAAGCAAACAACAAACGGCACCAACAACAATTAACAACAATTTCAATTTTAAGGGAGTACCATACACAGAGAAAAACCTTGCATATTTTGAATTGTTTTTATAAAATAAACATATTTACAATAATTATAAAATTTAATTGCTTACAAATAATTTAAGTGCAAATTTTCTTTTCTGCTTAACAATTTATTGAATGATCACAATTCTGAAATGGTAAGTAGTGCATACACTTTGTTTTCAGTGCGTATATACTTCTTTATGACTTCAGGGCGCATATTTAGGTTTGTTTGTATTGTGTTGTTTGTATCTGTGTGCAGTGAAGGAAAAAATTTCGGAAAATTGGGTCAATTTGTTGTTGCTGCTCTGTTTTGGTCGGGCGTTCTGCTTGCAACAAGTGTCTGGCCCTTTGGCAGCAGTCGCCATCTCTTTCGCTCAACGGACGCAGGTCTTGCCCTAAGATAAGTAACCGCCCCGCCCCCTCACCCGCCCCCTAGCACCCCCTCCTTAGATTGATAAAGACGGCGACGCCAACGCGCAACTGAAAATAGAAGCGCGCGCAGCTTTCTTGGAAGACTTCGTCTCTTTTTCGACTTTTTTTCGAAAAGGGCGCCCCTTGTAAATTTTGACGCACCAACACACAGATACGCGTTGATTAGCCATGTGTGCGTGTGTTGGCGTTGAGATTATTTTCTAGCATTTTTTATATTTTTATTGTTGTTGCTGGGCTCTGTAAGAAAAGTAGGCCAATGGGTCTTTGGGTGAGTGGTTTAGATTTAGTTTTCTTTTGTCTCGCTCTTTTCCTCTAGCTTTCTTTTGATTTTTTGCTATTTATTGGATTGCCTTTTATTGAGGGAGTGTTCTACAAACTTTACGTATTTATATTTGCACCTGGCTGGAGATTCATTTAATATAATCGACTCTAAAAAGCATTCGATATAATATTCAATATTTAATATTTCATATTAATACATAATATAACATATTCTTGGTTATAAAGGATTGTAATTAAAGTCACTTCTTTTTATTGCTAGGAATGTTTTTGAACAAACCATTATATTTTGGCCCTTCTACTACTGTTTTCTTTCCCCTTTCGCTTGACATGTAAATGCCCAACTAGGCCCATAAATTGTTTTTATATTCCCTAAGGGTGGGCCACTTTTCCCAAAAGATACTTTTACTATGCGTAAAATTATTTCTTTTTAATGTCCGCCGGAGCTGGGTAATTGTTTCAAATGGCAGTGCCGACTGATTGGAGCGAGAGAAGGTAGGTAGATGGATAGCATTTCCACTCGACGAGTTGCGTAAGGAAAATATCGAAGGGAGGCTGGAATATCATTTTCGTCTGTGGGTCACTTTGGCCGAGCAATTTGTTTGATGGTTTACCATCTGGCCAGCGCCACAAAATGTCTCTATTTTGCGTGGTACGCTTGATTTATAACGGAAAATTCGTTTAGGCCAAACAAAACGTTAAACAATTTTTGTGGGCCACGTTAATAAGCGCAACATAACGAACATAATATCTTAACTTGGTCATCAGGCAGAGCAGACAGCCCAACAAAAGAAAAGGCATCTTTAAAGCAGCAACAGCAACAACAGCAGCAGCAGTCGGCTATTACATAACCCCCACACTCAGATACAGATACCGATACAAATGCAGATACAAGATACAACGAGAGTGAGGCTGAATCTCAGCCAGAGTTTCAGAGCTTCGGTTTGGGCCTGGGTTCGCTTTGCGTTTGCCTTTGAGTTTGAGTTTGAGTCTGGGTCCCAAGACTTAGACTCTGCGGCCAACATGGCGTCGTCGAAAAGAAAATAGTCGCTGTATTGTGGAAAGAAAACAACAAAGCGCGAAGAAAAAGAGGTGAGCGTCAGTAGATTGTTGTAGCTGCACTGAGAGAAAAGGTTTGCCCTATAGGTACTGATTTTGTGATCCCATAACCAAAAGATTCCTTTTGCAGTTGCTTTTATTATTGGTTCGATCATGCACATAAAAGTTCCCTGTTGTCCAAGAAAAGCCTGCACAATTTCTCCCTGTGCAACTGGATGCCCCATTGTTGTTGCGGCGGCTGTATTAGATAGCAAAAGCAAGTCGCAGTCGCAGTCGAAGTCGAAGTCGGCATAGAAAGTGAAACCACTGTGTTGGCCACACGATCGTCGTTGCCAGGCGAACGCAAACACAAAAGAGAGGGAACGAAGCCCGGCTCTAAGATATAAGCCAAACAACTAACTATTACTCAATCTGTGCTAAAAAGAAAAAATAAAGATAGATGGATAGATGTAAAGTTGGTCTCTCTCTCCCCCTCTCTCTCTCTCTACTCTCTCTCTCTTTCGCCGTGTTGGGGCATGAAAATAAAAATGAAGTAACCCACTTTTTCCGTTATGGCTTTTATAGTCGCTGCAGCTAACTCAGAGATGAGGAGCCGCGGAGGCACAACAATGCGAAGCGGACAAAGTGGAACTGGAGTGTGAAAGATGGATTGGATGACAACTGAATCGAGATGGATCGGGAGTCGGGATCTGCAGCTATTCACCTCAGAAACCGAAAGTGAAGCTTATCGATGCGATCCAATTTCTCAACTTTAATAACCATTAAAATTGTTCAGAGATTGACTAATTTATGTAACTAACTAGTTTGTACAGTAAATAAAGTATTCTAAATCACTTTCAAATTGTAAGTTGCACCACAAAAATAACCAAGCAAATCAGACTTAAATAATTTCCATTCATGATTACTATGATTGATATAGGTACATATTTCAATACCCCCTCCCTCACTCCCTAAAATCGCTTTACCTCCTAATTTAAGTCCTGTCAACGTTTCTACACACGCCTCTTTCATTGGGGCAATTAGCATTTATCAGCGCGTCGCACAGGTAGACAGGCAAAAATTGTGCTTGCCACCCCATCCGCTGGTTGCAGTTGCAAATTTATCGCATCTCGCGGCCGCCGCTCATAACTCATACGCCTCGTGGTCGCTTGGCGCTTAGTTTGGCAGTAATTGTGCGGCAATTTTCGGTCCCCTGCCAAAACGCAGATGCATCTGCATTCCCTTTTCCAATCAGCGGGGAGCAGGGGCCACTTTCACCGTAAGCAGCTTAGAACCCTTATCAAAGTCGAGCTTAAAATTGAGGTTTTCTGGTTTTCTGGTTTTCGGGGGTTTGCGGCTACCAAGCGACACCCACAAGCTCAAAGCAATTTCACTTTTCGGCTCGAGCTAGAGTGCATGCGCAATTAGCTTTCATCAATCAAAGTACTCAACAATGCAGCTAGACAAATTGGGCGCACGCAGCAGCAGTTGACCAAGATCCGTTTACAGATGGAAAGAAAGTACGGCCACCGCCTTGGGTTTTCGGACCAAAAGGGCTTAGCTCGAGCCCAAATGTCTGTAAGTGATTATCTGCCTCAGGTCGGCTGGCATGCGTTTTTATTTTACTTTTTTCGGTTTTTGGTTTTTGGCTTTTGTTTGGGCTTTCTCTGGCGCGTTAATTTGTCGGTTTCTCGAGTTGCATTAATTCTTTGCGCTCTGTCGTTTATAAATTTGCTTTTCGTTTCGGGTTTGTCTTACTGTCAAATTGTGTCAACACGGCCGCCTCGCGATTGTCTGGCGGGCCGACACTCCCTTTGTGCCCCCTGCTGTCCCAGCTGTCGCGCCTGGCAGCCCGAATGCATTGCCGTGTCTTATTTGTCCCCCAGAAGACAGCCCACAGCCCAGAAGAAAGGCCCTTCCCCCAGCCTCCTCGTGCGGCGCTTCTGTGCGTCTCTTTCTGGTCTTCTGATCTTCTGATCTTCGGCCCCCAACGGACCGCTTTTCTCGCCTAAATATGGCCGACATTTTATTAGACATTTTTTGGCAGGCCTTTTCACTTCACATATTGTTTTGGGCTAATTGCAGATTCGGGGTGATTTGTGAAAATTAAAAATTAACCAAGAGACTATAATAAAGTGGGCAAGGCCATTAGGTTTCTTAAAACCATTCTTGTTAAAAAGTAATTACCAAGAAAATTTATTTTACTGAAATATAAATGGTGTATGAAACCTCATCAATGGGAAACCATATAAAGATAAGCATTTTTTAATGGGAAAAGTTTAACCTAAGAACTGAAAAGTAATAAAAACGCATGACAAACAGTTTCTTTGTATATTGTAAATTTTATTTAATTTATTTAGATTTGCTTTACAGTTTTCTTTGTTGTTTGTGTATATTTAATTTACGATATATAAATTAAAATGAGAACATTGCGTTGGCCTTACAAATTAATAGCATTCATATCTTCTACGCTCTCAGAGCGAGTCCCACCAGCTGGCAGGATTCGCAGGATATTGGATATTGGTTACTTGGGGGCAGGGTTTCCTCGGGGCTTCGTGCAGGTAAAGCGGTTTCCCGATCCTCCGGGCGGTCGGCTTAACAACTAAAGATTTGCTAGTGTTTGTGTCTCAAGCAGGGGCTGGCCAGCGGGAGTGGGCGTGGCATTAAGCATAGAGCAAAGCCGCACACCAGAATAAAGAAATGTACAAATTTGAATTAGATGCGTATAAATAGGTTTCGATTTTCTGTTTTCGATTTTTGTATTTTACGTTTTCTCTCTTTCCTGCGTGTTATTTTTTTACATAAATATTTTTAACATTTTTCTTTGGCTTAACTTTATGATAAGATATAATGTATACGATTATGGTATAAAAATGTGCGAAATATATGTTACAGTCGTTAGAATTAAGTACAAAAATATGCTTTACAATGATAACAAGGGGGCTTGTTGGGGATCAGAAGAAAATGTACAAAGGAATGCCAGAGGTTTCGGCAGAAGAACTTTCAGATGGCTGCAAGCTTTCCTCGGTTGCAACCAGCTCGAGAGTTTCATAAGTAGAAGAAAATGGAGAGCGGGATAAATGGTCCTTACGAGCTACCCACACAGCGTTTTGAATCTTTGATTTAACAGAGTCTCTCACACACACACGCACTTGCGCACTTACACAGGCACTCGGGCACTCAGGCAGTCACACATACACTCGCATCCTTACATCCTGGCATATTGGTATCCCGGCTACAGCGAGTGGTCGTTGGTGTTGAGGAAGCTGCGGCACACGCGACTCACTTCGGGGTTCGCGTGGTTCATGAGCTGCATGTAGATCTGCTTGTGCAGCTGCAGCTCGTTGGTCATCTCGCTGAGCTGCCGGATGAGCGCGTCCTTCTCCTTGAGCAGGCTCTTCACCCGCTCCTCCACCTCCCGCGAGCGCACCTTGGCCTTCTCGCGGCTCTTCCGCACCGCGATGTTGTTCCGCTCGCGCCGCCGCCGGTACTCGTCGGTGCCCTTGTCCACGTGCTTGTTGCTGTGCTTGCGGTGCTGCTGCTGCTGCTGCTGCTGCTGCTGCGCGTGCAGCTTGCTGTGCTGCTTGAGCAGGTGCTGCGCCCCCGCGGCGGCCGCCAGGTGGGGCAGGTTGTGGTGCGCCAGGACGTTGGCCGTGGTCAGGTTGGTGAACTGCCCGCCTCCTCCGCCGCCGCTGCTGCTGCTGCCCGTGCTGCCGTTGCTCCCGTTGCTGCTGGGCGTGGAGCTGCCCCCGTTGAGCGGGTTGCCCGCCCCCGCCAGCCCGTTGGCCGCCGCCCCGTAGCCGTTGTACAGCCCCCCGCCGCCGCCCATGAAGGCCGCCTGCTGGTTGGCCGCCTCCTGCAGGTGCCGCCTGTACTCGGGGTCGATGGGCTCCTCCTTGATCGTGCTGGAGTCGGAGCCCACGGAGCTGTTCTCGTCGCTCGAGTTGTTGTAGGTGGCGTGCACGGGCTGGGGCATGTAGGCCAGCGCCCCGCCTCCCCCTCCGCCGCCGACGCCCCTGTTGCCGTAGCCGTGCTGGTTGCGCAGCGTCTGCTGCTGCAGGACCTTCGCCGCCGCCGAGACCATGCCACTGGGCGGCAAGGTGGCCGAGAGGCCGCCCGGACTGGTCACCATGTCGCTGAAGATGCCCAGGGTCTCCGTGTCGCGGAACTGGTCGTCGATCAGGTGCTGCAGGTCCAGCGTGATCTCCTGCGTGGTCAGCTCGTCCAGGTCCGTCTGCGTGGTGTACTGCTGCAGCATCTGCTTCTGCAACAGGTTGTTGTTGTTCCCCAGCGCGGCGACCTGTTGCATCTGGTGCATGGCGTGCTGCTTCACCAGGAGGGCCGCGTCCTGCGAAGTGTTGTTGTTCGCGTCGGTCGTCTGCTGCTGAGGTTGCTGCTGCTGCTGCTGTTGCTGCTGCTGCTGTTGCTGCTGTTGCTGCTGCTGTTGCTGCTGCTGCTGCTGCTGCTGCGCCGTGGACATGGCCGTCAGGGTGATCTGGCCAATGGTGGCTTGCTGCAGCGGAGGCTCCTTCTTGAGGTCCAGCTGGGCCAATGTCTGAACGGCATCGGCGTACATCTGCGGCGACTCCATGTTCAGCATTTTCAGTTGCGCGAAGGAGGGTAGAATCTTGATGCCTTGTAGAGCGTTAATTTTGGCTGCTTTTTCGTTATCGTTTCGGCTTAGTTCAGATTTTGGATTTCAACTTTGTTTTTATTTATTTTTGGGGGGCCTGAAGCATTGCACTGAGGTAAGAGGGTCTTTGGAAATGTTTGTTTATCCGCGACTTCAGAACGCGCCAAGCTTCATTTTAGGCTGCCTAAGTGGTCACTGCAGCCGAGCATTTTTGCTTGATTTCAGTTCTTGTTGTTGTTGTTGTTGGTGTTATTTGTGAACTTTTTATTTATTTGTTAACTGCACTTCTCCGGCCGCACGCGTTCGAACGACTGAAGTGCCGCAGCAGTGATGCAACAGATTTTATACGAGACGGCCCGACGCTGCTGCCTTCTGCTGGTGTGTATCTGTATCTGTGTCGGTGTGTGTGTGTGGTGGTGTTAGAAACGCTCCTGAAGAACCGTTAGCTGAGCGAGCTTTTCTTTGGGGCTTGCTTGTGGTTTCAAGCGAGGAGGAGAGCGCGCGTCCGCCGCCGACAAATGGTAAATTGTAACTGTGACAAAATGCGAACGCGGCAAAGTGAAAAAGTCTTTGGCGCAGCGACGCAGCCGAAGAAAAAGAAAATGAGCGGACAGCGCATGTAACACACACACACACAAACGAACACAGCGCGCACACACACACACACACTGGCGCAGTACCGCCTGGCCATTAAAGCCCCAAAAAGACGTCGACGGCGCCGTTACTGCGCTGCCTTTACAGCGACCGAAAAAGCCAGAGCAGAGGCAAAAGCAAAAGCACCAGCAAAAGCAAAAGCAAAAACAACAACAGAAGGCAGCGGCTAAAGCAACTACCTGTGGATGAGAGCGAGAGCCAAGATCAGGTAAAAAAGCAAGAGTTTTTCCCAATCACTTTTACTCTCGTCGCAAGGCAGTTCACTTGACAAGTTCTTGTTTTTACTGCCGCGGGCAAAAGCAAGAGTGCAAGCCATTAATCGAAAATAAGATGGATATTGGGGTTTTGGTAGTGGCGCTTATGGTAAATAGAAATAAATGGTTTAAGGGGAAACAATTTTTTAACAGTATGTAATTTAAAGTACATATAAATATATGCGATGGTTTGATTTTCACGCCTATGATTATTTTATTGAAAAGGGTAATAGAGATCTACAACCCGATAAGAAACAAGTTTTAGTAATTCATTTGAATATCTCCCACTTATGAAATAAATTTAAAAAATATTATTTTATACACAAGAATTATTTTATTTAAGAATATACAAATATTTGTTTCTGTGTTTGTATGTAAATGTGGCTAAATCTTTAGTTTAAGCTAGAATTGTTTACCACTTGTGAAGCTAAAATATGCAGTTGTGGATTTCATCAAAAAACTCAATGCACCGTTATTCGCTCGATCGCGTGACGTCACACAAAGGGAGACTAAAAAGCACGCACACTCGAAGAAACCAAGAAGCACACACACACATTAACAAGAGACAACGCCGACTGCGCAGCCAGCGTCTTTTTTTTTGGGGCTCTCGCTTTCATTTTCGTTTGCTTTTTGGGAGAAGCGGCAGCAAGAGCTGCTCACTCGTGTACCAACAAAAAAGCGAAGGAACAACAACACCACGCCCGCATAAACCGGCGATCCACCCCGTAACCCCCGACCCCCGACCCCCCAATTCGGGGCCTTGCCCACTCCGATTTGTGTTTGGACTCTTTTTCGCCTTAAAAATGGAGAAGTAAGGCGCAGAAGTGCAGTTGGCTTTCGGGGGACTTGGGTTTATTTTGGCGCGCATGCGTGACTTCGCAGTCGCAACGCATCAGAGAGCTTTCACGTAATACGAATACGCAGCGTTGTCTTATTTAAATTAAAGTCGTGTTATGAAATTCATAAAAATTAGCACGCCTCGTAGTTTTGTTTATTTAAATGCAGCGATTTGTAAAAGCTGTCTCTGTCACTGGCTCTCTTCGCTCACATTTTTACTCTCGCCTCCTGAGTTTTCGTGTCTTTAATTTGGGTCAAGTTGTCGTTTACTTTCCGAAGGTGCGCCTCTTTCTTCCCTCCTCTCCTCCCTTGCTCCTCTACTTATTTTTTTTCGCTGTGTATCTACCTTTTGTTTATTTGGATTTTATTAATCATACGCCCCGTGCGCAGTTGCACGATAAGAGGGTATTCCGATGTCGATGACAGGACAGCCTCTCTCCTTTCCGTTATCAGTCAAGTTATTGCAGCGGATTGGTTGTATCGTCGATATCGATGACTACATCGAAGATTGTGCAAAAGTTGTGCTTCCTTGTACGTCCACAAAAGATATATAATATAACATGCGAGTGTTTCAAAACGAACTCAACTGCACCCTTATTGTTCTTCGGGGATTGCATTATGGGGTGATATTACCCAAGAATCGGCCGATATCGATCAGGGTTTATCAGCTGGGAAGGCTGATGAAATCTGTCATTTAAATGAGGCAAGAAGATTTTTGTTTTTATCTTATCAATCCATTTATTGCGGAACTACTGGTCAGTAAACCAAAGAAAGCTACTGGTAAAATGTGGTCTTTCACCCGCGAGTAGAAAATGATTCCTCTGGAAGTATTTGATACACATTAACTTTAATCCATTTGAAAGTTTTCAGCTTAGTTATTATATTTTGTGTACACTTAGAGCCTAAATAGAAAGAGATCTATTTAAACACACTTTCGTTTTTTTTAACAACTCAAGTTGCCTTTATAGAATGAAATATTTTAAAAACTCGAAGGTGTTAACCCTGATAAGATTAGAGTATGCAAATTCCACCCGCCCCCAAACAATTTCCCTTTGTTTATGTCTTTACGCGAGCAAACATAGATGCATTAAGCCTGTTGATACTAAAATCAGTGAAAGTCTAGCCAAGACCAAATATAAAACACCTCCTTATCTGCTTGATCTATTTCAACCCTTTTCCAAGAGGTAAGTCGTGGGAGTATTTACACGCCAGTCGAAAACGACCACGCGCAAAGTGCCCAAGAGTTGTATTTATATATTATATTTTGGCAAACGACTGATAAGACGGCCAAAAGCCGCGAACGCGAATGCGAATGCGCGTAAACAAAACAAATACGATTCACCACTCGAGTGGCGTTCGTTGCACTCCGCAGAAAGAGTTGTCTGACAGAGGCGAAAAATCAGACAGCAATTGTGTTTATAAACACGATCATAATTGGGAGTCTTGGCCACTGATTTCTAGGCAGCGTTTTTGGCTTTTGTTTTGCTTCGCGATTTGCTGTCACCTTATCTCGGTGACGCGTTACCGATTCTGCACTTCCTTAAATTTGAACCCCATCGCAATGAACTCGAGTCGATGGGCTGGATGACTGGCTCGATTTATTCTCACGGCCCTGTTAACGGGGAGCACTTTTCTAAGCACCAGGCAGCGAAAACTTTTCGCCGAAGAGCCGGCCAGCCACTTTCATTGGCGAATCGCCTTGCATCAGCACTAAATATTATTAATTTCTGTAGTCATCAGCACAAGGTGAACAGGGAGCGGGCTCGCTTTCTGTGGAAGTAGAGTCTGAAAGCCAGAAAGCCAGAAAGCGAAGTGAAGCACAGCCAGAGCCAAAGAACGAGAATCCCCTTTAGGAAAAGAGTTTGGGGTCGTCGAACTGGCTGCATTCTAAATGGTGTTAAGTACACTGCAATTAGGTGGAAATGGTCGGGGTTTTCGCTAATTGGGGCTTGGGGAAATATATTTGGAGATCCAGATGTGAGACGATGAGTCAATGGGAAGCAATATTAATAAATTAAACAATCTTTAAGCTTTGAGTTCCATTTAAGTAGAACATATAATAACATTCAATGTGTTCATATTAAAAAGAGTACTTTGTGTTGCTTTTGTTGAATGATTATTTGCATAGTTTTAAAATGTGGTTTTCAATTTATTCAACACAATATATATTTTAATATTAACAAAGTAAACTACGATTTGTATGATTTAAAGTAAGTTTGGCGCGCAATGTAAAATCGATAGTTTTATAAACTGCTTGCTTTGCTCAAGCAGTTCGATAAGCTCTCTGGCGCCCTCTATATCTGCGATTCCATGCTCAAAAGCAGTCATCTGCTTGTTTAATGGCGCCAAATAAAAGTTCAATTTAAAATGCTTATAATTTTAAAGGCTCAAGTTTGATTTAGATTCCATGGAATAAACTTATCTTATTTTGTTTCACGTATTTCCTAAAAATGTAAAACAATGTTTCTTTTTGATAAGTAAGGCTAAGCTAAGTATTTTATTTTTGTCATGTGAAAACTCATCCATAGCTTTTCCTCCTTGAGTCCTATTGCAGCCCCACCCACCCCAAAAATACCTCGAAAGGCGAAAGAGGAGAGCCCACAACTCATCCTAACTACCTTTGGCATGCGATCGATGGCCCGACGACAAACGCATTGATTGAAATAGTTTATTTGCAGGCCAGCAGTCCCTTGCTCCCTGGATTCGCGACTGTCTTGGCCTTTTTGTGTGCTTTCCTCATATTATTTGTGATGTTGGCAGAGCGCAGAGATAATGATGACGAGCTGCCAGCCAGCAGAGGCCAGCGAGGTCCAGCGAGGACCAGAGGAGCTGGTCCACCCTCTCCGCAGATTTTTGAGGGGATCGAGGATCGGGGATCGAAGTACGGGAATCGGGGGGATATAGTGGCCTGGCCACGACTGATTGGGATGCCTGGTGAAGCGACGTGCGCAGAATTGACATTTTGTGTGTGCATTTGTGCACAGTGGGCGCGATAAGGTCGCACAGTCCGCTTCCACGGCAATCGGCAATCCGCAATCCGCTGCTCTGGTTTCCAGGCAAAAGTGCACGGGCACAAATTAAAAATGCCCCACAATTGGCCGAGAGATCGGATCGAGATCGATCGACAGCTCTGCAGTGCCAGTGGAATTTTCATATGAGCGCTTGATTTCAGCAAAATTACATACTTGTAATTTTAAAATGCTGCCGAGTGCCGAGAGAGTTGGGAAGCAGCAGCCAGTAGCCAGCAAAAAACGCGCGGAATCGCAGAGTCCAGGAATTTTAACCCCAAGTCGCAGTGGCAGTCTGAACCTCGTTCTGAATCCGAGTCTCCATCGCAGTCGCAGTCGCAGTCGTTGTCTTCCAACTGATCACTTACGCACATTTTATCACAGCCAAGCTGGAGACATCGCTCAGTGGCCTCCTCCTCCTCCAACTCCTTCGCCTGGTCGAGTCCCCCAGTCCCCCGACTCTTCCATCAGCGCAGCTTGACAATAAGTGGACCCCAGTCAGGCGAGGAGATCCAATCGAATGATGGGTACCTAAAAGTAACCATACCATTTATTAAGGAATATATTAAATGGCATTGATTTATTCGATTTGTTCACTATGCTAAAATTATATAAATCAATAGGTGAATAGGTACGCTATCATTTACTTTAGAAATTATTTACTTAGAAATAAGTTCTCTATTTATTTCAAGCCCAATCTACCCAGCACACCGCTTAGTTAGCGGGTAGGAAAAAATAAGTTACCGTTCTACGCGCTGAAATTTGTTGTGCCGTCCGACGATCCGACGGATCCGCAGATCCGCAGATCCCAAGCTGCTCTCCTCTGCTGTTTTCTGCTGATTTCTGCCGTTTTCCTCCGCTGACGGCTTTCTGCGACTTCTGTCTGCTGCGACGATCCTCTTGTCTGCCATGATTGTTGTTCCTGTTGTTGCCATTGGCCAGGGCAAGAAACAAACTATAGATCGCTGGCAATCGATCAAGTATTTCGCGTACATTATCCGAGATGCGTGGGATAATTCTGTTCTAATTTGTAGAGGCCCCGAGTCCGAGTGCCCCGTTCCCGACTAAACTTGACTGCGAGCCGGGCCAAAAAGCACTTCCACGCCTCGGCAAGCCACTTCCATGCGAAGCACGCACCAATCCCCGCCTGCCTCTGACTTTCATAATTAAATATTGAGTGGATTGAAGTGCGCGGAAGGCGAGGAAGTTAGAACGGGGAAAGAGGAAGCTCCCGAACTTCCTGCACTTGTCGACGAAGAGTGGCCCTTGAATGCAAATGAGATTGCCGGACTGCCGGACTGCCGGTAATCAGGTGAAACGGTCACGACCTGTTAATCGTTTTATGATTGTAGCGGTGCTTTTGTTTCCTGTGACGGAACGGTACTTGCCCTGCGGCTCAAAAGAAAACCAAAGCCGAAACCCAAATCTGAACCTGAACCTTAAAGCCCGAAGAAGCAGAGAACCCAAAACCCCAAGTGATGTCTGCTTTTCCTTTTGTTTTCGCCCAGGGAGCGGCAATTTTATTTAAATTGTAACACAAACGGCCAGACAATTGCCCCGAAACCTCGAAAAACCCCGGGAACGAGAGCCCAGTCCTGATTTCGATTCCGATTCCGATCCCGAGCCCAATCCTTATGCGTTATTCATGAGGCAAGAAACATTGCGATCGCCTGTACCAATTGCCAATTGGTTCGACTTTTGAGCCGGCTCTTACCTCTTGGCTCTTAGCTTTTGGCTCTTGACTGAGGCTGAGGCTGAGGCTCCTCGGCGTTGGCGGCTTTCGTCAATCTGTGGCTTAGTGCGGCGGAGTTGGCTTCGCTGGTTAAGTGGTTCATTGTCACCCCAGCGCCCAATTAGACACCTGAGTTTTTGGTGATGCATGCCACATGTGCCCCGTTCTCGTTCGCGTATTCAATCAGATATATGTATGTATTCATTGGCCCGATCTCGGATCGCGTCTCTATAAGGAGTGCGACTGGGTGCCCGAGTGTGTAAATCAAGCGGGCTTGAGGATAATAGAATTTGATTTTTAAATAATGCCTGGGGAATTGTTTGCCGTGCTTTTCGGTACACAACATTTGCTTTACTCTTTGAGAGAATTACTAGGATGCTATAACTTCTTTATGAAAAGTTTGATTCACCTATTAAGAGCATAAGAGACATGAATACAATTTATTTGTAATTATGACTTTAATCTTTATAACAAAGTCTAAGTCAACATCTTTCTCCTCTGAGTCCCCAGCAAATCTCACACCATATTACAAATTCCAACACCTCATCTTGCAGATTTACTTTCATGATTCTAAAAAAGAGGCCAAAAAGAAATTTACATATTTCGACTATTTAAAACACTTTGGCTTTGGCTTAAGGCAAATGCCCAAGAAGCGCTATAAATAGTCAAAAAGTCTATATATAAAAGCACACATACGAGTATCTGGCTGGCTGCATGGGCCAAACCAAAACCAAAACAGCAAATCAAAAGTTGTTCGAGATCGTAAATGGAACAAACCGTTCCTCCGAGTTAAAAATATATTCGGGAGCACACCTATACAGTGCCCAGATGATCCGAGCACCGTTTTGAAGGTGGATTCCGTAAAGGAGGATTACGTAATGCGGAATCCAGGAACAGGAGCAGGAGCAGGAGCAGCGCTCCATCGCTGAAATGTCCGCACGTAGAACGGCGAGCGAAGGCTGGCAAATAATTAAGTATTAGAAATGTTCGCCGAGGAGAATTCCTCGGAAAGCGATTGGCAAAAAGCACAGCATGTTGCAGTTGCAGTTGCAGTTGTTCCCAGCTGAGCCAGGAGGCTTCTGGCCAAGAGTTCCCGGCCAGACAGGCTGACGTTCGCCTAGAAAGACAGCCGCACTGGAGCCAGCCAACTGCTCCTCCTCCTCCTCCTCCTCCTCCGCCGGGAGAAAGGGGCGGAGAAAGACCGAAGACTGCAGACTGCAGACTGCAGCCTGCAGCCAACTAACCAATTAGTAAGCGCTGCACAGAACGCGTCTACAATTGTGAGAACCTTAGACCAGGCCAACGAGCCAGCGAGTCGGGCCGTGTGAGTATGATGAAATGTCAGCAGGACCAGGAGCTCCATCGCCATGCACTGCGAAAGATCACTAAGGGGTGTTCTTAAAAATGTAATTTATTTTAATTCTCAATATACAGTAAAGATATTTCGTATATGATACTTACTACCTGAAAGAACAATTTAAATTTAATTTAATTATTTATTTGAACAACCAGAATGATATCTAAATGTATCCATATACAATATTCATCCTAGAACAATACAACTTTTTGATAACTAAAAACCACTGCTCTAGGAACTATACTCCCTTACATTCCCAGAATGAGTACCCAGTTTCTCTCAGTGAATCGAAGGCAGATGAACCCGCGATCGGGTGCCCGCTGCGTGGATCGATCCTTATATGATCCGATGCCAGCGGCAAACGTTCTATTTTGACAGTCATTATGATTAATTTAAATCATTAGGCAGCCCGGGCAGGTAGACAAACCATCGCGAGTTCCTATATTTCATTCTAATTAAATGCAGGAGGAGCCTCCCCGCGACATGGGACACTGGTTGGAGCTGCAGCTGGAGCTGGAGCTGGAGCTGGGGTCCTGCTCCTGGAAGCAGAGGCTGTGGATCCAAGCCGCAAGCTGCAAGCTGGCTTATTCGCGGAAGAGACAAGCTGGCGACAACGACACCGATGGCTGCAAAAGGCAACGATGACCATTTCCAGCCGGGGGAATGCATCTGGCGGGGATCGCGGGACGAAGGAGGAGGAGAGTGTATCGATTTATCTGGGCTCGCTATATAGTAGATCGGCTGCTATCTGTTAGTCACTGCACGTGGCCATGCCCACTGTTCGGCCCCACTGTTCCGCCCCCTCTCCCCCTCCCCCGGCAGATTTTCTTGCGAACCTCTATTTAAGGACATGGCGAAATACTCGTGCTCCTGTGTACAAGTGGGCCCACCACGCAAATCCTCTAGAGCATTCTGACCATATTGGCCGGCCTGAAAAATTCCTGGCATAGTTTAAGTGTATCGCTTCTTGTTGTTGCTGCTGCCATGGGGACCTGCAGTGGCCAGAAATGCCGGAGAGAGGCTGTGGGCTCTCGAATCGATATTGCAACACAGCAAATTAACCAAATTCACGGAGGCTGATAAGCGATAAAATGGCGTACGGGGTAATTACAAAACTCAATCACGCAGTTTCCAGGGGGAGGAGCCAAGAGTACTCCGCACCACGGGCATTTGTTCCCCCGAAATCCTCGATCTATGCGCATGCGCAGCGAATGAGTATGCATACGGGGGCGTGGCCATCTAATTAATTAAGCCATAAAGCCCAGCCGCCTCTGCAAAATGAAAGACGGCGGCACAAAAAACAAATAAATAAACTGGGTTTTTATGTACATAGTGCTCTTTCCTGCGATCGAAGAGAGCCGCGGATCTCTTTCGGGAAGAGAGAACCGGTTTGTCCAAGTTTGGAACCGAATCGTCCCTCGTCGTTGAAAACATGGTAGAATCGATCGGGTTATGTCCGTTAACGTTCAGAGCAAACGATTTATTTTCTGAAAGTTAACCCTTGAGTTAAAAAAAAATTATTTTGTGCAGGTATGTTAGCTCTAAATTCTTTAGCAAACCAAATTTTATGAGAGTATATTCTGCGGTGCAGCCTTGAATAAATTTCTAAAATTTAAAAACGAATTCTCCTCCTTGTTATATGACTTGCTGTTTCAATCCCCATGCCACGCAATAGGTTTAAACAAAACTTTGTATTGCTGTTTTCTTCGCACTCACTGGAAAACACCCTTGCACTCACACTCATTGTAGGCATTGTAGACGGACTGACGAATCCGACGAGACTACCTCAGGCCATATTATACCTTATACCATGGGTGGAAATACATACGCCTAAGTTTATTTTATTAGGTATTTGCACGCCATCTGAAGCACAACGCCAGCCGTCGATCGCAAGTTTCGTATTTGGAAAGAACCACAATAAAATCGCCACAAATAAAGTTAACAGTCCAAACAAGTGCCTAGCGACAAATAAGCAACTAAATGCAACGCATAAGGAACAAGCAGAAACACAAATATTTTCCATAACTGCACGAAGTCAAAACAATTTAAAAAAGGATTTTTTTTAAAAGACTACAGTTAAAACAACAAAAGCGGAAATTAGCAAGCGATATCAATCCGGAGCGAAACTTAAGCGGACGACTTCAAAACTTTTGATAAATTGATACAACTCACAAGCCATAAAAAACAACATAAAGGGAAGGAAGCAACTGGATGAAGGATAAAAATAAAAAACTTAAAAGAAAATCAACTTTAAATGAAAGAAATCAAACTTACTTAAATTCAACTACAAAAAGTCTTCGGCGCGCGAAAACCCTATTAAATGACCAATAGACTCTACAAAAGCCAAACTACATCGGGAAGGATAGAGTAAATCAGGAAGCCACTAAATCGCTTATCCCAGAACAAAAAAAATTAAACTCAATAAAGGATTAAAACCAACAAAATAACAAGCTGCAAGCAAGCATTAAATTACACTAAAACAAAAGCCATAAAGAAACTAGAAGCCATACTACAAGAATATAAAAGCTTAAAATAAATTCAAATACAAAACAAACAAGAACTTTAATCTCAGCCACACAAAATTCGAACTCGCGCGCCCTGCCCCTCCACTTTGCAACACTTAGCCGCTGTATCCCTGGCTTTCCGCCGCATTCCAACACTGCAGGACTGTCAGCTGTCAACTTCCTTGAGAGTGTGTGTGCGTGCGTGTGTGTTGCAAAACGTCGGCGTTGCACTTAAAAATTCGCGTTTCTGGCCAGAAAACCCGGGTTGTTAACAAACTAAACGGATTTTCTGGGCCCCAAAACATAGCCCCCAGGCAACCGGGCAAGGAAAACCGCCCGCAAAACGCGCTCGCCAGGGAAAACGCGCGCGTTGTGTGTTTTTGTGTGTGGTTTTATTTTTGGAATATAGAAAGAGCGACGAGATCTGAACAGAAAAAAAAAAAAAGTGTGCCGCGGCCGGATTTTCAGAGGCCCCTCGTGAAAATAACGCCAAGCAATAATAGACGCGCGCGGTGCCTTGGATTTTTACGGCTCCACGGTGGAGAACTTTTACCTCAGAATGGATCCTACGCGGGGCGACTCGCGCTACAACCTGAACTACTCGATGAGTAGTATCGGGTTGAGTCTGACCGATCCGGCGGATATGTACGGCAGTCCCGCCCTGGGGGCGGGCGGTCGGCCCCCGTCGGGGGGCTTGCTGCAGAACATGGGCGGCGGAGTGCCGCCCATGCAGCGGCCCACGGGCGGAGCGCCTCCCGCAACCCAGTGCCAAACGCTCCACAGTCCACAACACGCCTCCCAGCAGCAACAACAGCAGCAGCAGCAGCAACAACATCAGCAGCAACAGCAGCAGCAGCAACACCCCCAGCAACAGCAGCAGCAGAGGGGCCTGAAACGTTCCGGCAGCGACTGCTACGAGGATCACCACCGGTCCTCCGGAGGACTCACGCTCCAAGGACTGGACAACGTGGCCACCAATGCAGTCGACGACTCGGTGGACAACTACAATCCGCTGCCCAATAAGAAATCGCCGCCCGCCAATGGGAAGAAGACAAAGGGACGTGTCAAAATCAAAATGGAATACATCGACAACAAGCTGCGTCGCTACACGACCTTCTCCAAACGCAAAACGGGCATCATGAAGAAGGTGAGACCGAGATCGGGGTAATACCCGAAAGCTAATCCCCGTAAACTTAGTTGCCAACCGATCCCGACCACGATTGCTCCCTGCAATTGGGATGTTGACATTTCGGCCACGTTTCCAGCGCATGTGCAATTAATAAATGCTTCGGGGACTCAGTCGCACAGTCGTTTAGTTCGCCAAGAAATTGGCATTGTTCTGACTCTCTCTATAGGAAGAGCGTGGAGTTATCGGCATCTGGCCATCGGCACAGTGGTAGGGATTAGGGAAGGTGAACAATTTGGGTAACCACGTAGATTATTTTAGATTATACTCCTAGACAAAGTTAAAGTCTAAAAGGGGTAAACTTTTATCACAGATTCTTAACAATCACAATTTAGACAGAATGATGGGTTTGTAAGAATTAAAGCTTAAATATTATTAAAGCAGACAAAGATCTTATTCAAAACATATTTTACAATTTGGAGTTTTAATTTATAAAAGTAAATTCTTTTGATCTTAACCACTGTGTACGCGAACTTCCCTTGCTCTTAAAAGAACAGTAGCCGGAGATCCTCTTGTTTTGGCCAGATCGCGTCTGTTTGAGCCGACTGTTCGGTCGCTTTGGCGGCGTTGTGTAAGCGCGGTAGCCCACGATTCCGCGTTTCCCTTTGTTTTCGGCTTCATAAAATGTTAATTTGCCGCCGCAATTGCATTCAAAGGAGGCTGCCCACCAGTTGCTGCCCACAGTCCTCTGCTCCTCCCCCAAAACAATTGATGCGTGCTCCTCGCGGATTCCGGCCCACTCCTTGCAGCGTGGCCAATGCCTTGGCATTTTCAAATGACCAATTTTCACACGCAAACTTACATAATGCCGCTGCATTTTGCTCCTGCTGCTTTCCATCGATCTGGGGGCCGCATATGAAATTTTTCACATTTTTTAAATAGACTCTTTGGCCGCTTGGCCGAACCCCCGATCAAAATCGGACAAAAAGCTTCAACATCGCGGCGCTAAATCACGATCTCAGCACGATCTTTGCCAAGACACAAAATCTTATGAAATATTTGACCCAGGCGACCAAAGAAACAAAAACGTAGGAGCTCTAAAACCACAAAGGTGAATATATTGTCAGTCCGAAGTTTAAAGTACTCTAATTAAAAATACAGAAAATAGAATTCAAAGAAGTGAATTTTAATTATTGATTTTGCATTCTGTCGATATTTTTAGAACCTCTTTAGTTAAGTAAAAGTATGTGAGTTGGGTGCTATTAACCAAACACTTTGACACTTTTTCAAGGGTTATTTGATCCCAAGGAGATATTACCTCGTCAGTTAGGGTATCCGCAATACTTGACCCCTGGGACGTGGGCTCTGCCAGCTTGAGATTGTGGTTCTCGGGGGCCGAACTTATGACAGGCGCACGCCCGGGACAAGGGACCGCTTCTAAATGCGTCCCAAAAAATATCGATTTGGTGACTTTGATGCGGTCCCTCATCGATGTCCAGCCGGCGGACAGTTGACAGGCAGACAATGGGATTCGGGACTTGGCGCTACCGGGCAATCGCAGCAAAAAGCGCTGAGGAGGGCGATCTGCGATCCGAAATACGCCATCCCTACCAAGCGAACAAATTGCGGCCAATGAACTTGGCCCAGAGAGTTGTCGCGGCAACCTGTTGGCATGCTTTCCTCTGGCCAATTTTGGTCATTTCGATCTGGCCAAGAGCCGAGCTCCGAGGCGTGGGTGGGCGGTGGTAGTGAGGCCAAAAAAGGCCACAAAAGTGAAAAGTGAGCTAATGTCCAGAAGTGATCTCATTTGGCCGGGTGAGCCCAATTGCGTGGGCCGCATTATCGGATCGATTTGAGCTTTCGCTTCTGCATAATGCACGGCGAACAAGCCGTCGACAAGTTCCCAGCCAACAATTGGCAATGGCCAAAAGGGCACACAGGCGCAAAATGCCGCCAAAAGGTGTTAAATTGAAATCACGAGGCTTTGGCTTTGGCTTGGGAATTGTTTTCGGTGGCCCAGAAGCACGGAAGCCCCGGCTTCAGTCGCAGCTTCAGCCTCAGCCTCGTCGGCAGATTGTGGCCAGATAAGCCGCAGAAAGCCGGGCCAAGAGGCTCCGCGGCGGCTCGCCTTTTGGCCACATGCAACAGGCTGAACACAACACACGGGGCACAGGCGAACACTCGGGGCAAAACAGGCAACAATCGGCTTCTAACAAATGACTCTCCATCTGGACCGCGGTCTCTGGGGCTGCCTTCTTGTCCTGTCAACGCTTCCGAGCCCCAATCGTGTCCTTTTGTCTTTGTTCGAAATTCAAATTGACATGAATTGTTGGCCTGTTTGGGTCCAGGGTTCCTCGGCTCTTCAGCTCCTGGGTTCCTGGGTTCCTGAGCACCTAGGCACACAATCGACACCTACTCGGAATCAGAAACAGAATCGGAGTGAGAATAAGAATCGAAATCGAATCCGATTCAGATTCCGCTTTCGGACCGTGTCAATTGTTTGCATTTACACATGTTACACATAAAATTGGCAGCCAATCGATGTGTTAAGGGGTCGGGGTAACCCAATCCAAACCAATCCAATCCAGTACGATCGGATGCGATGCGATCCCCAATCGCAATCCCCACAGCCCAGGCTCGCCAACAATGTGTACAACAATTTCATTAATATTAATAAATGTTCCCGGAGCGTTTGCTTCTTGGTCCGCCAGTTATTTATGCGCAGTGCTTTCCGACTCGCCGCGGCAGAAGAGGCGGCGGGAAAAGCAGCAAAAACTGTTTTGCCCGCCAGACCGACAGCGACTTTATCGCTTTTAAAGTAATTACGAGCTGTTGATAGGCAGCTTAGGCTACCGTCTAATGTGCAGAAACACGGCTTGCGGCCCGGGGAGGTGTTATCGAGCACGGAGCCCCAATCGCGATGGTTGCGTGACTTCGGGTCTTGCGTGGGCGTTTCGAGAGGAAGGGACTCACTGATTTGCCTGGCGACGGCCACTCGGAATGGGTTTGCCCAGATCTTGGGTTTGCTTGGGCTTATAGAAGATTAAGGTTTCTTTACAAAAACACAGCTAGACACCTCAATTGATACGGGCTGATAAGCAATTAAAAGTAGGCCAAAAAGGAGTGTTTCGAAGTTTGATTTCGTGTTAACTATTACTTGCAATAAAAAAAGTATTAGATGGATTTTACAATTTATTAAGATGGGTATTATTGATTATTTTTAATCAAACCTGTGGTGGATTCCTCCTTTAAAGATCTGTATTGATTGCTATTTAACTAAAATATCCCTATTTGAAATCACGTTGCCATCTCTGGTAACCTAAGTCCGCCGCGTTAGCGCTTCTTATCGCTGCAACATAATCGCATAGTTTGGTGGGGAAATTTATGTGCCGCTCGGGCAACACACGCTTCGCCAGACAACCGATACCGAATTCGATACCATCGAGTACTTAACACGATCCTCTGCTCTCCTCCTTGCAGGCATACGAGCTGTCGACGCTGACCGGAACGCAGGTGATGCTGCTGGTGGCCAGCGAAACGGGCCACGTGTACACATTTGCCACGCGCAAGCTCCAGCCGATGATCACCTCGGAGGCGGGAAAGCAGCTCATCCAGACCTGCCTCAACTCGCCGGACCCGCCGAGCGTCGGCGGCGGCGACCAGCGGATGTCGGCCACCGGGTTCGAGGAGACGGAGCTCAGCTACAACATCGCCGACGAGGACTCGAAAGTAAGACAATTGATATACGGCCACCACGGGCACGCTCACCTCGGTCACCCGCCGGCGCCGCCCTCGCACTACAGCCTCGAGCAGAGTCTGATGCAGTCGGGCTACAGCGGCGGCCAGGCCTCGCCGCTCTCGCACGCCCAGTACGGCGGCCACGGGCACCACGCCCACGTGCCGCACGTGCCGCCGCCGCACTCGACGCACTCGCACATGACCCACACGCATGCGCAGCGCTAGGAGCTCTGGTCGGGATTCCCTAGGCAATGTCTGGCACTTGGTTGCCGCGGAGAGAGCGTCGGAGGTGGAAGTACTCGTTGCCAGTTCCTTGGCTCTTACTGGGCTCACGGGGTCCTACTGCTCGGAGGATCTGGCCCCCTGGTTTTTCCTTTCACAGAATTACATGATTAAATATTTAAATTCGAAATCCTTTTTCATTTAAACGCACAATTATTTTCCATATTGGCTAATAATCCCTAAAAAAAAATTTCAAACTAAATAACACTTTAATGTTTGGCAAACCTTATTTAGAAATATTCAGGAATTTCTAACAACTTCAAATCAAAGTCCCTTAAAAATGTATACAAACTCAGAAAAAAATATGATATTATTTTAACAACCCCCAAAACCTTCTGTGAAAGTAAAAACCAGCCAGTTTACCAAGCTCCAAAGGCCTCACGAGTGCGATAGGATGTCTTGTCCCCAACAAATTTTTCACTACCTTATTGGCTAAACAATCTGCACTACCAAAACACCACGCCTCGACGTTTTCCCGCAGAGAAACCAAGCCAGCTTAGTTAGACAGCAGTTTATATGTTTAGCAGATCCAAAGTGCAGCAAATGGCTTGATCGAACTGCGATACTCGTATCTCGTGCTTCGTATTTCGGATCCATGGCCAATTCGATCTCGCCGCTCGTTTTGTTCTTGTTTACCGCAGTGTTTGTGTTTTATTAATGTGTAATTTACATTTTTTACATTTTGTATACTAGTCAAGACTCTTACTGAAAGGCGACTGTGCCATAGCAAAGCTACAGCTCCTCCCAAGTACATCCCATAGCAATAGATCAATTGTCGCGTCCAGCTGCAGCTTCTAACCCAGTGCCATTCAACCGAACCACTAGAGACACAACGAGACACAGCCGAGACTGCTTTAGATAGTCCTTTAAGCCATAAGTGCAATACCGTACATAACTAGAAGAAAAAGGAAAAGGAAAAGGGAAGGGGGAAGGGAAAGTCGCTAGAGGAGGAAACTTTCCGCAAAGATTTGCTGTACAGAGTCTAAAAGGGTAAACAGCTCCAGTGCGTTTACGATGCTTAGTTAGCAAGTTTGATAGCAAATATAAATACAATGTCGAATGCGCCGGCGGCCGTTTTCCTGAGTGTGAGAGAGTGAATGCGTGTGTGATGAGCGTGCTCCGTAAGTTTAAGCGTGTTTTCCAGATTCGTCTAGCTTAATGTCATCAGTAGTATTTACCGCCCCTTAGTTATGTTTATTTGATTGATCCAATTGGCTTTTATTGACACCTACTAATTGGAATGTTGCATGACGAATTGCTCAAAAGGATCATCTGGCTAGATTCCCTAGCCAGACTATCTGCTCCGAATTAATCCGTGCAACAGAACCGCTTTGTACCGCCTTTGAGCTGTTTGCTTGACTCGCTCTTTCTACTAATATTTATTGTACATTTAAACTTAAATACCAAATTAAAAACAGCTCAAAGCAAGTTCTCTCACAGCAAAAGCAATTTAAACTTAATTTATTCACTTATGTTTACTGCGTTAAAGAAAATACTCAAGAAACACACATAATTTAATTACCGAACATACCGAACGTTTCTGTCAAACAGAAAGCCGAGTAATTTCTTTAATACTAGTTAAATTTACTATTTAATAGATCGTGCAATGCGCCCAAGCAGAACAAAAGACGTAAATCGAATAACCCTAAAGCAATTTACCGAATAAGCCATCAAAATATGTTTAAAAAACGAACCACAAAATAGTATCTATACGAATGAGACATAAATATATGCATATATATAATATTATTTAGCGCAATATTATAAATAATAAACATAAATCGAAAAAACAACGGATGCAGCGTAATGTAAAAGTGAACCCAAACCCAAACCCAAACACACTTCCAGCTGTTTCAAGAGCAAGGTTAAGAGCACCGCGATAAGCCCGAACCCAAAGTTTATACATAGTTTCTAGTTTCTAGCCTACACACGGTCGGTCTCCAATAATCCCAAGCTGGCGAGTGGGCCGCGCTCCTCGGCTCTCCATGAATGAATTTGTGTTTTTTTCGAGCACATATGTTTCTGTTTTCCTTTCGATGTTGCAAAGAGCTTCCGCTTCTCCCATGGAGACCCCGATCAAATGAAATGTTTTCGGCTGCGGGGGCTTCAGCCGTTGCTTGTGACGTCATGACAACAATGCCCGCGACGAGTTCATAAATCGATCAGAGCCACCACTGAATCTCGTCATGCACCAACAGTCAGTCCAACCAACCATCAGTCAGTCATTCAGTCAGTCAGTTAGTCAGTTGGCCAGCTCGCGAGTTAGTGAGTTCCCTCGGCTTTTTCTCCTGGCTTGGCATGCAAATCGCGTTTGCGGCTCGTACTTTTCAATGCCAAAAGCTTTTGGCGTAGGCACTACTGGCCTCTTGGCTGCCCCGATGACGTGTGCCACGATCTGCGTCCCATTCCGCTCCACTCAGCCCCCCTTTTTCCAGCGCGACTCAGTTTTTCCATTCAGCATGGGCCGATGAATGAAACCAAAATGTTGTGGGTGTGACACCAACGCCGGCTCAGGTCATCAGTTGTTGCTCTACACAGAAAGAAATTGCGATCTCCAACAACATAAACACTCTGAGAATATCCCAAAATCTTATTTTATTTGAACTCTCCAAAAAAATTATTTATAGTTTTTTTGAATTATAATTTTGTTTAAACCTTTTGGGTGAAGAGCTAACTCTCAACTCCGCCTTAATAGCAATTTGAATTCAAACACACCCAAGTTTTTTTTCGGTGTAGCCACTGCTGGTAGCTGACTGCCAGCTGACTGATAAAATAAAATCCATAACTTGTACCGCTGCTGCTGTAGGTCGTTCTGCCGCCGCCAACTCTTTGTCCAGCCAAGGTTAATTGCCGACTTGCAGTGGGCCGTTCGCTGTTCGCTGTTCGGGGTTCGCTGTTTGCCAACAGTCGCTGGCCCGCATTATGTATTGTAAATCTGGCTGGTATCGAGAGTGCGATCCATCAGTCTGCGCGGGTGTCTTGGCTACATAGATCGCCTTCTATGGTCGCTCACCTGCGCATCATCACCGAACCGCCCACGGAGCCCAACCATTGAAAAAACGCTGCAAGTTTGTTGGCTTTTGCGATTTCGTATTTATTTCGGAATTTGATGTGCGTTGACATGATTTCAAAGAGTTATTAGTACAGATGGAGCTGTGTTATTAAAATAACATTCAGTCTATTTTAATCTTTATTCATTCTTTGTATGCTTATTTGTACCTTTCATATTAAGTTGTATGCGGTTTCTATGTTTCTTAACCTCCCTGCAACAAACTTATGTTCTGATTATTACTCTCTTACCACCTCCTCATGTGACTTTTCTGCCGGTCTACCTGCAGGAGAAACAAAAACAAAACAAGGCGAACTTCTGGCCCAAGTTTCTCTCCGCGGCAGTGGGAGCACGGGTGCATATCAGTTTGAGAAATTAAAAGCATTTTGCGGTTTGGCTGACTATCGAAGCTGCGTGCCGCTCGAGCCTCTAACGACATTTCAATGATTTGCTGTTCGGCTGTTGCTGCTGCGGCTGCCGATGTTGCTGCTGTGCCTGCAACAGTTGCTGCTGCTGCGTCAGCAACATGGCCACGTGCGCAGCACAAGACGCAGGCGGAGGACAAAGGCACAGGCATTTGCAATGCTCGTCGATTACGTACGAGGGCGACCTCTGTCAGGCAGCGTCCAGCTGTCCAAAAGCCACCAACAACGCAGCCACGCAAGGAATCTCCAGTGTGGATTTTGTGTTTAAGCCGCCGCTGCGAGTTCTAACCGCATGCCGCCACAATGTCCTCTTAATTTCCTAGCCCGCGCTCACCACGCGATGATATCGCCGGCGATCCTCCAGAGGTCCCAGAACCCCATCCCCATCCCAATCCGCTTCTTCATCCCCATCCCCATCCGCCATCCACAGCCCAATCCCATCCAGCCGTCGTCCTCTGTCTGTGCGCTCGTTTTTTAATTCAACTGATTGTACTGCAGCTTCTGGAATTCGGCATTTCTTAAAGCCTTTGCGCACACACATTGTGAGTCGGCAACTTCTGGCGACCGGCAACTGGCAACTGGCAACCGGCCACTTGGCCATTGGCAACTTGCAACCGGGTCCCTCCAACTCCTGGTGCCTCCGCTTCTGCTGCTGCTGCTGCTCCTGCTTCTGCTTCTGCGCCGCCGCCTTCGCAATCTGAAAAGGTTAAGAAATGACAATTTGTGAGCGTTTTTTCTTTTCTTGCGTTTCGTATCGTTTTGTTTTTCTCTTATTTCTTTGTATTGTGTTTTGTGTTTTTTTTTCTTTTTCGGATTGTTTTTTTTTTTTTGGTTTGCGAGTTGGCCTGTCGCTGGGCCTGTTGCTTTCATTGTGATTATTTAAAAGCCAGGCACTGAGACCTTAACGAGGCGCTCTTGGCCTTTCAGCAGGACTCACATTTAGTTAAGCAATTATTGGGCCGCAATGCAAACAAATAATGCGTACATTGTGCTTCGGTGCTTCAGTGGCTGGCTTCCCAATCCCCCGCCGACTTACTCCACTGATTTTCCAAGTTAATCAAAATTCTTGGCTATCCACGTCGAAATCTCTGCGACCTTCCCCTTCCCCTTCCCCACCTTCCGCCCACCCCTTGCCACGGCTCTTCTAGCGCCGCCGGGCCACGCCCCATGCAACGCCCATTCAGTGGAGCGTGGCGGAGGCAGCGATTTGGAGGAAACTTATGGCTTTCCACCGTACCGCTCCCCGCCTTTAGCGACTTATATAGGCAAAGGCAGCTCCGCTTCACTGACCAATTTATGGCTGGGAATATTTCTTAGTTTCGAGCCTCGGTTGCCTAATAGTGTGGATTTTCTATGAAGATGTTTGCTTAATTGTGCCAGCGGTAAGAAAATGCTGGGATAGCAAGAAATTATCTTAAAGAAAACACATTAAATGTTTCGGTTTCAGTTAGAAATTTTAATCCATTAAATGTGTTTAAACTTTAGAAGACACTTTTGTTGAAAAAAATGGGAGGATATTTGGCGTTTCCTAAGATTACCATATTTATTTTGAGTATGACTTGAAATCTGTGAAAACATAACTTGTTTCTCACAATCTTTTTACTATCTCTGGTTTCCTTTTTTAGCAGTTTGTTTAATAAATTTTCAAATAACAAGACAATAAAGCGTTGACAAATATTGTCCAGACTTCATCGAAAGTTTGCTCCTTACGCAGCTTTTTGCTCATCTTAGTTTGTGGCAAGTTCGAGCGGAACTCCAGGCAAACTGTACTTTGAGAGAAGAAAACATGGGTAGCAATAAATTCTAGGCGAAACTTGGAGCTGGCGTTTGTTTTGTTTGCGATTGCGATTGTGCCCATCTCCGAATTCATTATATAATGAAGCACACGCGGACTTCCCACACGGCGGGCAAAAGCCGACTTCTACCCACAGTCCGCACGGTTAACAAAAGTTAACAACAATCGATGCTCGGCTGGTTCAGCTCATTTCCTGCCCACAATAAAATCAAATGTTGAAATCCACACAACCACGTGATACATATATGTAATCATAACCATTCGAAAACACATTCTCTTCGCTTCCTAAAAGTTGAGAGTTTTCGCTCGGCCAGAACTCGATGCCAAAGTTCCACTTGGCGCTAATGAAAGTGCCATAAATTTTCAATTAAAGCCTGGGCCAAGCCATTTTTTGTGATCCCGCGGACCGAGATGCAGACAGTCGAACCCAACCTCAGTCCCGTCCTCTGATTGGCGACGATTAAGCCATCCAGCGAGGGTTTTCTCGAAGCTGCCGCTGCAATTATTTGCGAATTAACATTTATAACACTTGATCCTGTGCGTATCCGTTGAAAGCTGGGCTGACTTGACGCTTCAGCGCACTTAAAAAGTATTTTTGTGCCGCAACAACAGCGGCAGCAGCAGCAACAGCAGCAGCAGCTAAAGTGGCAAGCAACAGCAACAGCAAGAGCAAGAAATATTTTGCCGCATTTTAAGAGTCGCAGTCCGTCCGTTTGTTGTATGTCTGTTATGCGGATTCATTGCAACCGCAGCCACTTGTTGCCGCTGCAGAGTGCTGATGTTGCTGCTGCTGCTGTTGCTGCTGCGTGGCCAATGTTGCTGTTGTGCTAAATTTCACACCAACAATGAGCGCGCGCCAACAATGAATGAAAACGAGCGAACTGACGGACTGGGATGACCGCCTGGTCCGCTGGCCTGGGCTAAATCGATACCTTAATTCAAAGGCACGCCAGACCGCATTTTTGGATAATATACTCCAGCTCCATCCGCTCCAGTGAGCCGATGTTGCCAGCGGCACGCGTGAGATTTCCTGTCTGCAGTTTTGGGACATTTCATATCGGGTTGCAGCCAAATTTGGCATCCTTTGTGGCACGCGGGGTTAAATGCACAGATATACATATACGAGTACCAACATCGATTCGCGGGCTTATCGGCCTGGGAATTGTGGAACGGGCGCTTATTGTTCTCGCCGTGTTGCCGGCGTTGTGCAACGACTCTAAAAAGCTGTTAACATGCGTTGTCATCGCTGCCATATGTTGCACGACGGCCGACTCCTGGTCGCCACCGACATTGCCATCGCACCGCCATCGATCGGCGATCGCTTTTGGGGCAGCAGGCAGCAGGCAGCACCACCGGCGACGGCGACTTGTCAACCAGCAACCACTAACCGCCGAGATCCAAGCGGCAACCACCTGGCACAACTGCACCACTTTTGTGACGCTTGCATCAACGGGCTGAACTTCAGATTGGCGGCAGGCGTTGGTTTCCCTCGAAATCTACGCGAAAGTGGAAACGCCAGCGATTTGCGTAGCCCGCAGCGATAGTTATAGCTTCCTCAGCTCACATGTGCCGTCCCTTATTTGGAAGCTTGTGTGCGAAGCGCAAAAATTATATGCTCGTATGCGAACTGAGCAACTCACACAGGCGAGTGGTTGGGAAAAAAACCAGCACAACAACATCAGTACACTCGGAGAAATACAACCGAAAGTGCCCCTTTCTTCTTTCATTAGAAAGCATCTCAATTCATCTGTACTTATAAGAAAAACTTCACTTGGTGAAAGTATTAGATACTTTGGAGTTTAAGCCCAGATATTTTTGTGAATATATGTTTTTTAAAAACCAATATTAATATGAAATACATTTCCATTAAATAAACATTTTCATCAAAAGAGTTTCTTTTATGGACTAAAAGGCCTCAGCTTTTTTTCTTAAATTTTTTTTATTTTGATTTCAATAAAAAAGGACTACGTTTTTGCAAGTGTAGCGTCGGTGGCCGAAAGCTGAGTCGCGTTCAGGTTAAAGCCGAGTGCAGCGGAGAAGTCGTCGCCACATTGGCTGACTTATGACGAAAATAATTGCTGGCTATTGCTATCTCTAACGGGCGATCGCGTCATCGTCATCGTTATCGATTATTCGCAGAAAGCCCATCGCAGTTAGCCCGTTTTCATTAGACCGTTACATGCGGCGTATGAGTAATCAATAATAATTTTATCGCCAGCTTTATTACAGTTTTCCCCGTCGCTTTTTCGCGACGTCTGCATGTGTGTGGTCCCAAATCGATTGCAATAATAATTTCACGCAAATATAGCACAGCAAATACAGCGACAACAGCTCCGGCTACGACAATCATCGTACAATATTGTAATTTACTTAATTTCGTATCGTTCAGAATACGCAAATTTTGCAAAAGCGAGAAAAAAAGTGGAAGAAAACATTGTCCATGCATTAGGTACATGTCCCAGTCCCATTCGTAGTTGTTTTTGCTATAGTTGTTCTTGTTGTTGTTGCTGTTGTTGTCAGTGCTTTAGATATTGTTGTTGTTTTAAAAGGCGACTGCGCGGCGTCTGTTTTCCTTGCTTTTTGGTTGTTTTTCAACTGCGTTTGATATGCAAATTTTGTGCTTTTAGAAAGAGACACAGAATTATCGTATCTGTCGGCAGTTGTTGTAGGAGGAACGAAGTAGGGGTTGCATGTGGAAACTTTACGTGTGTATGTGTGCTCGACTAGGAAAAGCCCAGGAAATTGTGTGTGTTTGCGGGTTAAATTTTTTTGCTCCTCAAAGTAGTACTTAGGTTTTGAAAAGAAGACCTAAATGCTCTCCTAGCGGCTCGAACTGAGGCGTTAAAGTTAAGCATCTCCTTTGAATTACTTTTGGGTTTCCTAAGTTTTTTCCAATTTACCTCGGCAAATATTCATAAAAAATCATGTTGGCTTAAGCACGGGGCGTATGCGCAATATTTGCGTAAGATCTTTGGAAATCATCTGGCAGTTCGGCTTTTCGCCGCCACTTACGCGACAACGCCTTGACATGCCCACACGTCCGGCGACAACAACAGCCAACAACTTTGCAACATGCCACCAAACTTTTGGAATTTTTCGCCGATGTTGCGGCGTGTGAGAATTCACAACCGTGTGTGTGTCTGTTGGCCGCGAGTGTAAAGGAAAGCCTTTAATAAGGGAGCCGAAAATTTATAATGTGGCACGCAATTAATTCACTGCCACAGCTGCCACACGAAGGCGCAACAATTATCACACCATTCAAATGACGCTCACGAATGTGTTTTGTTTTTCGTTTTTTTCTTTTGGTGGTTGATCGGAAAGGATTGAATGGCCACCGGCGGGCTGGCCGCCAGCAACTTGCAACATGCAACATGCAACAGCAACAGCAGCAGTCGACACATTTTGTTTGTTCCGAACCGTTCTCTTTGGCGGCAAACATTTAACAAGCTGCTGCTGTCCGCTGGGCCGAGGATGCCACCTAGAAAGCTCACGCTAGGCGTCCAATTGGCTGGAGTTGCCGCCGATCATGGTCATGCCACATGGCCGAGTGGCTTATGGCCGCATGGTGCCCAAAGTCACCAGCGAGTGGACAATGCCCGGGCCTTCGGCCGGTGGTCCTTTGTCTCGGCAGCGCTCCTCGCCGCCTGTCAGTGCTAATTTGTTGCTGCTCGTGCAGCTCGCAGCTCGGCTCCACTAAAAATATAGCCATAAATGCTGATCAATAAGGAGGGACGACAGAGAGCGAAATCTGCATGTCCTTAATGCCGGCAACGTGCGAGTTTTACAAATTACGAGCCGAACTGGCAGACGGGTCCACTCTTTTTCCCACGTCTCATTAAAATCGCAGTTAAAATGCAAGATGCTGCCTCCGTTCTTTTACTTTCTATCATCGTCATCGAGTCAGCGAGCCAGAGACGTCCCATCGTCATTATTGTCAACTCGCAACGAGTTGCCAATCGTCTGTCCCGGCTATCTTTCTGCCTGCCGTTTCTAGATTGATGTCTCTGCAGTCAGACAGTCGGTCGGTCCACCGGTCCATCGGTCCCTCAGTCCATCAGTCCAGCAGTCCATCAGTCCAGCAGTCCCGCAGTCCATCCAACAGAATTTTAAGAGGCGAATGCGATCGAGGGAGGAGCACGAGGAGGAGACGGAGGAGTGGGCAGAAGCCAACTTGGCACAGTTTGCGCACTTCGGCATTTCATTGCCCCTGCTGCAGATGGAATTTTCGGGAGGAGATTGCTCGTATTCCAACATGAGATAAGGGACGAAATATTCATTTTTAGGGCTGAAGAATTTTGGGCACGGGCAGTACTGATATGCCCCGAAAATGTATTTATTATTCACAGCTTGATCTGAATCTCCAATTTTTAGTGACTTTACCAGTTAGATATACTGATTGTCACATCCCCCATTCCTGAGGGAACAAAATAAATATTTGCTATTGATTTTTTGTGAGAATAATGTGATCTGTGGGGAAAAAAGCCACCAACTTCTTCTTATTTCCCAAGAATTAAGTACTCGATCATCGACTCTAAGGTCCGCTGTAATTGTGCAATTCTTTGTTTGATTTGGCCGCTAGTGCGCTGTACTTTTTAGCTGCCCACGATCCGGCTGATTGTTTAGCTGTTATTGCTGCTATTGGACGTTAATATACATTTGATTCTTGTTATATATAAAGTAAAAAGTGGCGAGTGTGTGTGCGCCTTAATTAAAAGCCGTGGCCCGCTGCTCGTAGGAGTTAATTAGACTGCGGAGGTGTACGGGCCCAGTTTCCAGCGATCCGTCGCGTTGTTCGCTTTCAAGTCAAGCCCCGGCTATTAGTCGCTCAATATTACGCGTTTGGCCGACAACATTGTTTTTACTTCTGCCCGCCGTGTTCTGTGATCTTGAGTTATCGACGGACCGATGGGTGGGGGCGAGGGGGCTGCGGGGCAGCTGCTGTTCACACGCTGCTCATCAACAATTGCTGTCACGAATTTTCCACTCGGCGCTTTTTGCGCGCGCTACTTGTTTGTATTTTAAAATTTATTTATTTGTGCAGTCCGCAGCCTCCACAGCCTCCACACACACACGATGGCGGGGATCCTCTCGTGGAGTGGAGTGGATCGTCCGCACGGAGTGAGTGTGCTCCTCCTGGAGCGCACTGAAGAATGCATTTGATCAGATAATGTAATTCGCATTTTAAATTGAGGCGCATTCCCAGTTATACTTCTTCTCACATGCATTTACCAGTGGCCAGTGGCCAGTGGACCAGCCATCATCCAGCATCGGCATCCTTGGCCCGCGAGGCGGAGGAGTGCGAGTGCCGGGCTGGAGGATCTCCAGCGAAACCCTGGAGGAGCCCACGACCACTCGGCCGGCATTGCGGGCGTTGCATTATTACGCACAAGTAAATCATCGACGACGTCGCTGTCGTCCTCCATCGAGCCCAACGGCTTGTTAAGTAATTTAGTTGGCCTTTTTTGCCCGGCTCTCCTCGGGCCATTTGGCTTTTTCTATATTGCATTTGGCATATTTGTTTAAAGAGCTGATTGTGAGCTGAATTTGTTATTGTTTCTATAAACGCAATAAATTGGCATTCAATTAGGCCAAAGGTGTTTTGCTCTTGGTGGGTAGAAGTCCCTCTCTTGGCAGATGGTCTGACTAACTAGATTTTGTGCATTTTTTTGGGTTCAGTATAGGTTTTTGACAATATCTAACAAAAAACCGATCGGACTGTCAAGTTAATCAAGATTAAAAAATTCAAAATATGTGATTACCAACTGTTTTGCAGAACTAATGTGTTTTCTAAACTTTGTCAAAATAGATTACAATTCTTTAATAATTTTTGGTTTTTTTATATATGTTTTTTACTGGTTTAAGTTGCTTAATAGACACTAAAATGTTTTTGGGGGCTTATTGAATTTAACCAAGATTATCCCATTTCGTTTGGGTGCCTTCATTTCCTTACAGAAAAAGTTGCAACGCCCCTATTTCACTTCCTGATCGCATAAAAAGTTTCGGCTACTTGACATTTCCAGGCAATCAGGCATTAGCATATCGGCCTTAAGATCTATAACTGAACCCGACGGACAGTTGACAGTCTGCTCCGCCCCGCGGACGGATCAGATCGCATCGGACAGGAGGGGAGCATACGGGATCCATCATGCGAGGAGAGGCTCGTCCTGCTTTCTAACGATTGCATTTTTGATATTTGTGACACGCAGATTTTCCATCAGTGTCAACAAGGCATTGTTCGGCGAACGTCAACGTGGTTGGTCCTCCATCCCGGACTCCCAGACTCCCCCGAATCCCCCGACTCCCCGACTTGCAAACCCCGGACTCCCCGGATTCCCCGGCTCAACTGACAGACTCGATCGGCCGTCCGATCGTCGTCGATCTTTCAACATCTCAGACCGAACTCAGGCCAAAGTCGGGCCAATGCAAAATACAGCGAATGCAGCGCGTACATTTGCATAGACACAAAATTATATGAGGCCGAGAGACCCGGGACCCACAAAACGCAGCTTCCTGGTCTTTTTGTGTCTTTTCGTCCGGCCTCAAATTTATGTACCCACACAATGGGGCAGGAAAACAGTTGGGGGAATCGCTGGGGCCCGTCTTCGATGCCGGAGCCTCGTGGCCCATGGTGTTGGCCTAAACACCATTCTAGCGGTTCGTTTAGCTTGTTTATTGGCATGAAAATCTATCAAAAATGCATCATGCATTTTATATTTATTGTACGTAAAAACAAAAATAATGTGCTTGACATTTGACCCGGCCCAAACGACAACGTTACGGCCGAGCCACATGTTGCCCGTTGCCAGTTGCTCGCTGTTTGTTGGCAGTGCCTGTTGGCCAAGTTGCCTGCGAGTCGGCGAATCCACGAGTCTGAAAGTCTGCCAGTCCCCCGACTGATTATGAAACGGCTTTGTCGGTGTCTCTGGGATATTTGGTTATTGTCTTCGATTTTGCATTCTAACACAAATCAAAACGGGCCAGCAGCAGTCCCAACACTCGCCACTTAAATGCTCGTTTATAATGTTGTTAAAATACAATAAATAGCCAGGATTCGCAGCAGGCGGTTTTCACTGGCTCTCCGAGGCGAACACATTTCCCTCGTTCGCTCATGCTGATTTATGAAATGTGGACGCCGAAGTGGCGGCCCACAAACGGATCCCCATCCCCGAACCCCTTTGGGCCGAGTATCTGGCCGGGCCAAGACTCGCTTCCCGGGCCTCTAACTGGGCCCAGTCGGCAGTAGCCTGCTGGGCTACTGTTTGCAGTTCGCTGAGTGGCTTATCGCGGCGGTGCATCGCGGCCATTCGAACAGGCTGGCATTACTCTGCCGCCTGCACTTATCACGGCTTAGAAGGGGTCAAGGATTGAGTGCTACACCGAAAGTGTCTTAGCCGGTAACCCACACTATTAACTCTTAGAGAGGCCAGTCAAGGCACCGCAGAATATAGGTAGTATTTTAAGCAGACGGTTCTAATTCAAACGGACTAAAAAATAACGGTTTAGAGAATCTTCTACTTTTATATAAGTAATCTCCAACTGAAGAAACTTTTCCAATTACCAACAGGCACGACTTACGGCAGACTATCTTGTACAAATAAAATCTTAAAGTTTCCAAGTAATTATAGTTACTGATATCTGAATATTAGCGATCAACATTTATTCTCTATATCAAAATCACTGATTCCAATTCACTCCTCCACACGTTTCACATTTTTACTTACCCATATCAAAAGCTCGCTTAAGACAGTTCTTCCGTATATCTTTTCCAAGATCATTGATCACTGCGTGATCAAGTCTCGGGTAATCAAGTCACCATCTTTCAATGTTCTCGAACTAATTTTCTTCACACACTTTTCTAGTTCTCGCTGATCGATTACACTTTTCACGTCTTTCAATCCCCAAGAAAAGAAACACAGATCGCTCCTCGATCGTCGTGCAGGTCACGCAATCGCTCACAGACTGAAAGCGAAGCCCCAGCTGTCGGAGCTCTTGGGTCCCGCCGAGGAAACCTGGCAAGGAACTCGTTTCGGGGAACTTAAGAGTAAGATCGCCACTGGGGGCGACGAGTGCGACAGAGAGGTTGCATAGCTCCGATCCGCTCGCACCTCAGAGCTGCACTCTTTGGCGCTCTCTTAAGCCGCGCTCTCGCAGGTTTTATTAGGCACTTATATTTATATAGCCGAGCATATAGCGCCGATCTGTGGGCGGGACTTGCTGGCCGCTCGTGTGCGTATTAGATTTTATAGACTCGCTTTTGACTTGCTCACCAATTCCATTTTGGGCCGGGCTTTATATACATTGGCTGCGTGGGGACAAATAAGCAAACAAATGAGTGGTCCCCGGTTGCCCGGGGCATGAAAATTCAATTTACACCAGCCCGCCACAAAATGACGTATCTCTGCATGTATTTATTGAAATGTATTCCATTATATACGGACAGCTATAGTGGATGTTCTTTCTCCGTTCCGTTCTGCAGCGATTTGTTGGGTGTAACCAGTTTTCGCGTAAGAAATATGAAATCAGCGATTGAATATTTGTTATTTCGCTGGTGGGCGTGGGCACGCTCCGATCCTATAGATGGTTTTTGCTTTGCTTTTGTTCGTTTTTCTAAAATGACACAATTTAATGAAATCCAAACAGTTCTCGACTTGGACTTGGTCTTTGACTAATGATGAAGGCGCTGGTCGGAGTGCTGGAACTGATTTTTCAATTAGTTTTGGAGTCGGGCAGTTTTGAAAGTTTTCCTATTAGATTTATAGTGTGCTAAAAATTAGCACAGATATGACAACTTTGCCGGTCTAGGCTTTAATCAATTAATCAATGTAATAAACAACTCAAATAATTCTTTATTAAAAAAGAAGTTTCTTAAAATCTCCACACTAGTTTCCATTGCTGATAATTTATACGAATATTAAAACGAGTTCAGTTATACAACTCTAGGCAACCAATAGGTTGCATTAAATTTAATCGCTGTCAGTGGCTCGAGATTGTTTGCCTAGTTAGGGGCCTTCTTCGGATTGGTAAATCTAGCTAAACATCGAACTCAGTTTGTCCGGGCACCCACATCAGGATCCCCCTCCTCCTCCTCCTCCCAGTCCATCGGTCCACTTAACATACGCCGAATTGAGCTCTTGTATTCGTATAATTGCAATTTCCATTCAACTGTTTGTTCGCCCGCCGGATTGTGTCCAACTCCATTTCATTTGTTCGGCTAGTTTTGCGGTTGTTAGTGCCCATCATAAATTGCGGGAACTGGGGTAGGGAGCTCCCCTCCAGCGGCTCAGGATGTGGCAAGGAGGAGTTCGCCGAGGGAGCGGCACAGGCTAATCGGTGCCGTTTCATCTGCGACCCGCTGTCCTGTTGCCTCTTGTTCGCCTGTCGGCGCACGCATAATTAGGCCCGAGGACAATCGCTTTACTAGCTCCACTGCGGAAAATAGTTGGGCAACCCCGACTGAGTCCCTTAGATGCTGGACTATTTCTAAAAATTATCCAAGCTTACCATTTATTTTAGTCAGAAATGGTAATAATGTATTCATAAAGAGCGTCTATATTTAAATATTTTCGATCGATAATATAATTTTACAATTTGTACCTATGTACATTTTAAAATACTTTACCATGTTTGAGTCAAAATAGCAATATAAACCTTTTTTTAATCAAGTTTTATATCATAACCACTAAGTGAAAAAGAGGTAGCTTTTACATGCAGTGTAATTATTGTCATATGTTTTTCAGGCTTGAAATTTTCGTTAAGTGCTTAAGCAGCAGGTTACCCCTCGCAATTTGGCCAAATAATTGGTAACCGAAAACAATAAGCTCGTTTCTCGTACTCTCCCGGCCAATCGTGGCATCTTAATGCGGCCCTGACATTTAAATAGATGCTAATTCCCATCATAACTGACTCTGGCGTTCTGGAGTTCCCGTTTCGCGGGTCTGAACTAATGAATTTGAACCCGCCACTCGATTGAGGCGGCCCAGACTCACGACGACCCGACTGCCAACGGCTGCCAACTTCCTGCTGGCCGCTTTCTTTGCGCGTGAATCCGTGTAACCGCAGCCCGCAGCCGAAGAAAAGACACAAAACTGTGATTTGCCCAAAAACAGAAAGCCGGCAAGAAAGCTTCGCCTCGCTTTGCTTTGCTTTGCTTTGCGGATATAAACGCTTTAAAACTCCATATTGCGGCCTGGCCCGGATGCGACGACAATTGTGAAGACGACCAAATGGCCAAACTCCCAGTTTAGCTGGCAAATGTCTACGCAGTGTTGTCGCTTCTGCCGCTTTTGTGCTCTCCACTGAGCTGATGTGGTTGTTGCTTGTTGGTTGGTTGTTTGGCTGCTGGTTGCTGGTTGTTCGCTTGTTGCCGCTCCGTGTCAACTGACTGGGGCCTTAGCTTTCGGCTTTCGGCTTCTGGCTTTTGTTTCCACAAGCCGGGCCGCCCCATTTTGCTTAGCCAGTTGGCCAGAGCCATCCCATAACATTTGCCTCAACGTTTCCTGTTCAGAATGTTTGCCGCTGTCCTGTGGTTGTGATTGTGTGAATCCTCCTACGAAATCGAGGAACAGTGGTTCGGGGAGGTGTCTTGGATTTGTAAAATAATATTTACAATACTGTTTTAGGAATTGTTCAATGGTTTCAAACCAAATCCCTTATCTCACTATGTAAAATATGAAGATCAAACATTCGGTCTAAAACATTTTATGATATGCTTTATGAGCACCTAAAGGAGAAATATACATAACTATCTCTTTTTCGGGTTCAATAGACTTGTATACATTTTTTATAGAGCCTAGAATCACCTTCATTTGTTTCAATAAAGTGTGTAAAAGGAACACACACTCCCACACCAAAATCCATTTCATCTTGTATTCCTACCCTTTTGCGCCACTGTTTTCCTTTTGGCCCGTTCCCTGGGCAATTGTGCGTTAGATTTAAGTGCTTTCGTTTGCCAGGCTTAATTTGCATTTTTATTTTTATGTTTTCATTGAAAGCGCCAGCATCAATGGAGCCCGCTGGCTTCGGCTTCAGCTTCAGTCGAGAGCACATTTGGCTATTCCTTTGTTTCGGCCCAAAGTTATCAGTGTCGGTAGATGTACACGGCATCAACGGTAGCAGCGGCAACAACAGCGGAGAACAACATGCAAAATGCAAATGTTTATTGGCCAAATGCTGTACGATCTCAGCCAGCTAAACTGAGAATGGGCTAACACTGCTGGTCCTTCTCGGTGTTTTGTTTTTGCTGCTTGGCGTTTTTTAAGCCTTCAAACGGTTGAAGCGGGTGCTGACTGCCACAAAGTTGTCGCCTTTTGTTGTGGCAGCAACCATTTTGGTAAAAACAACTAATCAATTGGCAAATGTGCCATCCGTCAATCACCGAGTCAGTTGGCGGTGGTGTAGGTCACACGACACCACACGATCGGTGGTGCAGTGGTTGCTGCTGCTACTTATGTTGCTGCTGCTGCGACTGCAGTTGCAAGTTGCAACTGCTGCAGCGGCAACAGCTAACAGCAAGCCACCGAATTGACTCGCATTCACTTTTGGGGCACATAAAATGCCACCTTGGTTGTGAATGTCAGTTAGCCAATTTGAAAATTCATTCATTCGATGCTTTGACGACTCGCTGACTGACTATTGCCAACATTTATTATTAGCCTTTCCCAAACTGACTATTTTTGGAGCTACCGATGGCCACACAGCAGCAACAACAACGCCAGCAACAACAACATGCCGCACATATCACAGCAAGACAAATTTCTATATAATTGCATTTGTCGCAGGCTCCGAGCCTCGAGGTTCGAACTTCGCAGCCACCACTGGCGAGGCCAGATCGGCCAGACAATGCCAGGCATTATTTTTATATAAATTGCATGCCATTGGCCCGGCCAGTTGGCATTCCATCCAGCCAATTGCCAGCCAACCGAGAGCCGGGGCAGGGTTTTTCGCTCCGATTGTATTTTTTGCCTCGCTTTTAGCCGGGCTCAAACTCTAATTGTCATTTAATGAGACACGCTCGGCATTTGCGCACGACACACGACTATCAATTTGGCAAGTTGCAGTTGGCATCAGCAGAAGCAGCAGCGGAATCAGCAGTGGAAGCCATCGATGAAACTGTTCGATTCGCTGACAAACACAACTTGTCGTCCTGCCTCGCTTCTGGAAACGTAATGCGAAATAAATGAAATAGCATTGCCCTTAACATATCATTCGAGAAGGCACTATATAAAATTTAATAAAGTCGAAAAAGCGCCATCTCTTTTGTTTGTCTGTTTCAATTGAAGCATTAAGTTTCTCGGGTGAAAATAGACAGTTTTAGTGCTTGTCAGAAAACAAGGAACTTCAGTAATGCTATTATTGGCAGCCGAGATAAGCTAGCACTTATTATTACAATCTTCGCGGCTTGATAATCAGCCTTCTAAATGATTTCTATATTTATAGCTCAATTTTCTTGGCAGAGAAACGGTAAACACAAAATTTCTATTAATTGTTTTCTTTGTGTGCTGCAAGTGTCATATATTTATTTGAATCAAATGCCAAAATAATCATTACTCAACAAATTATACCACTTTTGAAAAGATCAACCCCCTTAATTTAGTTCATCCCTGTATTTATAAAACTCAAGAAGAATAATGCTCGGTAATAGATCTTATTATAATGGAATCAACCCCTGAGATGATGTCAGTGGGGAGATTAGCTCAGCAAGCAGTTGAGGGATTTATTTTCCGGCGACTTCCAAGAGCCTCCGTGGCGCAATCGGTTAGCGCGTTCGGCTGTTAACCGAAAGGTTGGTGGTTCGAGTCCACCCGGGGGCGTATGATTTTTTTTCTTTTTTTATTTACCTCTCTTAATAAGCATTTCTCGTTAATAAAACTCATATTTATTACTTTTGTGTTGCGAATTTAAATTGCATAATTATCGCAGAAGAATCGCAAACATAATGGGTGGTCCGTGTATTTGGTTTCGGCAATAAAAAACAGATTAGATAAGTAGGAGGTTTTTATCGGGGGATAAATATGAGGTACTACACGGATAATTGCCAGCCTTATACGTTCGCCTTAAATACAAGCCTGGGCACAATGTAACCTTTACATGAACAGCTCCGCTTTCAGCTGCCTTCTAGTTTTTCCCCTTTTCCACTCGCATCTGCTGCAACTGAAAACCGCGAGCGTAACAACGGTTGCACATGCACATGTTGGTGTTGCCGCGGTTGCCAAGTATATCATGGCAACTTGGAGACAGTTTGTCGTCGGTTGGTTTTGCTAATTAAAATGTCTTGGTGCTGTCACTCAAAAGGCGGTCGCCTGATCCACTGGCCAACTCGCTCGGTTGGCAGCAGCAGACGACGTCGGCGACGGATGACGACGCCCATTTTAGTCAGCGGCAACAATGCGATTTTGCCTTTCGCGAATTGTGGCTGAGGCAGCTTACAGCTGCTGCTGCTGCTGCTGTTTATGCTGCTGCTGCGGCTGGTACAATTTCATTGGAAGTCCGCTGATGTGGCAGGGGCACGCGGCGTATGCGCAATGTATGTGCAATTTGCGATCTCCCTCGCACAAAATGGCGATCGCATTGTTACAGTTTGCAATTATTTTGATTTATTTTTTGTGCCGTCCCAGAGGCTCAGCCTCTGCTGGCACTAATCAAAATTAAAATGACGCTCGCGATGCCATCCAAGGCGATGCGACGACGTTCGCTGGAGAGTCAGAAATCAATATTCTAAATTCTTTAACGCGTGTGCACATTTAAGGCAACGCCAGCTCATTGAGATGCGTGCCGGCGAACAGCCTGGCCAGCACTTATACGCAATTTCGCGCCATATTTGGTCCAAACATATTGGATTTTTTTCTTTTTTTTTTGTTATCTCGTCGTCTTTTTGCTCCCTGCACTTGGCTGGCATATAGAACAGGCCCCGGAGCAGACCAGAGATCCCCGATCCCAATCGCGACTCACTCGCAATCACCCAAGACTAAGCTAGGCTTAAGATCAGCACAGCAGACTGTTTGTCTACCATTATTAATCGTGTGTCTCTGGCTTGACTCTTTGCAGGATGACCGATCGCCTACCTCGTCCGGCAACGAGTCGGATGACTCGTCGGATGTGGAGATGCCGGTGGAGGCTGCCGAGGCGGCAGCCAAGCTCCCGGCCAGCAAAACAGAGGCTCCTCCGCCTCCTGCCGCCTCAGCGGCAGCAGCTGCCACGTCCTCGGCGGCAGCCTCATCTTCTGGCTCCAAGGCGATGCCAGCTTTGAACTATCAGACTGAGAACAACGGACCCTCGACGTCCGCAGGCGGAGCCCCGGCGGACAGCAAGTACGTTTACCCAGCTGCCTCGATCGCCAACATACCGCAGAAGATGCTGCGGCAGCTCATACAGTCGGGTCACTTGCAGCTCCACGCTGAAGAGGGTGTGTGCCTCACAGATCTCACCTTGAAGTATTCAGCTGTTAATCATATCCCGCTTTGCAGATGGAAACCAGTACGTGACCATACCGCTCAGCTCCACGGCGGCCAACCTGATCAAGAGCAACAAGCTGAGCGCCTCTGGATCGGGAGCTTCGGGGTCAGGAACTGCCACTAAAAGCGATCCCCAAGCCGAGAAACCCCTGACCATCAAGCAGGAGTACGATTAGCCCCCAGCCACGCCCACTGCTTACCCAATACCGAGAACTGCGTTTAACCACACTTGCCCAGAACCATCTGAAGGAGAAACACCAGCAGGAGACCACCATTACTCACCCACAGCTCTCTTGAAGTCTATCCAAAGTTTTCGCGTCACCTTCCACGGATGACGATCCCCTGCTAAGTCTAAGTCATACTGTATCTACCATATCGTATATATACTATTTTTATACCTATACATGGCGAAGTGAAAAGGAAACCCTGACCTGGTACCCAAGTTGCCAGCGGCATATCCACGTACGTAAGTTTTAAAAGTTTTGCAAGATATACAACGGAAAAGCATTACACTGATATCGGGATGAATACGATCGATGGTTGAATGAGAAATGGAAAAGGGAAAATGGAAAACAAGGATGATATGGATGTTCCTAAACCGCAGAGATCATGTTGCTTTGTTACTAGTTTATATTGTTTTATTATACAATACATGAATATATATAAACCACTTTTTTGCATAAAACCAAAGCGTCGACTGTCTTTTACTATAATTGAATCGGAAATTGCCCCATTAATTTTTAATGCTGATTCGGAGGCAACTAAGCCAAGAAGTTTATGGTTTAATCAAGTGAAATGACACTTGAGCAGCAGCAGCAGCAGCAGACGGCAACGCCCCACTCGAAAGTGCCCCACCCCAAAAATCATAGACGGCCACTTGCCACCAGCATGTACTACACTATATATACTAGATATAGAGTGTGTCTACGAGAGTGCTTGGATTAAGCGCACTCGCAAAAGAGCGACGGACAAATGCCTTTTGGTATTTGGCCGCTTGATGGATGTGTCCGTGGTGGGTATTGTGCGATTGATTGATTGACGACATAATCTTATTGACACTTAACCTAATTAAACGTCGCTCATTACCTGCCGGCACAGGCAGTTCTCGCCGGTACTCGCCGTCTAGCACCTGTTACCGCTTATGGCCCTCGATTGGGGCTAAGAAGCCCTCGTCTTCCGATTGATCTTTCCCCGTAGGAAGGGAGCGAGGGACGAGTGCTTCCGCTCCGGCGGAGGCACTTTGCATGCAGGAGACCCACAAAAGGCCACAAAAGGCGCAACGTGTGGCACATACTAATGCCTACTACTTGCCAACTGGCGTACAATGGAGCGGTTTTATTTTAATTCCTAACAAAACGCATAACTTGAGACCTAAAGAAGGTGATTTCCTGAGGGGCTAAGAATAGTTTAACTATTTATTTATTTTAGAATATATTTCTGACTTAGCACAGAGCTTACGTGCGTATTTACAGCAATAAGATTATTAAACAATTTTAGAAGAACCAGAAGCACAATTTACTTTACCAATTACAAAATCAACTTACAGATTTACTGACTAGTGAAGTCTGTAATTTATTATCCAAACCAATTATAATTTTGTGTAAATACCCATACCATATGCACCCACTGTGCGGTGGTTAAGTGTGGACGACCTGGGCGGTGGATTGGCACGCGCCGCGGTTTCCGTGGGCTTCGATATTCGGTCTTTGTCTTCCACTTCGAGTTGGTCTGCAGCCGGAAGCCGTTAGTTGTTTGGGCCGTGTGGGCTTTTATGGCCGACTGTTGACGGCGGAGACAGAAATCAGGGGCCCAAGCTGGCCAACTGTCCGTCCCACTCGCTGGCCTGGTCAAAGTTGAGTGGGTCACTAAACTCGGATGTCGACGGTGTTTGCGAACGAAACCGCAATTAGCGTTTATTATGGCTGGCCGAGTTGATTGACATTTTGTGGGCTGGTCCGTGGCCGTGTCCGTGGAACTCGTGTGTCTGTCCTGGCTGGCCGCTTCATTATTAACCGCACCCACGCAAAGCTCATGTGAATATTGATCCTGATACAGGACTGTTCCGCTGGCGCTGGCGGTCCTGGCCAGACCGACGATTATTAATAATGGTCACGCGCGCGGAACTTTGCATTGCAATTTCAGGGCAGTCAGTTGCCATCGCGGCGTCCCGACAATCGGCTGTGTCCTGGAGTGTCCTTTCCACGGAAAGCCCCAAGAAAATCAATACTAATGAGCCATTAAACGTGGCCTCAGCTGCAGTCGGCCGTGGTCTAATGAGCTGAGTGGCGGCGAAAATTGAGTGCTGGATCTAACCGAGCGGCTGCAGCAGGAAATCGCATCATCGCATCAGCATCGTCCTCAACGGAAACGGTAAAGGTAAAGGTAAAAGCAGCTCCCAATCGGAAGTCTTAGGCGTAATGCCTTTCGCCTGAGCGGCTGCGTAGCATGGGCTGCTCCAGTTCCAAGTCCACTGCCTCTGAAGAAGACCCCAAGTCACCCAAGCCCGTTTCGGCCAAGTCTGGAAGGACCAAAATGGACGCCAAGAAGGAGTACCGTGAGTCGGGCACCAAGCCACTTGGTTGAACGCTTTGAAACACCCCTTTTCAGCTGCCTCGGAGGCATTTACCATTCCGCTGGACACCGAAGAAAACGCGGAGATGCCGCTGAACGAGACAATGCGCCAGCCCCCGAAGAGGATTCAGCAGATGCTGCAGGAGGCGGCCAGCGCGGAGCCACCCACCTTGGAGGAGCTGGAGGACAAGCAGCAGAAGGCCGAGCAGAGGCGGCAGGAGCTGATGCAGCAGAAGCTGGAGACCATCCAGAAGAACGCCCAAATGCTGATGAGGAGTCCCGATGAAAATCCGGGGGATCCCGAGAACACCAAGGAAGAGGAGACCCCCGAAAAGGAGTAGCGAGATAGAGATACTCTTTTCATTCACATTTTATTGTTAGCTTTAAATTATATATGTATTACTATATATCGTAGTATATTTCCAAACAATTAGATTGTATGCAATTAAATCTGCTCCGTCACCAAAACGCCGTCCTCCGCTCTTCCGTTCGCTCTGTAATCCTATGTCAAACCTTTTCGCTGTTAGTCAAAACGTGATCTATTTGTAATCGAGTGTTAAACGAGTATATGTACGTCTAAAGGCTATATGTAGGTATCTGGATTGGTTGCTCGACCCGCGTTCTCGGCTAGTCGGAGTCGGATATATATTGTTGCGTTACTATATGCTTCATTAGGATGTGTGTGCGTGGTTGGTTGTAAATCATGTCTCTTGGGTTTGCTGGTTGGTTTACTTGTTCTTGTTCTTGTTGTTACTTCATATTAAACGTCGAATTCGTATATATTATATGTACTTGTTGTATATATCGTATCGTTTATCTTTTATCGTTTATCGTTAGGTATAAATATGCGTACTGTGTCACAGACACTACAAATGTCGCTTTGATTTCGGCTTGCATCGCGTCTGGGCCCCGCTCCACTCGACTCGGATAAACGGGGCCGACAATTTGTTAATATTTCAATTAGTTACCTACACACTCATTAAAAACGTCCGCTCCCCGATCGCATCGAATATATCGTAGTACCTGGATGTCGTTCTCTTACACTGTATGTACTATATTTGCTCTCTCATATGCGTTAAATATGCTTGTGGTTGCTATTAGTTAGTTACTTGAATTGGTGCACTTCGAAGAAGCATTTGGTTTAATAGCTATGAGTTGTGGTGCGATTCGGATTCGGATTCCAAAGAGGTGGTCCGCCGACCAAGTCGGGGACTTGGCCACTGTCAGCACAACCGTGTGGGTTATCTAAATACTACTCCGTCCAGGGTCCAGGTCCCCGACTCTGATCCTCCACCCCTCTAAGTGGACCACCTCTTGGAGGCGCCTTCCGAGCGTATTGCTTGCGTTACTGTTCTCGTTATCCTTCAGCAGCCAGGAGCACCCCAACTCCGGGATGGCTTCTTCGTCAGTTACAAAAGGTTGTTCTTAGTTGTCGAACCATGGTGGGTTGCGTTCTTAATACATACAAATAACCGTAATTTTATCGTACATGTTCAGATATATTATATTAGCAGGTATGTGTCTACAAACTGATTTGCACGGTTCACGCTTACACTTTCGGTTTGGCTTTCTTTTTTGGGTTTTGTGTTTTTGGCTTTGGTTTCTACGTACATGTACAAAAAAACTGATATAAACTATCGAAAACGAGCAGTACAATCACAATATTCCCCCCACGATTAAGTACCATATTATACCATATCATATCCCCCGAGTCTACACAACGAAAATCGGAACGAGAACATAATGCTTCCCTTGGCTCTCCGTCGACCAAGATCGTTGCCTGTGGAACTTAATCCTTCCTACTTTGAACTTGTATTAAAGCTTTTTGGGTTCTCGACTGCCTGCCCTCCGCCAACAACTTAAGCTAACTCATTCGCTATGTGTATAATAATAAATATATATCCTTATATATGTGTATGTATGAATTGCAAATCGTAATCCATTATATTTGTATTAAATTCATCTGCATCGAGCTTGTGCCTACCTAACAGTACGTAAACGCCTAACAAATGGGAATCCCTCGCTCTTCGCTGTCGTGATCATCGCGATGGCACTTTCCTTTTGGCCAGGTGCTGGGAAGGGTTGCCTCGGAAGTAAAGTCTAGGGATGAGATCTTTGGCGTTGCTGGAAGTGGTTAGTTCACGGGCGGAACTTGGCATGGGAATGACCTCAATGAACTCGGATCGAAAACTAATAAACCAATCTCGGGTTCTCTGTTTGAGTAAATCGAAACCAACTGGCATTGCAGCTGCTATATCCCCTCAGTTCTGGCAAATGTGGGCTGGCAACCCTTCCGGAATGGTAATGCGTGTGTATAAAGTCGGGGGCTAGACATCAAAAAATCAGTACTGCCTGTCAATGGGTAACCTCTAAGCCTAGTTTTGGTTTACTGCCGCCCGTGGGTCTCAGCACACAACACTTATTGCAACTACTAGTAGTTAGGCCGGAGCTCTCTGGCCAGAGCCGGGTGATTGGTATGTGGATCTAGTTGTAGACGCCGCGCACCATGCCCTCGCGGTTGCGGGTGTGCCACTTGCAGGTGAGGATGCGGACGTACGTCCTGCGGAAGGTGGCGTTGCAGAGGGCGTAGCACATCGGGTTGATCGTCGAGTTGATGTAGCAGAGGGCGTAGAAGAAGTCCCACAGCTCCGTGGGGATGCAGTCGGAGCAGGTGGTCAGCGGCTTGATCAGCACCAGGATGTTGTACGGCGTCCACGTGATGATGAAGCTCAGCAGGATCGCCGAGAGCGTCTTGGCTGCCTTCGACTCCTGTCGCTTCTCCTGCGACTTCTTCTTCTTCTTGGCCGCGTTGCGGGCGTTCATCAGGGCGTGTGCCCCGGCCGCCCCGCCGCCCACTCCCGCAGCGCCCTTGCCCAGCTGCTTGGGTATGACCTTGGCGTTGAGTAGCCTGGCATCGTGCTGGGCGTGGGACATCCGCCTGCCCAGCGGCAGGCTGAACTCGGAGTCGCGCGAGGGCAGCGGTCGCCGGGGAGCCACTGGAGCCACCGCTGCGTTCGCGGTGCTGGTGCTGGTGGGCCCGTCCTCGTGTATCATCTTGATGGAGGGCGCACAGTCGCCCTGCAGGCTCAAGGTCGTCGCAGCAGCTCCTGCTGCCCCTCCTCCTCCGCCGGCTGCTCCTGCTCCACCACCTCCTCCTCCCCCGTTGGCTGCGTGGCTGGAGGCTCCGTCGGAAGGCAGGCGGATGAGTATCGTGTACACCGAGTCCTGGCTCACCGACCGCGAGTTAATGCGATTGATCACGGGCAGCGTGCGCGAGTCGCTGCGGTGCGCTGCACTTCCGGCCGCTCCCATTCCGATTCCATTTCCATTTCCGCTTCCGCCGCCTCCGCCGCCGCCACCGTTTCCTCCCACCGCGCCATTGCCATTGTGATTGTTGTTGTTGTTGACGGCGCCGACAACGCCATTGCTGTTGGCATTCGGATTCGCGCTCGCAGCGACCGCACCCATTTCCTGTAGCTGCGAGATGGAGGCGAGCGGTGGGCGTGGCAGCGGCGTGGGCGAGACATCCGAGAGGAGAATGCTGGGCGGGCGCACGCCGCTCACACTGCCGCCCATCGAGTAGTTGTCCCGCATCACGTTCATCGAGGTGCATCTACGCAGAAAAGAGAAGAGGGCAACAGAGAGTGTGTGGCATTGGTATCGCATTTTCAAAAACCAAACATTAGAGTGGACCACTCCAACGACATTGACAGGCAACAACAAGAACAACAAGGACGAACTGAGGGCAAACTCGGGATGCAGCTGCTCGTCTAAAATGTGTCACACGCACTTAAAGAAAAAAGATGGCTGTGAAATTTAGAAACATTTTCTTTTTAACGCTTAATGTTTGGCTTTTGCTTTCTAGAAGCTAAAACTAAATTTTAATTTAGCAACACATATGATTCAAGGAAAATTCCCCTTTCGGTTTCTAATTTTCACCGCTCATGCTGAGTTTTTAAGAGTGCACACAGATACAAAACACATGCGTGTGTTGAAGTGCTTTCGGAATGGAAACAAGTGGCCGGAAATCGCAACTTAAATCGATTTCCCAGCCGATGCCAGTGGCACACAAAAATTGAAACAAGTCCAGCGGCCAAAGAGTCCAGCCCCGAAATCGCACATACATCTCCGAAATGCGTTTTTGGCATTCGTTTCAATTATGGTTAGCAGGAATAAAGTGGAAGTGCACAATATTTTAGCTGGCTCAAATGGCGACACATTGCAGATTCATCTAAAGCCCAATTTCGACGTCATTTCAGATTGCAGATGAAATTGCATTTGACCTAATGTATTCAGCTGTTTATTTGGCTAATTATTCCCCAGTGATCTGCGACCTAATTTGCATTCAATTTTGTGGCTGTTTTTGCAATATGCAAAAATCGAAAATCAAATAGCGTAATGGGCTTACTAATTGAATGCGATTTGAACATTATTATATAAACAAAATATTGTAACTGCATTACAGGTTTTTCAGATCTTTCGGAGTGTAATGAAATCTTGTTCAGTCTCCCCTGCCAGCTTTTAACAGCAATATTTACTTTTTAATTCGGAAATTGCTCTTGGCCCTTATGGGGGATTTGCAAAGTAAGCTTAAAATATCACTTGTCGGAACGCACTTCATGAATTAATTACAGCCATCGGAATGAACAAACTCGGGAGCACACTGGCCGACCCCTTTGGACCGAAAGCCTCAATTAGTTTCCATCCGGATGTGTGTGTGCAGTGGTGCAAAGCCCTCCATCTACGTGGATTATTTTAGTGCTGGATGCTGCGACTTTGATGGATTTGTGTGGTGTGAAGGGGATCGGGATCTGGATTGGAAAGGGGAAGGGGAAGAGGAGTGTGTTTTTGTTTGGTGCATCGTGATGGCCAGTGAAGGATTGCGAGCGCTCTCTCATCCTGATGGACACTTTTTGCCACATCCACTTTTCGTGTGTGTGCACAAGCATTGGACGGGAAATCGAAGTAATATAGTGCATATACTCGTGTGTGTATTTGGGTGCTGGCTGTTGTTTGCTTTCCTTTTCGGAAAAGTGCTTCTGGGTGCAATTGATGCGAGTCATACGAATGCGAATATTCGGGGTGAGAGAGTTGGTGCGGTGTCGGCTTACTCGAAATTAGACGATTAAAGATCAGAATTTTGATTGTTTTTACTACCTGGAGACGGAGCTTTGTAAAGGAGTTTCAATTGTTACTGGTGTTGCATACCCTAAATCAGAAGGCTCCTCCTGCTCGTAGGCGAAGTCGTCGGAGTCCTCGCGACCGGAGTGCCACCACGCGATGCACCACTCCTTGACGCTGCCGAAGCAGGTGTACGATTTTTTGATTGTGTTCGTGCTTTTGATCTGCAAGTGGGATTGTAGTGATTAGTAACCAGGAACATAGTGTGCTTATCAGCGGCTCCTACGCTTGACTTGCGCGAGTGCATCCCGTGGTAGCCGGAGTCGATGACCATGTTGGTCATGTAGACACTCTCCGCATCCGCCGAGCTCTCGGAGCGCGGCCGTCGCCAGGTGTCGTGGTCGTTGCCGCCCATCTGGGCGAAGGCCAGCAGGCCGCCGGACGCGTGGTTCACTACCGTGTTCTCGTCACTAAAATATTAACAATTTAAAATAAAGATGAGTAAAGGATTGGCAAGGTAATCCATTTAAAAGGAAGTCCCTTTGAAACTTTGGTGACCTATCTTCACTCATCGAAAACTTGGAAATGTCTGCTAGCAAGAGGAGTTAACAACTCGAGACACCACAAAACATATGTGTCACTCTGCATTCCAAGGAATCTTATGATCAAGTGCAGTTAATAACCAACTAAGCAAAATCTCACCTGCTGTTCGAGCGCTTGCTGGAGTCCTTCTTGCCGGCCTGCAGGTTGGGCAGGTCCTTCTGCCGCTTCTTGGTCTCGCGCCAGATGCGCCAGTAGAGGAAGCACATGATGGTCACCGGGAAGTAGAAGGCGGCCAGGGCGGTGCCGAACGTGATGTACTGGTTGGTCTCGATGAACTGGATGTAGCACTCGTCCTTGGGCACCGTCCGCTTGCCCTCGATGTAGGGCCAGCTGTAGATCCACGGCGGCCAGAGGAGCAGGCTGATGCCCCAGGCGGCTCCGATCATCACGGCCGCCCGGTTGGTTGTCCGCTTGGCGCGGTACGTCAGCGGCCGCGTGACGCTGAAGTAGCGGTCGAAGCTGATGATCAGCAGGTTCAGCACGGAGGCGTTCGAGGCCAGGTAGTCGAGGGCCAGCCACGTGTCGCAGACGATGGGCCCCAGGGGCCAGTAGCCCAGGATCGTGGTGACCGCGAACAGCGGCATCGATATGGCGCCGATGGCGAAGTCCGCGATGGCCAGCGAGAAGAGGAAGTAGTTGCTGATCGTCTGCAGCTGCTTGTCGATCTTGAAGGATATCATCACCATCACGTTGCCCAGCACTGTCACCGTGCTCAGAATCGCCGCCACGAAGCCCATGACCACCATGGAAGCCAGGGAGTAGCGCGGCCCCTTCGTCTCGAAGCCCAGGGTGCCGTTGCCGGTCTGGTTGCCGTACAGGCCCGCGTACGGATCGTAAAGCCCGCTGGCCGCCGTCGACGTGAGGTTCTCGAACAGGGCGGTCAGCAGGGTGGTGCCCGAGTATCCTGGCGCGTAGCCCGCCGGACTGCTCGTCGTCGTCGTCGTGCTGGTCGTCGTGGTCGTGGTGGTCGTTGTGCTCGTGGTTACGGTTTTAAACAGCGGCTCCAGTATGCTGGGCGGTCCGTGGGCCGCGAGTGCCAAACTCATCACCGGCTCCATGGCGGATACGTGATTTTATATGCTTTGCAGCTGTGCGGATTACGGTTCTCTGTCTCGCTCTGTGTGAGTCGCTATCTCGCTCTCTCGCTCGCTCGCTCTCTGTGTAGCCAGCCAGTCGCTCAGTTGTCCCCCCATCCGCTGCTTATCCTTTTGGCTGCACCCACGCAAGGCGTTGGCCATTTTCCCCGTGGCCCTGCAAGCAGTAAAAAACGGGGGTTAGGCGGTGGCATTACGAAACGGTGCGACAGGAGAACTCCCCAAAATAATTACTCCGACGGTTCTGGAAACTTGTCCTCGTGTAGGCCATGAAAATACATCCTTAATACCTCGTTTTGGCTCGGAAAAACAGACTGTCTACTTTGTAATTTCTTGTTTGCAACGTAAAAAAGAAAACTGGGTTACAGAGAACCTTTCAAAAGTCCCATACCTTCTCAAATTTACAGCCTTTTGAGTGACAGCAGTAAACATCAAATAGATGCCAAAAGCCGAGCTGCAAAGTGGTGCCGCAGAAAATTATTAAATTACCCAAGTAGAAGATGACGGCAGGCCAAAGGAACAACTTGCGGTGAAAATAATTACCTAGATGAAGATTCCCTGCGTGGCAGCCGGATGCAGCGGTAATTATGATAAGCCAACTTGGGCGGTTAAGCACCGAAATGTACTCGAGCTTAGCGGCTATAATCAACTTGAGACCCAAGATTTCAGACCTTCGAGCTCGAGGCGTAATTGCATGCGGTGGGAAAGTGCAGCAATCGCGAGTCAGTTGCACATGCAGCCACAGGATTGCCGAAAGCCCACGCCCAGCGGATAAGAGCCATCTAAAAAGAATGGCGAGATTTATGAGAAACTGTCCCCGGCACTGGCCTTTGATATATCTCATCTCACTTTGGGCCGAGGGCCTGGCAAGGAATCGTGGGAGGGGAGGGAATGGGAGGGTGAAATAATATATTTACAATGCCAGGGGCCTGACTTGCTTTGTCCTTTCTGCAAAATGACATTTTCTGTGTGATTTGTTTTAATGGAAATGAAAAAGTGGATGTAGAAGTAGATGCCGCTGTGGATGTGACTGTGAGTGTAAATGAAAATGAAAACGGCTTGAATTTGAATGCGTTTCCTTGGCAGGCCTCAGCCAGCCACACCCACAACATTTGTTGTTCGTTTATTACTGTTCGCCAACAATGGCAGTGGCAAGAGCGACAAAACGACAAAAACTCATGGCAAAAATAACAACAGCGCGTGCAACAGTCGAGGAAAGAACTTGGCTCGAACAAGGAGCATCGAGCTGCGAGCTTCGAGCTGCGAGCTCCGACACTTTGGCACGGAAATGTTCCAGGCGGCTTCCTCTGACACTTTTCAAAACTATTGACGTTGTCATTGGCCATATGCCTATACATATCTGCAAAATGAGCTGGCTTGTTCATTTGGCAGCCATTGTGCCCGCCGACTTTGATTTGGAAAGTTTCTCGCTCGTAATGAAAGCCACGTTACGCATACGCCATGGCTGCCACCTGATTGATAGGCCATGATACGTGGCGAAGCGAACAGGCCACAATGAGATGTGTCCGTGATTGATTCGCATTCAATGGACTCGAAGTTATTGTGTGCTGCGCCATTGTCCTGGTCGAGGCGTTTTCACACAAATCAGGCCACAAAAGGGTCAAATTCCAGAAAACTAATTTACGTATACGCAATATTTTGCACAGCAATCCTATTTGATACCCGATTTTATTGCGTTGCTGCCAAACATTTGTTTGTTTTGGCCTTGCAATTCAGTGCATTCAAAAAGAGAAGAACCTAATATTCAGCCCACACAAGGGTCAAGCCCCGAATATTTAACAAGAATTTATTTCATAATATATATTTGATTTATTGAAATGGTATGACAGCCATTGATGTTTATTTTATCAGCCCTGCTGATGTTTTTTTAAATGTTAAACTATGAATAATAGACTTTATTTATTTCTACAAGCCTGTATTTAAATGGATTAATATTAAAGCAAACAATAGCGTGAAAGGCATACAAAACCTAAACTGATTAAATTTTGCCTGTAATTTTCTAGTCTTGTCCTTCTATGTAACTAACACGAGCACAAAGTTAATTGTCAACCATAAAAACATAGCCTACTTTTGGGTTGCATGAATTCACGCCGACAAATGTCCTGCCTAATGTAAATCGCTCAAATTAATAAACCAATTGAAATTTACATTCTGAAAACATAAGTGAATTGTGCACATTGATGGATCAATTGACCTTTTGTCGAACTCAATCAATGTATAATTTCCACGGGCTTTGCTTTTCTTTTGTTTTGGGCTATTTATGGCAAACTCCAGTGGATGCCCAATTAAATGCAGCGTTAACCAATAAATCAATCAAAATCCGTCTGTTTATCTCATTGAAAACACGCACACACGTATAAATCAATTGCAAAACAAGCTAACGAAATGCGGGGAGATGGGCAAAACCAATGGGGCGCCATAAATTGAGCCGACGTATCGTATTGACAACAACAACATTCCGAGCAACAAATGGAGAGGGCAGAACATTTCCAATAAATGAAAAAAACAAATCGCAGGAGTGGAGAGGTTCGTGTGAGTCGATACTACTTGGATATCCCTTCAGCAAGAGGCTTGCTTTCCTTTTTGCTTGGAGGCCAGCCAAAGTAGTTGCATCGTTATTTCTCGGCTACGTGATTTTGACTTGGCCACGTCAGCTTACGGCCTTTTTAGGGGCGCAACTCTAGTTATTGGTAATCAGTGGCCCGATTTCCCGGCTGCTAGCTGTCCGCTGTGTGTTACATTCAAATTTATCAGGCGACCGCTCCTCCGGCAAGTAATCGAATGAGCTTCTTGTTGCCGTGCCGTGCCTCGCTTTTTGGCTGCCATAAAAAAAGGATTTATGGATTTATTATCAAATGCGTTGGACGCGAAAACACAAGTAACCATGTAGCACACACACAGCCTCGAAAACAGCAACACACACATATGCGTGAGCAACCTGCGACCCGCGAGGATTTGTTTTGCCATTTATTAGGCTATTTTTGTGACACAGCCACGAGCTGGTGGAACGATGAAGTAAACACAGTAGGCAACCGCTAATTAAATCAAGGGCCCCTCATTTTCAGCCATGTGCTGCCTCCTGCCTGGCCATAAATCTCAAACTAGCTTATAATCGTATGCAAAACAATGGTAGATCTCTTTAATCACTGCTAAATAAATAATACTGCCAGGCAATTGGCTGCAGAGTGGATGATTGTAAATTTCTGTTCTATCAGGAGCTTACAAGTGTCAGGTGACACAGTTCTTATAAGCTCTTGGCAACCGCTGATATAATGAAAGGTGAAAAATTGATTAATCACTTTCATTTGCAAATTGGTTGTACAACAATGGTGTACATTATTTTCCTGAACCGTAAGTAAACGTTATCCGAAAAGGTTTTCAGGTTATTGAAGCGTGGAATTACAAAAAATATTAACTAATTGGCATCCAAAACATTATAAGGAAATAAGCTAGTTAGTTTTACAAGGTGAATTGAGAAAAGTGACTATAAATGTGCTTGACAATTTTCGGCGGGTATGTTCGTTGAAATTTAAAGGATGTATGTTTTTTCTCTTTTAGGCAAATTTCACTGTCTTCGAAAGTGTGTATTTTTGATCAGCTCATCAACAGTCGGCTTTATTTTGCATTGGTTATTCTCGTTCTCGTTCTGGTTCGCTTCTTTTTATGCGGGCTCTGTCAACGCTCACACACACACTTGCCGACGCCTATTTACACACTCCCACTCGCCCACACCAACACACTTACACACACACGCAGTTTGGGAAAAGTAAAAGGAACGGAAAGAAAGGCAGGCCAACTAGCTTGCATACTTTCGAGCGCCCTGTCTTTTACTTGGGCTCTTTGCTCCTTTCTGCTGGCTTATGTTAATTTTTGCGCGAGTTTAATTGCTTGCCACATGGCTGATGCCCCTAGCTGTTAGCTGCTTTATGTTGCCTTCTTTCTGCTGCCTGCCCTCGGAATTCAGCTCTCAGCTCGGACCGAGCTGCTTTGCCTGCCTTGTTTGCGGAAATTAAATTGCTGGACTGGCTTTCACCTTATGCTCCGGCTGTCCGCTAAGCATATTGCCATGCGAAATGTGCCCACACAGAGAGAAAGAAGAATCCTGTTTGTGTGTACTCTTTACTTTTCAATTGCATATTTCTCTTATAATTTATTGAACCAAATGTTATCAATATTTACAGAGATAATTATGAGATTAAATTTTTCAGTTTTTTTTAAAACAATGTAAAACACATTGTAAAGTAACTCTATTTTGTGCTCAATGTTTTAAAACGCCCTCGAGAATTTTTAAAGTCTTCAAATATATTCCTATCGCTAAAAGGACTTTTTCCAAATGATTTTTATACAAATGGTAACTATTTAAGATCTGTTTTAATGTTTTTTTCTGCCGTGCAGGCTTTGGCGAGGTTGTGCGAACTGGTGGGCCGTAGGTCCAGGGGGTGGTGGAGCGGGCGGGAGGGGAGGCTGAGCCGCGCCCCACCGACCTACTCGCACAAAGTTTAATCAAAACGAGAGCACTGGAAACGGAGAAAGCAGCGCTGCCGACGTCGACGGCGCCGCCAACGCACACACACACGCGCACAAACACTTACTTACTTGCACTCTCTTTCTCTCACTTTCGCTTCTCTCTCCTGGCGCTCACGTGCCCTCTTGCTCTAACCTATTGCTTATTTGTGAGTTTCCCGTTGTAACATTAGTGACATCGCTGTTGTTGTTGATGCTGCTGTCTTTGCTTTTGGCTTTGCTTTGTTTTTCTTTAGTGATGCTGCTTGCGTCGCTGCCGCTGCCTCTGCCTGCGTCGCTGTCGCTGATTTGGTGTTGGTGTTGCTTTTGTTGCCTTTGCTGTTTCTGTTGATTTTGGCCATTTGCCGCTCCCAAAAGTATGCTTTGTAATTTTTTGTATTGTGCGCGCACATCTTCGGCTTTCTGCTTTCTAGTATCCTGCTGCTCCTGCCGCTCCTTGCTGCCCCGCTCCTCCTCCTTCCGCCCTCCGTTCGATCCACTGCCCTGCTCAATTCATTTCGCCTTTCGCCAATTTTATTATACACAATGCGGACTGCGACGCCGACGTCGCTGCCGCTGCCTCAGTCGGCGTCTACGCTGCCGCAACGCTTTGCGTGCCCAAAGTTTCCACATTTAACATTGTAATCGGGTTTATTATTTTCGCTATATAGACACTAAAAAACACTTTTGTGGCCCCGCACAACTCTTAATTGTTTTTCCTACTATTTATGAATTTAATTATTGCTTGTTGTTAAAAATTCCCTTGACTAGATAGCGGTAGTAAAAAATCTTGTTCGGGCTCTTTTTGCACGCGTTTTGTTTTTCACTCGGCTGGTGGCTCTGGCTTTCTGAGCGGATAAAACAGAGAAGCTGTAGCGCACGTTGCTAAATCTCATCCGGGACTGAAGCTGAAAATTTTAGCCAAGGTATATAACGGTACAGAGCCGAGGCGAGAGAGCCAAGCCCGAACAGCGCAAGAGAGAGACGGAGTCGGAGAACGAGAGAGAGCGCGAATTCTTAATGCTGGAATTTGTGTTTGTTGGGCAACATGGCGAGCATCCTTTTACGAACACCCTCGCACAAAGGACATGCGGAAAAATGGAATCTGCGTGTGTGTGTGTGTGTGTGTGTGTGCAGCCGAAAATGTGCTGGCAGCGGAACTTAATGGATGAATATGAATGAAAACGCCGCAACAGTCCAAGTTGAAGGGGGTGGTAAGAAAGGGGAGGTTGGGGATAGGGACACCCAGTGGGTGGCAAGGGGAATTCCAGGTGGCGAAGACCAGTCCGCACGAGGCCCACGGGCATTGCTCGAGTGCCATCTTTTGAAGCGGCAACATCTACGACTGCCACATCTGCGGCAGCAACAGCAACAACAGCAACGACAGCAACACCAAGAACAGCAGCAACATCAAGTGTAGCAGCAACACCAACAACACTGGCAACTTTTCAATGGGACTCCTGGCGAACGAGTGTAGCGCGTTAGTGTGAGTGGCGCTGCGAGGGTGTTCGTGTGAAGTGGAAACGCTGGAAAAGCGCATTCTCACATTTCAATTAAATAATACCGCCAGCGTACGGTCACAATTGCCAGTTCAATGGGCATTCTGGGCCAGCACTACATTTGTATAGAAAGGAACCACTTAAGCTCTTAGTCAATTTTAACTGAAAGGTTCTGCATTCGAAACAGTTGCTGGTAAATTGGTCTGGGGACTTTAATGTTAAAGTTTATTGATTACAAAATGTCTTAAACACAATACTTTAAAACCCCTATTCTAATTTTCATATTACTTCATCAATTTTTTATACAACTTTAATTTGAAAGAAAAACAAAGTATTCAATTTTAAAATACCTTTTTTTTAACACTCTTCTTTATCAAAAGCTCATTTTTACATATCAAATAATTCATTTAAATAATAACTTTGTTTCAAGGCCAGCATATCCCTCAAGTACCTGAACTTAATTAAATATATAATTTAAAATTTTTGGGTGGTAATTAAGCTTTTGCCAAAAAGTAATTACGGCACAGTATTCTAACTTCGAGCCCTTTGACAATTACGAGCGGGTCCCTCAAGTGCCTTGGCTTTATTAATAGCAACTCATGTTGCGTTTAAACTGGACAACAATGGATCTAACGCGCCTGACATGGCACTGTGACCCACACCGTCCCTGCACAATATCACCCACATACGCCACCCATCCAAATCCTGGCAACCGACAAGCCCGCGCTTTCCCCTTGGGCTTGGCATGTGTTAAGGTCTGCGGATACTTTCTGTATGCTCGTCATACCATATATGATATAAAAATACATAAATGGACAATGCAAAGGAAAGATGAGTAAGAGCTCTGTGCCACTGGGAGGACGAGGGCGGGGGGCGGGAGGCGGACGTGGGAATGGCCAGCTCGGATTAGGGACAGAATTGATTGCGAGTGGGCGTGGTGGGAGTAGTCTCGATCCAACACTGTTCCAAGAACGGCTGCAATAAATGGCCAGAAATCGAGTGCTGCAGGAAGGTCGAGTTTATCAGTGCCCAATGCATCCATATGCTGGAATTTTGTAGCGACACCACTGTCGAGGAAGCCGGAAAATTCTTTAGAGTGCCCCCACATTGCCCATACGCACCGTTGACCATGTAATCGAAAGGCACAGCATGCCATTGCTCAGCTAGAGAAATGCCAAGCCCAGTGGACAGATATTGTTGGCATGCTGGCGAGAGTTTAGCAGTTTTTGGTACTGACATATTTTTCGACATTCAAGCACAATTTCGCTTCAACTTCCAGTCAAGTTGAGTTACCGCAGTCGAGTTCCTGAAGTATTGACGCTAAAGTTTTCCATTTAATCTTGCTAAATTAAATTTATGAGGCCAAAGAAAGCTTAACAAAGAAAAAGATAAACACTCTAAGAACAAAGTCATGGGTTTTTAGCATAAGCACAATAGACTAAAATTCCGGTTTTCCAAATAATAGATAGACTCATTGTCATTTTTCTATTCTGTTTTAATATTTTTTTTGTTGAATATTGTTTTTGTTTAATTTTAAATATATATATTTATATAAAATATATAAGCATAAACGTTTACAAATATAAATATCTTTTATCGTTACCCGACGGCCTCTCATTATCCATCTGCATATCTACCTTCGGTCTGCAGCTCGAAACTCGAGCGCTCACATAATTTGTTTTATGGAATCCCAACGTCTCACATATTTCTCCTGTTGCCACATATTAACTTTTGCTAAACTTTCCGTATATGTGTCTTTCTGTCTCTAAGTGTGTGTGTGTGTGTGTTAAGTTGCATAGTTAAGATACAAATATTTATAGATATATTTACAATTGCGATAAGGTCAACAAAAAAATATTTGTTTGGTGTACGTATGTTTGTCCTTTTGAGTGCGGGAGTGTGTGGTTGCGTTAAACATAGATAAATATTAAGTAAATTTAATTCTGCTCTCGACGGTTAGTGCTCATATAACATACATCGTATATAATATATACATGTGGACATGTATAATCGTAGATATGGTATTTCAACGCATTGGATTGGATTTTCGACAGATCGATAGACATGAACAATAATAATAATAGAACAATAGGCTAAAGTACACTGCAAGATGATAAAATTAAACTTATGCAATACGTTTTTACGACACAAAAACTTAAGCTTGACCCGACGCGCTGCTTGGCACGACTTACATACATGTCCATCTAAAATATATATTCTCTCTATATATAAGCAAAGGCAGAGGCGCTCAATCTCTGGCGGAAGCCTTAATGGATGGCTGACAATTGTTTTGTTACGTTCTGCATAGCTGTCATAGCTGCTGCTGCCGGTGCAGTTCCTTTGTTTGCCGGTTCGACAGGCTGGCTTCCCGTCCCGGGGCATCGTGTTTCCTAGGCACTCAGCCCTCGGAATACGAACTCAGGCTGCTGCGCGTTGATCCGGTGAAGTGATCACGCTGCAAGGTGTCCGAGGGCATGGACACAATCAGAGCGCCTCCGTACAGGGTCTCCATTTCGTCCAGCTGCTGGGCGAAGGTCTCCTCCAGGCGCTGGTTCGGAATATGAGATCATCATTAGAAATGCACAGCACGGAAGCAGATTTACTAGGCAACAACATTCAATCTCACAATATCAAGTTTTATAGACGGCAAGAGGGCGTGTATAAAGTTTAGCTATATAGCGCATGCATTAGTAGGACATTTAGAGCTAAAGAACTATACATAGAGTACACAGTGCATTTCGGAACCATCAGATATGCAATCTCCGTTCGGAGACCCTAAATATCGCATAGTAACGAAGCACACTGGGGATAGATCAAAGAACTAACCTCTTGTTGCAGCCGCTGCTGTAGTTGCTTTACACATTACGAGAAGAGGAGAGCCGGCAAGAAAAGTTTTCGGATACAGATTTTTGATTTGATTTGGTTTGGATTTTTGGTTTTTGTTTTGGTTTTCGATAGCAGCGCGTTGTTGTTTGCATGTGGGTGTTTATTTTTAAGTAGGTGTGTACAGTGAAGCATCATGAAATTGCAATATGATAATATTTATATGTATGTTTATAGCTATAAGAATGTTTACAGTAAGATATGGCTACACAAATGCTTGGCATGTTGCTAAGTGGAATGTCGATTGTATTCTTTATTATTCACTTTCGTTTACTAAGTACTTCGATAATACTGCTTAATTGGAATGCATTTGGAGGCGGAGGGCTGGTCCAAGTCAAGAAAATACTTTAACAATAAAAATATGCAAACAAGTAATCCACTTTTCGTTCAATAAAATAGCAATTTCAACAAACATATCAACTTTTGGCAAGACAGAATGTATGGCGATTTCCGATGCAGAGCGGTAGTAGGCGAGAAGAGCTTTACAAATTCGGTTAGCGCAATGAAGGGTTTTGGGTAAGAAGAAGAAAGGAAACTACGAGGGATGTGTAGTTAGCCAGCACCAAGCGAGGGATGAAAAGCTGGTTAGTTTGGTATCAGTAGGTGTGAGTATAGGATTGATTGACTGGTTAGTGTTTAGTAACTGCGGTGCATGCAGGAAACTGGCTGCTGGAACGTGGCAAGTGCTGATCGCGGTCATCCTTCGCCTTCTTCTAGATGGCCGATGAGTCCTCCTCGCAGCTGTGCTGCCGCTGGTTGACTCGTGGCAATCTGTACTTTGCCGCGTACAGATCGTAGTAGAAGTCATCGGAGGTGGCGGCCGAGTCCGCCGAAGCAACGCTTCCGTTGGTGCGACTGTGTCCCGGCTTAACGGAGGACCTCAGCCCCGGCTGCACTTCGTCCAGCAGAGCGGCTGCCTTTCGTCCCGAGTCAAAGATCAAGTCCGCATCGCTTGTGAATCGCGTGCTCAGCTCGTTTATGTTGTACATCGATTGGGCACTGCTCAGCGAGGATCTGCCGCTGCTGCGACTAGCCAGTGAGGGTCGCTTGATGGCAAAAGAGGTGGTGTGCAGCAGGCGCTGCGTGTGGGCAGTCAGCACGGGTCCCTCGTGAATACGCAGCTCCACGCCACTAGCCTCCGCCGCCGCCTTGGAGTCCAAGCGGCTGAACCGGTTGGTCACGAGGCCCAGGTCGTCTGGTGTCTTGGGCGACGTGCTGCCACGGAAGGTGCTCATGGCCGGCTTGGCGCTCGCATCCTCCGCGCTGTTTAGCGGCGGAGTTGTGGTCACCACCTTGACCAGCTCGTTGGCCGGGAGCTGTGTGATGAGGCGCAGCTGGTTCTGCGCAGGCAGCGTGGTCACGCTGGCCCGCTTCATCTGCTCGCTTAGCATCTGCTCCTCATCCTCCTCCAGCACAAGATCACTGATCATCTGCGATCGCTGCTGCTTATGGAGGATCGGTGTGCTGGGCACACTGCGGCTAAGATCAGGAGCCGATCCACGGAAGTTGGACATCCGACTGCCGCCGCCGCCCATCATCAGAAGCGAGGACCGGGAGCGCGGCATGAGCTGGGGATCGATGAAGGTGTTGCGCGGCAGCAGACGCGACGATCGCTCGTTGTAAATGTTGCGCAAGCGCACGGGCAACTCCACTTCCTGATCCTCGAACTCCTCCCGATTGACCACCAGGCCAAAACGCTTCTCGTGCTCGTCGATGGCCACCTTGATCTTTTTGTTCAGTTCCTACGCTCGTTTCGATTTGGTAGTTAAACACATGCATGACCAAATCCGTTGATTGATTGGTTGGTTTTTGGTTAGTAGTTGGGAAGCACAGCGGTAAGCATTTTTATATATTTTGTTTAATTTTTATCAGTTATCGGTTTCGTATTTTTGGTTTTTTTTTTTTTTTTAGTTTTGTAGGTAGTAGTAGGTACAGTAGGCCACCAAAGTGAATGCATTTGCGTGGGTGTAAAGAGAGAGAAAAAGTTGAAAAAATAATTGGATTAAGTTCAGCCTTGGCTCAGCCAAGTTGCAGCGGTTTGAAGATGAGCCAGGGGTTAGTCAGTCATAGTCCCAGTTCCTATATCAGAAGCCCGTCTTGGCTCACAAATAAAAATAGCTAAGCTAACTGCTGATTCACTGCATTTTTTTTCCCTATTAAACAAATGAGTCACAGGTTTGTTGATTGTATGACAAATCCATTTGAGCAAATACAATTAAACCACCAATCGTTTTGAAACCGTCCACCACGGGTATAGCTCATCTCCAAACCGCACAACTTTGGAGGAACGGGTCGGGATGGGTTTCATTTAAAAGGAAAATAGGGGAGCACAAGACACCACAGTTGACCGTAAACCAATCAATATACAATATATCATGACCAACTTATAGTAAACGAATTGATCTACTTTGTACATATAAAAAAACACAACACCAACGAAATAAGGCTGAGAGCATTTGGCTGAGACAGCTCTTGGGCGGATCTCAGATGGGGATTTGGCATACACACCTGTTTGCGGGGCACTAGTTGTTCACGCCACTCGCGCAGTTCCCCCTTGAGTCGCTCATCGATCTCCAACAGCTTAGAGTGCTCGTGCTCCACCAGAGCCCTTCGCTTTTCGTTCTGAAGTTGCTCAAGCTCTCTGTGAAGGGGATACAATAAGTAAAGGCTAGAAATATCCTGAGCAGCACCTACTTTATGGCGCTTTCACGTGTGGCGCGTAGCTCTTCCAATTGCTTTTGATGCTTCACCTCGAACCTTCGCTCTTCCTGCATGTAGCGCTTCTTCTCCTGCTCCTGGAACTGTAATTTAAATGGGGATTATTTAAAGTACAAATTTATTTTCTCCTATAATGTATAAAATACCTTCTTCAATCGATCGCGTTCGATCTCCGGATCGAGGTTTGTGGAAATACGTAGGGATTCACGGAACATGAGGTCTCGTGCCTTGCGCTCTGCCCGAATTCGCTTGGGAAGTGCTCGCTTTTCCATCGTTTGCTTCTTAACCATGTCCTCCTCCTTGCGCTGCAGCATGCGCTTTACCTGGTCCAGTTCCTTCTCGTGCCGAATGATCATCTGGTGGCGCTGCATGAAACAGAGTTCCTTCACATGCCGCTTGGAAAGCTGGTGGCGTTCGTGGAGCTGTTTCTCCTCGAGTTCCCAAAGCAGGGCCTCCCGCGTTCTCATCGCATTCTGCTTCTGCTGCAGGAAGTTTCGATTGATGGTGGCCAGGTGGTCTCGATGCTTCTCGCTAAGTCGCCTTAACAGCAGCTCGTGCCTCTCCTTAAGGGAGTCAAGGAAGGCGCGCTCCTTCTCCTCGTGGTCCAGTTCCATGGCCGATCGGCGCTGCTTAAACTCGTCCTTGCGCTTGTCCTTGGGGAACAGGTCCACCTCCTGCTTGAGCAGGCGAATCTCCTGTTTGAGGTTTTCGCGGAAAATCTTCAGTTCCTGCTCCTGTTCTGAGCGAATTCGCTTGGACGAGGAGCGCAGCTCGTTCTCCTGCGTCTGCTCCGTCTTTTCGACCAGCTGCTTGTGCTGCCGCGCCAGCATGTCCATGTCCGCCTCGTAGGTCTTTTCCAGCGAGGACCGCTCCTGCTCAAAGCGACGGTCCTGCTGCTCCTTGGCCTGCTGCTCCTTCACGTACAGCTCCGTCTGCTGTTTCCTCTCCTGCTTCTGCAGCATTTTCAGTTCGCGCAGCTCCTGCTTACGGAAGTCATGGTCGTCGTAGATTCGTTCGTTTTCGTCGTCGCCGTAGATCACCCGACTCGTGGTGGTGGTCATCTGCACGCCATCGATCTCAAATTTCCGGGTACGCTTGCGTGTCTTTTTGCGCAGGTTGCGCAGCTCAATCTCCTCTTTAGTGAGGCCCTGGGCATTCACGGTCTTGACTACTGGCGGAACCCTCGCCTTGGGTCGGATCACCACCTCCTCCTCCTCGTCTATGGTCTCGTGGTTGTGGTTGTTGGTCACCGAGGGAGGTGGCGGGGGCATCAGCACGGCCGATGGTGGTTGCAAAGGCTGTTTGTTATTGTGGTCCACCTCGTGCCGGCTGTCTTGACTAGTGTTGGTGCCAATGCTGTCCACGTCGGATCCTCCGCTTACCAGCACCTCGATGCCCCGACGTCCACGCACCGAGCCGTTCTCGCTCAGCGAGCTGTCCGGCGAGCGCTTATCGTGCTTGAATCGGTTCACGACGATGTTCACGTCCTCTGGCACAAGTCCCAGTCCGTTGGGCTGTCGCTTGCCAAGCTCGTTGCTGCTGTCCTTCACCTTAACGCCCTCGTCGCCCACGGTGACCACGGATACATGACTCGTGTCCATCAGGTGGTCGCTGTGCTCGTGACTGTGGCTGCCGGATGCCGTGTTGTAGGCGGAGTCGTCGTCCGCGTACGAGGGACTTACGATCAGCACCTCGCTCTCGTCCAGCTTGCGGGCGTGGACGGCGGAGTTTTGCGGCTGCGGCGGAGGAGCTGGAACCGCTCCCGCTGGCTCATTTACGGCCAATATCATTGAGGACTGCTTGTGAGGCGGAGTGCTAGCATCGCCCAAGCTGTCGTCCAAGGAGGGGAAGTCGTCGTCCGTCGAGGACTCGTGCAGATGAGTACTCTTGTTGAGGTCGTTCGACACGATGATCACCTCGTTCTGCGCCGGCATCACAGAGTTGTCAATAATCACCGGCGGATGGGTGCTGGTCACCACGGTGATCTGGCTCACCGACTCCAAACTGTTGGGAAGAACCAAGTGCTGCGGTTGCGTTGGCAACGGCAGTTGGTGCTGCGGAGTTGGTGGATCGCTGTTGATGGTGATCAGCGAAGTACTCGAGCTGAGAACAGCGTTTGAGGCACTACCCGAGGAGCTGGAAGAGGCCACCGAGTGGACCGACACAATGGAAGAGGCCGTGGGCGAGGGCGGTTGCGGTTTTGGCTCCACCGCTTCCTGGCCGATGGCCACCTCAATGGCCGTTGTAATTGGAGAGGCGGGCTCCGGCGTGGCCAACTTTTTGGGAGATGTCTGGGGATCGGTGGCAGCAGCTGGCTTGACGTTTGCAAGGCCCAATGGAGACGGTGGGGGCGGCGCCTTGCCCTTTTCCTTTTTGACAAAGTGCTATGGAACGGCAGACATTAATTTGTGTCAATAAACCAGTACACATGCACTTACCTTCTTGTCGGATTCGGTTTTTTCAGCTACTTCAGTTACAGCTGCCAATTCTTCTGGTTTCTTTTGCAGCACGGCCGCTGGGGCTTGGACTGGTGGTGTGGACTGCTGGACTTGCGGTGGTGGCGTTTGTTGGGACGACGGCGGCGCTGGAGCAGGCACTTTGGTATGCGGTGGCTGCTGGGCTGCCGCTTCAGCATTGTCATCCTTTGTGTGGTTTGGTCTGTCCGGAGTGGTTGCTTTTGTTGTGGTTGTAGCCGTTGCTGCTGCTGCAGTGGCCGCTGCTGCGATTGGTAAACTGCTACTTGGTTGGGACTGCTCTTTGGCATCCCGCAAAATGGATGTAGGTGTACCTGGAACTGTAGAACGTTACAGAACATAAGTTATAGATACAGAAACACATATGTTACGCAAGACACTCACGTTTGTCAATATCTTGGCTCTGCAGCGAAGCAGAGTCATCGTCCAGGTCTAGCTGGAGCGCCGAGTTGCGGGGTTCCTGTGAAAGATTAACAGAAAGCCATAAGTATTTCGTCAACTATGTATTCCCTTAAGTACAGCTGTTCGTCTAGCCGAGCTACTTGACTTTTACTACTTCAGCAACTCAAACTACAGACTTTAAACTATATTCGATATGCCGAATTAGCATATTATCATTAACAAATTCCTAACTCTGAGTAATACCTATTTTTAAACATCAAAATAACCCAGCAAGAATTTGTTGTCATAGAACGCAAAGCGTTAAACGCACTGTTTGCAAATTTTATCTGTTATTGCTCCATAAAGAATATCTGAGTCTTAAAGGTAAAGAGCTTATAGATAGTGAAACTGTCACAATTGTCAGCTAGACGCTGGTCAGAATGATTAGTAATTTAAAACCGTGTGTGATTGAAAGTGTGCTTGCTATAATTACCGCAAGAAACCGATAACTTGGCAAGGGCTTTTACAGAAACCCGAGCACATACACAAACAGAGCGAACGTAGAATGTCTTCGGCGGGGGAGCTGAGTGATAAGCAGCATTTGGCAATGCTGATAAAATAAGTAAACTAATTGTGCGCCCGCCTCTGGGCGACAGTGCCTGGGATGCAGTGCCGGATGGTGCGGTGCACGGGTGGAACGGACGGAGGACGGACGAGTGCTGTAGAACGACTTACCAACCCTCTGATAGAGCGAGCGCCGTTTCACTTGGCGTTTAAGCTTCTATATCAATTATTTCCAAGTAACCACATACAAATGATAAGAGCAAACATTGCGACATTTTGGCAGTGTGGAACAGAACAGAACGGAACGTAACATAAACGCAAGGCAAAGAATAGTCGAGAATAAACCAAGATAAACATATAAAAATAATGTATCGCGCGGTGCGATTTTGATTTTGGTTGGGTTGAGGCGGCAGCGTGTAAGAGAGAAGAAAGAGCAGTTGGAGAGGTGAGAGAACGTTGATATTATCGTCACATCTAGCAGTTGGACTACATGGGTGCGGTGCAGGGCACAGGAATTAAATGGGCTTCCAGCCACACTTACCTCGGTCTCGTCATCCACCACCTCCTCCACGACTTCAGCCTTGTACTCGAGCAGCAGATCCTTGATGGGCTTGGCATCCAGATTCCTGTTGATGAAGCCGTGCTGCATCAGCACTTCCGTCGTGGGCCTCACTTGTGGATCCTTCGGGGCCAAAAATACACAAATTATTAGAAGCAATTGGCATTTGGGGTTACAAGATGCAGACCTTGACTAAAGACTTCTTGAGAAAGTCATTGAACTCCTTGCTCCATCGGGAAGGCTGCTCCAACTTGGGCGGCTCACTCTTTTGGATTTTGAGTAGCACTCGCATGGGAGACATCTCGCTGTTCGGCGGCTCCATCTGGGCAAGCTCAATGAGCGTGATGCCCAGTGACCAGATGTCCACTTTGTGATCGTACGGGTTGTCCCGGAACGTTTCGCAGAGCACCAGCTCCGGAGCCATCCAGTAGGGAGTGCCAATGAAGGTGTCGTGCTTCTGCATCGTGTGTTTGTTCTTGGCCGAGACGCCGAAGTCCGCTGTACACAAGGGTTTAAGCATACAAAGTTGTGTGGTGAGGGATATTATAAACACCTACCCAATTTAACCCCTCCTTCCATGGTAAGCAGTACATTTCCTGCCTTTAAATCGCGGTGAATGACTTTGTTGCGGTGCAGGAAGGTTAGGCCCTCGGTCATGTGCTTGCAAACGTAAGCAATTTGCGGCTCAGTCAGGGGCTTTTCCAACTCCACCATGATGCTGTCCAAGGCTCCGCCATCGCAGTACTCGATGAGCATCTGTGGGAGGATTTTTCCGGTGATAACTCTCTCTCCTGTCTAAAAATTTTACCACAATACTTACCCATAGCTTATCATCGATGGAGAAGGCCTCATACAGTTCTACCACATTGGGGTGCTTAATCTCCGATAGGATATCGATCTCGACCATGTGGTCGCTGAGGTTCTCCTCGTCCTCCAGCTGGCACATTTTAGCAGCTGCAAAACGCTTCTGCTCCTTGTGTTGGGCCTTATAAACCTTGCCGAAGGCTCCGTCACCAAGTTCCCCAACCATTTCCCAGAACTCCTCTGGGTCCGTATCCATCTTAATGTTGTTGTAAAGGCGCTTCTTTTTGGCCTCACCTCCGCCGAGGTGGAAGACCTTTTTCAGGTTGGTTATAAAAGACATTTTGGCTCTCGCTTAGATTTCCCCTGCTGCTGCTGATGACGATGATGATGGCGATCGGGGTTGAGTCTACATAGTGAGCTCCTGGGCGAGAGTCCAAGCAGGAAAACTAGATTTGGTGAAAGCTGCGGACATTAGCAAGCGCTATATTGATTGACTCGGCAGGTGTATCGCAGACTTGGCAGGGGTTCAAGTCGTGTCCGGGAGAAGTAGTGCCCCGTAGAATATGGAATGCAGAACCGTAGCCCAGTTTTTGTAGTATAAACTCACCTTTTAGCCGTTCTTTACACTCTCTCTTCGGGGTTCCTTCTCTTTTTTAGCAAAATAGGCCAACGAGCGGGGATTGTGGGCTTGGTTTGGACCGTCTTTAACGCTTCTGTATGTTTTATAATTTAATTAGCAGCTCGCGAGCTCTAATATTTGTAGAAAAAACACGTACGAATGGGAGGAAAATGATTACAAACGAGAAAAAGTCAAAGACGTAGACAAAAGAGCGTAGTGTGCGCGCGTGTGTATGTGAGAATATGTGTGGGTCTCGGGCTCTAAGTATTTGTGAGCTGGTCTCTGGGCTTTTAAGCCCCCTCTTTGGAGCCCCTCTACCGCACACTTAATTTGGCTAAATCTCGGCGAAACTTGGAATTTTACAAAGACCAGTTGGCAAACAAATTGTGGCGCCTTGAATTCGCACTGTCCAGATCGCAATTTGTAAACAACACGCGCACGAATCGCGATTTTAAGCAAACGCAAACACTCATTGATGATTACGAATGAAACGAAGTCGGCGAATGGGCGTGAAATTTGGGGACGCACGCAGTCAAGCAATTGGAACTGGCTATTACCTCATCCGCACACACTCACTTTTCGGCTTTTCTCCTTTATCAATTACTGCACTATCTGTGTTTTAATGTTTAGCAGCGCACACCCTTTCGGCGAAGCGTTTAAAACGTATTTTCCCCCGAAAACGCTCAGAAATTTCTCTTAAGCAAACGCTTGGTGCTGCCACTGCGTTGCAATTGCACTGCCACCGGAGATCCGGCAACGCCTGCCAAAAATGGCGTTTAGGTCATCTGTGCGAGAGGAGAGCAGAACTATTTGCCTTCGCCAAGGGCAAAAACAGAAACAACACACACTTACACACACGCACTTAGAAGGGGATATGGTTAATTTAGTCGGCAACGCGTTAATTACTTTGATTATGTAGTGGGGACAGCAAATGCAGCCTTATTGGCCGTTCTTTTTCGCACTTCCGCTAAACGATTGCGCACTTTCTAACTGTTTGCACGGCGCTTTTCCTCTCATGATTTTTCCACCAGCAGTATATGACCGTCCGACGGAACCACAAATATACCATAAGAGTAGGTAAATTTACTTTTGTGGCATAGTTGAATATTTTATACCCTTTCTCTGATAAGCTATCAAGGGACCAATAAGTTTTTTAATACCATTCCCTATGAAATAATTATAATATAATTATTGTTATATTGTTATTATATTATATCTGAAAACTTTTCCTTACCAAACGTATTGATTACTTGTTAAGTGTTCACTTTTCGTAATGAGTCACAGACTCGTCAATGCTAAATTTATTATTTGCTTATATTTGAAAGGACTTTAAAAAAATATTTAAAGGATTTAAAGGATTTCTTCTTGCCAAGCTGTTCAGGAGACTTTCTGTAATTAAAAAAGATCATTTTTACTGAAAAAAATTAAATAAAATCTAGACGCTTATGGCGCCATAAACATTGATTCAAGTGTGACCAGTTGCTGTGGTAACTGTGGCAAATAATGTTAACAAAGCGCCGGTCATACTGCAAATCGTTTCTGCTTGTCATTTTGCTCTGAATTCTTTGCCGCAAATCGCAGATAATTTCGCGAAATAAAGGACTCGCAGAAGAGTAAGCTCCTTGAAAAACAAAGCAGCCTGGCATCTGACAAGCGGTGCAGCAGTCACAGTAAAAGCCCGAACCGAAAACTTAAAAAATAGAAAACATGCCGTCGGCGGAGGTGAGCGTAAACAAAGTGATAGTGCATCCACTGGTCCTTTTATCCGTGGTGGATCACTTTAACCGAATGGGAAAGATCGGCAACCAAAAGCGTGTCGTAGGGGTCCTTCTGGGTTGCTGGCGCTCGAAGGGAGTCCTCGATGTATCTAACAGCTTTGCAGGTTAGTTGTGCATTAAGGACATACAAATCAGAGAACACAGAATCTATTCTCATTTTCCACTTGCAGTTCCCTTCGACGAAGACGATAAGGACAAGTCTGTGTGGTTCCTGGATCACGATTATCTGGAAAACATGTACGGCATGTTTAAAAAGGTGAATGCCAGGGAACGAGTCGTTGGATGGTATCACACAGGACCCAAGCTCCACCAGAACGACATAGCCATCAACGAGCTGGTTAGGCGTTACTGCCCCAACTCCGTGCTAGTTATCATTGACGCTAAGCCCAAGGATCTGGGCCTGCCCACGGAGGCTTACATATCCGTGGAGGAAGTCCATGATGATGGCTCGCCGACCAGCAAAACTTTTGAGCATGTGCCCAGCGAAATTGGCGCTGAGGAGGCGGAGGAAGTGGGCGTGGAGCATTTGCTACGCGACATCAAGGACACCACTGTGGGCAGCCTCTCGCAGAAGATCACCAACCAGCTAATGGGACTGAAGGGTTTGAACGCACAGCTGCGGGACATCAAGCAGTATCTGCAGCGCGTGGGCGATAGCAAGATGCCCATCAACCACCAGATTGTGTACCAACTGCAGGACATCTTTAATTTGCTGCCCGACATTACCAACGACCAGTTTACAGGAACCATGTACGTAAAGACTAACGATCAGATGCTGGTCGTGTACTTGGCCTCCATGGTGCGCTCGATCATCGCCCTGCACAACCTGATCAACAACAAGCTGGCGAATAGGGATGCCGAGGAAGGCAAGACCGACAGCAAGGAGGCGAAGGAGAAAAACAAGGAGAGCAAGGACAAAGACAATAAGGAGACAAAGGACAAGGACGGCAAGAAGACCGAGGAGAAGGCCGACAAGGGCAAGGACGAAGGAGGCAAGGGTTCGCGCAAATAGGAGCGAAAGAAGAAGCGCAAGCCCCGTCGCAAGCGAAAGAAGCAGGGGCCGCAGGACTAGCTGCTGCTTCTTGTGGCACTTCGTAGGAAGTGGAACAACACCTCTATATTATTAGGCGTGGGTGTGCAATGGCCTCAGAGAAACAAACATTGCCTCCATTCATCGATCATTGTCCCCATGAAATCAAGCTCCCTCTTTATTATTTCGCCAGCTACGCGTAACTAACTAACGGCAAGTTTATGTAATTAAAAATTAAATAATTTAAACACTCTGATTGTTTTTCTTGATTGCCTGGTCCCAGTAAAATCAGTTATGTTTTCTTATTTCGTAAAACCGAAATTATATTTAATAAAAACGAAATCATTAAGCTCGTTTGAAAAGCAATGTAAATGGCTGTCTTACAATTGCCTTTCCAACGCGCAGAAAAACTTGGGAGTAATGCATTGTACAGGGCGTTCTCTACGTTTTTTTTAGAGCAGTTACTACTTAGAAAGCATTTTACCAAATTTCACTTGACTTACAGCTAAGCTAGTTAACGCTTACAAACTAGGGCAAGGGATGCTAAGGTTAACACCACCAATGGCTGGACAACTAGAATACTAGGTTCACTAAGTGCTTGCAAAGTAGTCAAACTAGATTAAACGTTGAGTTCGTCGGCATCTTCTCATTTTTGCTAATGGTAGCTTGTGCACGGGGAGTCCTGCAAAATGGCTGCTTTGCAGGACTCCCTTGTGAGTAAGAGGCTTCCCCTTTAGACCAGCCACTCGCTGGCCAGCGGAAACTTGAGCGGCTGGCAGCTGCTGAGTCTTAGCGAGCAGTTATTGTCCTCGGCAGCAAGTGGGATCCTGGAGCTCATCATGGGATTGCTCTGCACCGAGCAGAGGCTTAAACTATGGCTATGCGACTGCCTAAGACTAGCACTAATAATATCGCTGCTGATCCTATGCTGATGCTGATGCTGATGATGATACTGTTGCTGGTTCCGGCTGCCAACGTGGTCCTCCGGCGGGCAGGTGTGGTTGCAGTTGAGATTGTTTGAGTGGAAGGCCGCCTGGCAGCTCCTTGCTTCGGCCCCTGAGGTTGTTGGTGACAAGCTGTTGCTGTTGCTGCCGCAGTTGAGGTTGTAGATCTTGATGCTGGTGCAGCTGGTGCGGATGTTGAGGTGGACCTGGGCGTGGTCATGTCACACCGAGGTGCCTTGCTGGCCGGGCACCACCGATCCGCAGCTCTCCTCCGGCTGGAAGGACTCCTGCAGCCTCCGGCGGCAGCCGCCCTTTGAGGCGAAGAAGAACTTGTAGATCATGTACATCGGGATACACAGCACCGAGGAGCAGGTGACCGCCCAACCCACTTGGTAGCTCCAGTCGGGGTAGTAGTACTCCTCGCCGAGCATCTCCTTGTAGCCCATTATGGAGAAAATGAAGATGGTCTGAAAGAATTACCGATAAGCATTGTTTTCTCTTTGAATATCCGCTTTTTTCTGACCAGCAGAAACACCGGACTTATGTAGGTCCAGCAAATCCTCCAGAATAGGCCAGGCTTACTGCCAAGCATCTGCTCCACATCCGAGCTAAAGCGATCCACTCCGTAGAACCAAAAGACTCCGGCGGCCTCGACGAAGACCACAAAAAGAATGGCCAACCCAGGTCCGTAGACATTCAGGAAGTTGACCAGCACCACACCGCCCTATGAAAGAAATCGGTATATGTAGTATGCAACTTTTTATTATCTAACACCTTATGCCGCCACAGCTCGATTTAACAGATTCTCTCCTAACTGGCACTGATTAATGGCCGGGGGCTGAGTTATTGAACAGCTTGATCCCTTGACCGATACTGGTCACTCCAAATGGACGAGTGACCAGGACAGGCAGGAACAAAGCAGGCGGCAAATTACAATTTCAAATGTAATCAGATAAAGTGGCGGGAGGAAGGACTCTGCTGCAGGAGCAAAACCACCGAGACGTCGGTGGTTGTTTGGCCAGGTAAAAAGGCAAACAAGCCAACTTGCTCTTGACAGGTGATAAAAATGCAGGGGGAAAGGGGAGTGAGAGTGTGGAGATTAACTGGCTAACGATAAAAACCACTTAACACGGCAATCCATCGACTTCTAGTTGGCATATTTAAACAGGGGCTGCTATCAGCTAGATGGAGCGTTAAATGGGCCAGTTGGTCATTCATGCATATGTATAAAGCGCGCTTCAGGGGTAATTAACTGAATCACAGGACGAATCTAAAAGCAATACTCACATAGGTCATAGTGGGCAGAGCGCAGAGGAAGATGAAGGCCAGGAGCAGCAGGACGAAGAGCTCCCTTCGCCGGCCAATCACTCGCGGGTACTCATCGCACAACGCCGTAATCATCGCCTCCAACCCGCCGAAGGTGCTGTCCAATCCCAACGTGATCAGCATCAGGAAGAAGATGATGCTCCAGAACACCGAACCACTCATCATGGCAATGGCCTCTGGATAGACGATGAACACCAATCCAGGACCCTCCAAGCCCACTTTGTCTATTGAGGTATTTTGCACGAAAGCCATGTACCTTAAGAGTTTAACGAAACGTAATATATTTGTGTTATTTATTGCTATTGCATTAAAGTTTTATACACCTTTTTAGTTTATAAATTTAAATGTCTATATCATGAACGCAAACTCACCCCAAAACGGAGAATATGACGAAGCCGGCCAAAAAACTGGTCAGGCAGTTGATGCTGCTCGTGATGAGGGCATCTCGATAGCAGTTGTTGTTGAACTTGTTGTAGCTGGACAGGGCTAGCAGGGTGCCAAAGCCAGGACCCAAGGAGAAGAATATCTGCGACGCGGCGTCGATCCAAACCTTTGAGTTCTTCAGCTTGTGCCACTCGGGCGTTAAGTAATACTTGATGCCATCGAACGCGCCGGGCAGAGAAACTCCCCTCACCAAAAGGATTATCAGCACGACGTAGGGAGCCAGAGCTGTGACCCACACAACCTTTCCGGTACTTCGCACTCCCTTCCACAGCGAGAAGTAGACCAGGACAAAGACCCCGAAAACACAGAGAGCCAGCGTTGGCTTCACCGGACCCATGAAGTCCAGTCCGTTGGCCTTGTAGCTCTCCAGCACCTTTCGCCTGCAAAACAGTCGCTTGAGGATTCGATTTGAAATGTTTGGAGGACAGGGGAACTAACTCGAAGAACTCCTTGGCTGGAGAGGTGGCCAGCTCCGTGAAGTTTTCGCTGGTAACCTGCATGCAGTTCTCCGTGTTCCAGGGATTGTCGCAGGAGGTCCACGGCAACTTGGACGTGAACGAGGCGAAGAGATAGTACACCGCCCATCCAATAATGGTGTTATAGTACATGCCCATGTAAATGTCAATCAGGCAAATTGCATAGCCAACACCTGTAAATTTCAGAGGATTTAGGTTGAAGTGAAATCTGACTAGATTTCAGTTCATGATTTTTTTACTAAGAGCACAGCTTAATCATCCCCACTAATTTCACTGGTAACAATCTTGAACAACTTGATAATCAACAGGTTTCACTTAAAAGCCAGCTCAACTTGTCCCGAGAACACCAATATTTCTGATTGAAAACGGCCAAGGGAGGATAGGCAAAGAAATCGGAATATTCCCGCGTGACAATTTGCAGGTTTCATCTTTTATACAAACCACCCTCGACCGATTTCCCGACTGGTTTCTTATGAGGCCAATAAGACACGTCACGTGATTTCGCCTCCTTTAAGTTTTCCCCTCGCTTTGCTTTCCGGCTGCCTTTTCATTCACTTGGAATGGCTCGGCAAAAGGTTTGCCAAAGCAAACACTTGTTGAGCAAATGATGACTGCCACAAAGTGGTGTTTGCTCTCGGACTTTTTACCAGGAGGAAAGGGCCAGAGATGGAGATGGAGTGGGATTTGGCCTAGACAAAGTGACTTGGCAAAAGTTTAGGCTGACTTTAAGCGAACGGCGAATCCAGTGGAGCAGCCCATGCATTTTGTTTGTCACTTAATGGAATTATCAACTCGATACGCAAACTTTGAATAGGACTTCCCCTCTAGTGGCTGGCTTTTCATCGCTACTGTAAATCAATTTGAGGACAATTTAATTAGGGCCTTGCAGCCGGAATGGAGGTCCTGATTTGGGCTTTGTGCGATCCGCTTGAATGAGTCGTTAATTGTTGCAACAAATCTGTGACTCTTATCCATTTCACTGCTGGATAATGTCGCAAGCACACACAATGGCTTCCTTTTTTGAAACACCCTCGCTCCCCTCGAAAACGGAAACTTTTGCCTTTGTGCGCCAACAAGTGCGGGTGTCCTCCGTATCTGGCTGAGACAATAATGCTCGGCCGAGCGAAAAGCATCAGACATCAACAACACACGATTTTATGTTTTACATGGATTTCGCTGAGCCACGCTGCGTATACTTAATTTCTCATTACAAATGCTTACGCTCCAGGCGAAAAGCCGCCTGCGCAAACATTGAACGCTTTTATAGATTTCAATATGCAATCACGTTTTTACATTCTGCGACTAAAACTCAATATTTGTAATTCATTTAAATTGCCATTTAATATTCTATTATACGATACGAGTATACACACGCCCGCGGCTGCTTTTTATATATTTGTATATCATTTTTTGCGGCCTTCATTGCTTTTTTACTAACTTCCTTGAATTGGATTGGCATCCCGCCCTTAAACTCACCTTTTAGGGCCGGACAGATGCGTTTCCAAATGCTGAGGCAACCACATCGGTGGAACTGACCCAGAGCCAGTTCCATGTAAAACAGGGGCAGCCCGCCGAAAATGAGGAAAAGGCAGTAGGGAACCAGGAATGCACCTCCTCCATTTTGGTAACAAATATACGGGAACCGCCAAACGTTTCCCAGGTCAACGGCGAAGCCAATGACGGCCAGCAGGAACTCGGCCTTTTGGCCCCAGGTCTCTCGAGTTCTCTCCGTTACAGACACAACCAAAATTCTCTAAAATAAGGAAACGTTTACGTTTAGAAATCTTATATCTAATCTAACTAGTTTGACTCCAACTGTTTATTTTTATGATTTTTAATACTCGTATTTTTTGGTTAAGAAAACTATTAATATTCGTTCATTATTTGCTGTTATCATACACACTATCATTTAGCCAGCTCACCTCGTTGTTGGCCAACTTGGGGGCCAGTGGATCGGTGACCTTGGCGGGCGTTGCTTGATCGCCGTCGTCCTCGTTGGAGTCGTCCTCGTTGTTCGGAGACTCCTTGTCGTTGCTCCAAGGAGCGGGGTTCGAGCGGCCCGTCGCGGCAGCTGTTCCCCCGAAATCGGAGCTGCCGCTGCGATCCATGATGCTGTGAGGGGGTGGGCGGTTGAGGGGAGGGGGCGTGGTGCCTGGAGGCGTGGCAGTGTACGCCGATCGCGGCACTAGCTTAGCCAGCCGAACTCTGAGCTCAGTCCGAAGGCCAGAAGAAGCGAAATCTGCGCTCTATTCGCGGCTTTCACGGCTGCACCTGCAAACTGCAATCCGTCGCTCCTCCACTATTCGGCTTTTCTGGCCCGTTTAACGCTGTGGTCGTGGAAATTGCATTTTTCCCACGGCCCTTTCACATGCTGGACTCCCTGAATCGACTGGTGACCGAAACTGAAACGGACGGAAGCAACCACATTAAATGGGGCATGGCTAATGATGGTCGTTTATGGGCATGTGATTTCGAATTTCGCCACAGGGGAGGCATTAAAATGTACAGATTTTTGCATGCTATTTTTCTGCCGATTGTGTGCTCAATAAAGTAGTAATGTAACATTTTAAAGGTCCCGCGCGACTGAAACTGCTGAATTCTGAATGGAAACACCCGCTGACTATTTTAAACATGTGAAATGGCCTCCAGAAATCCTTTCAATGTCAATGTCGTCAAATATAGTTGTTTCCGGACGACAAGCAATTGTTTTCCCTTAACCACTTTAAGCGATTAGCCTTGGGTTACAATTCAGTTTTAAATTGTACACCGTAGCGTATGCTTAACAAATCTCACTTAGCCAAATGAATTCACAATGAAAGCGATTGCAGCCTTGATTTTCTTCAGGGGCTTCGCTCCCATACGAAAGGGGCATGACTTTTTAATTACCATTTAATTGTGGCCCACACGCGAAGCCAAACAGCAGATAAAGATAAAGAAAGTTGCACACATGTGCCGACGGTCGACAGATGAAATTGCCAAATAAGAAACTTTTTGATAAGACAAGTGTTAAAAATATAGGGAACAAGGGGAATTTTAAAACAATCAAAAGATACTTAGAGATATGAGAAAGGTATGTTCGCCAGGTGCTTCGCCGTAGGTATAATATTTATGAATTGCAATTACTCCAAACCGTATTATTAATTAATATATGCTTACGTAGCGGGAAAACAAATGGTAATTTTAATATGAACAAATTGAATCTATTTCTTTAATATTTTCAGAACAACAGAACACAGTTAACAAGAAAAAAATGAATAAATGCAGTTAAAAAAGTTTTAGACTTACTTGTATGGATAACACTAAAAAAATGTGTATTTCTTTAACACAAAAACTAACTTATACACTTTCCACACATACTTTATATTTAACACTGTGGATTTTAAAATTTGTCCAAGGCACCGCACAACTTTCAAAGTTTCCTGGCTTCCATGCGTCCGACTTGAGAGACGCGCGCCGCTCCTTTCGGCCAACTGATGAATCCTGCGGCCGGATTCGTCCTTTTATACGCTCGCTGCGCAGGCGGGCGCCAATTTGCCGTCGGAAGGACGACGAACCGAGTATCCCTTCGGCTCGACTTGGCCTGGACTGGAGTGGAATATCCTTCTGGGGTGGGGGGCGTCCGAAGTTGAGACTCGACAGGTGGCAAAGTGTAACTTAAATTGCAGCAAACTGTTGCTCATCGAAGTTGATTGAACGCCTGCCTCCTGCCTCCCAAAAAGAGGGCGTTGTTGTGGGCGTGGCCCATTAAGAGCGCCTAGTTTGGCTTGTTAAATGGTTGCCACATTACTATACTGTCCAGCCGATTGACAAGAGCAAAGTTCCATTTCACTAATTCAGTTTCAACTTGGAATGGATAATTGGGGAAATGACGTTAAGGCAAAGCAAAGTCACAAAAACTTGGGACCATTATTTATGTATCAAAGCATTTGTTTGGTTTAAACGAGTTTAATTATTTATTATTTCAACACAGAAGGGTTGTTATATTTTCCCTTTTAAATAATCTGTATTATTATAGCTTGTTATTCCATATCATATTATATATTGAGCACCTTCAGTTTTCACTGAACACCTTTGAGTTTTTGATTTGATTAAATTTCTCCAAATTTATAGAGAAATGATTTGCATTCACAAAATACTGAAAAGATAGTTGAATTCGGTTGAAATCGGTTTCGATTGGAGCAAACAGACTTTTCGGTGGAAACTTGGGTTGTTTACTCTTTGAAGCGCGGCAGCTATCTGGTTTTTACAGGCACGTGAAGCTTCCATGTGATCACTTCAATTTATTGAGAATGGTTAAGTGTCTTTTTTTTAGCTTTTAATTTAACTTTTTGTCTATTTATTTGCTAATTATTCGGAGCGGAGATTGCGAGAGCGTGGCGCACACAGTCGACTCGGCTTGTCAAGTGGGTAAATCAGCGTAATTGCAAATCGCCATCGGCACTATAATTCGCGGATCGGGGCACTTGAGGGCTTGGAGGGGAGTATCTGGAGTCGTCGTGGGCTGCACACGTTTTCTGTGGTTGAGGTAGGCGAATTGGCAGTTGATAAAGTCGATTATTTAGACGCTCTGTCTGTCAGCGGATATAGAGATGTATACTTCCACACTGGAACACCCGTGGGTATTATTCACCACCCAACCGACCAACCACCAACGTCAGCGGATCATCGCTGAATGTGCGTTCCTGAACTATTTTGCCGCAGAACCGGGCTTACATAACAGTAATCCGACATCGGATTTCCTAGCCAAGCCGCAAACTACGTCATCGGCCCCACATTTATTATAATAAACGGTTGGCGCGAGATCTGAATGGATTGCAATTGATCAGGTGGTGGGTGCCAGTTGGAAAAGTGAACTGGCGAAGTGAGCTAATCATTTGTTTGAAATGGTATTGTGATTAATGCAAAATCGCCATAAATGTTAACTACTTGCAAAATAATCATACTTAGCTTGTGTTTATTTATTAAAAATGTTGAAAACTTGTAGTCAAACGAATCTCAGATTCATAAAATAATGGTGAATTTTTTTTAAATTTAAATTAAGGTTGTTAAATTTTTCTTCTTTAAACATTATTTTCACAAAGTAGCAAACTTTGCGAGGGTCTTAAGAACCCATGGCATAAACAAGGACACGTCGGTGTAGTAGGCCCTCTGACTTGGCCCACAAGGATCCTTTCCATGGCTTGCCAGTCCAAAAATCACATGGCGGGACAGTCCAAAATAATTACTCAAGTGGGTAAGGGGCCCACCCGAGTTTTCCTGGCAAGCGGTGTCTTCGATGGTGCAGAGAAAGGATTCGTGAGTGTCTACGGGGCACGGCTCCGTTTTCACCTTTTCCTCTATCAGAGTTTGAAATAATTCACCTGCTCTTTTCCATCTGAACGATATATAAGACTGCCCTATTTCCGAGGTAAGCGACTGGAGATTGTTCGTAAGAGGCAGGCAAATGGGTCGAATGTGATCTAAAACAAACATTTACAAGATATAATTTCATATTAACAAGCTTTCATTCAAACTTAAAGTGTTTCCTGATAACAAAATACCAACCTTTGAAAACCACTTTCCGGCTTAATCTTAGCAGGGCAATATCATTTCTCAGCCGGGAGTATAAAAAGTTATCATGAAAAATCGATTTGCTTACAATAAAGTCTTCCACTGGTGGTGCACAAATGGTTTGTTGATCATTTGAAATGCAGTCTTCTTGGGATTCTATGTTGTGCTCTCCCAGTCGAACGATAAATCTGATTGGGAATATATTTCATTTACTTATGAAATTCTTTTTACTCATTTTGCTTACTCTCTAGATGAGGGGCAAAATGCCAGGCAGTGTGCTGAAGTTAAAACAAAGCCTTAATGAAGAAAGAATTAGTTAGTAAATTAGTAATAAGCAACTGGAAACATACTTTCTGAGATAAGGGCTCCTCCACAGCGACAACTATTTATATCATGTTTTGCATAAATAAGGGCAATCCAAGGTTGAGACATCAGTAAAGCCCTTCTGCCGGAACCATTAAAATTATGATTCAAACTTGAAACAGATGATCCACAATTCCGCTGCTGAAGTTGCTCGTAGACCAAGCTTTCTTTTTGGGTCAAAACAGGAGATTCAGACAATGATGAACAAATTACGCAAAATATGCCACAAAAAAGGGCAGCAACTGCGAGGGAACTCATGATCCAAGCTTATTCCGAATGCGACTAACAGCTGGTCTGCGGTTGGTAAAATTTTTGTCCCACGCTTATCACTATTTTGTAGAACTGAAATGAATAAAAGATAATAATGTCAATTTTCAATGCTTACAATTGTGTGCTGTTAAATACGCTTTCTTAACATACTATAAAACAGTATAACAAAATTATGCTGCATGTTTTTTAGGCGATTTTATTCAATTTTTTAAATCTCCAAAAAAATGGGTTTGCTGAAAATTTACCATACTCACTACTTTTAAGTCCATAACTTTTCCAATTTTAATCAGATTTTTTAGTGGCATACGTCTCTGAAATTGTAGTTTAATTCTCTAATAAACTGCATCATTAGTTGATTTTTTATTTTTTGGTCAATTCTTTCCATTTTTTTGATATTATTTATTTATAGGTATTAAGATCATCAAAACTCTTTTAATAACCGTTAAAACATTACCTCCCCTCAGCTCACATACCACATTACATTCAAATTTGCAGTAGCTCGTAAACCAAAGTAACCACCAAAAAGTTCAGTGCGTCTCAAACCTGAGTGAGCGGGTTTTTCGTTGTGCATAAGCTACAGCCACACTGAACGGCTATTCACACAAAAGCGCGACCAAAACAAATAAATTGTTTATTGTTTCTCCAGATTTTCTTATCACAAGTAGGAAATTAATCAAGATTAAATAATTTTCTTTAAAGAAATGCGCTTGACAAAGCTCTGGCAGAACCGTTCGCCCGGCGATCGCCACTTAAGCACGTATTTTTGCTTGGCGGCCGTGCGTTTACTGCTCGTTTTTGTGCCCCAATTGGGTTATGTGCATCCGGATGAGTTCTTTCAAAGCGTGGAGGTGATGACAGGTGGGGCTTGATGTGCACGATTGTCGCCTTGTATGGTTAATTATATGTCGAACTTTGCAGGCGATCACTTTCGGCTGGAACACACGCGCACCTGGGAGTTCAACAACTCGTTGCCTGTGAGATCAATAGTTTTACCATTCGCTTTGCTTCGAATTCCCTGGAGTTTCTACGAGTTCATCGCTGAGTGCGTGAAAACCTGGTGGCATTTAGAGCTCCTGGGCACCTACACCTACGTGGTGTTTCCTCGCCTGATTTACACATTGATTTCCTTCTCCAATGACTATTGCATGTACCGCCTTTGCCGGTTGTATGGACTCCGATTCGAAATCCGCCTTTTGGCGATGGGAAGCTCATGGATTCTACTCGTCTTTGGCACTCGCACTTTCTCCAATAGCCTGGAAATGGCCATGTGCTCCTGGCTCCTCTACTTGGTGGGCGATTGCATGCTGCGAACCAGAACAGTGGTCTACAAAAAAGAATTCCTCGAGGAGAAGTACGAAAAGGCGGAGTCCATTAGCGAACGGGTTCGGATTTGGAAGCTAAAAAATTCTCTGCCGCCACACAATCTGCAGCACCTTATGGCCATGTCCACAATCTGTGTGGCTGGGGTATTCAATAGGCCCACTTTCCTGCTTTTCGGAGCACCCATGGTCTTCTTTTGGCTGCTGAGAGGACTGGGAACCCGGAGCATCACCTTTCGGGACTTTAATCTGCGCATCGTTCTCTTCTGCTTGTGCTCTCTGCCCGCCCTGCTGGTCTTCATCTTCTGCGATTCCCTGTACTACCAACACCTGACCCTCGGAGAACTGCACATGATGCACTTAAGCATCGATAACTTTGTCTTCACGCCGTGGAACTTCATCAAAGCTAATCTGGACTCGGCGCAGACGGCCAGCCATGGAGTGCACCCGTGCTATGTCCACCTGATGGTCAACATGCCAATGCTGTTCAATGTCTTGGCACTGGCCTCCTTGGGAGCCTTTGCCCAGCTGCTGCTCAGATTCTTTCGGGCGGAGTATCAAGTGCTGCCGCGCTTCCAGAGCATCCTCTCCTTGATGTCGGGGGCCATCTTTGTGCCGCTGTTCTTCCTCTCGCTTATCAACCACCAGGAGCCGCGTTTCCTGCTGCCCGTCACCTTTCCGTTGCTACTGCTCCACGCTCCAAAGCTGATCACAGGATTCAGTGCCAAGTATCCCTTCCAGAAGGACCACCCCCTTCTGCGCTGGTTCTACGACAGAATACTCTCCAGCAGAGCTTCGGAACCCTATCTTCTTAAGATCTGGTACGTGAGCAACGTTGTGCTGACCCTCTTTTTCGGCTTCATCCATCAGGCGGGCGTTTATCCCTTGGCGGCGGACATGTCGCATGTGGTCGCCACCAAGCCGGCAGCTACGCACGTCCACTTGATAACTTCACACATCTACAGCGTGCCCCTGCACCTGATCAACATCCCCAGCTCGAGAGTGCTGCACTTCAACAAGCAGACCCATCAGCGGTATCGCCACCAGCGCGATTTCTACATGTACGAGTACGGAGGCCTCTCGCTGGACTCCCTGCTGCAGAAGGTGAAGCTCATCAGTGGGAACTGTGAGGTGAAGCAGTCGGGACCGAGTCGACTGCGCTACAAGCTGTACCTGGCCATTCCGGCATCCTTGAGTGCCGATCTCCACGAGGCTCTGGTGCACTCGAACGCCAGCAGCTACCTGAACTTCGAGCTGCTAAACGTGTTCTATCCGCATCTCTCCACGGAGGCGTTTCCGCGTCTGCTGGGCAGGCATCCTTGCGACGTGGATGCTCCCCACTGGGCGCACGACGACCTGAAGGGCACTTGTGCAGCGGAACAGCCGCCAGCGCTGAGTTTTGCCTACCTAAACAAGCAGTTCAGCTCTTTCGTCCATCAACTGGGACTGGCGCTCTACGAGATCGATGTAAAGCGCAAGAAGCCGCTTTCTGTAGTGCTAAAGAAAGCCGCATTAAAGGAAACACCGGCGTAGTTTTCTGTTTTGGAAGACCAAGTGCCTTAAACCAAAGCTTAGACTAAGATTGATTATTTTTATTGACACTCTTGTAAAGCACAACTTCCATAAAGACTTCTAATCGTTAGGCTTGACTTCTGTAAACATTCCTGCTTACCGCAAAACAAACTTAAATTAAAATCATGTCTAGTCATCACCAAATACGTAAGCTGTAACCTAAGTTTTGACAAATACTCGGGCCAATCATTAGTTGTATATCCAGGACAATAATACTGAGTGAGCGAAGATAAACGGAGTTGCTAGGAACCCCATTTCACAGGTAGGTTAGACCGCTGCGGCAGAACCATTTAACATGTTCCAGCAAACAATCAGTAATCAGAATCGTAATTCTGTCCATTTCAGTTGCCGAATGCTGGAAAAGAGTAATCCATTTGACACGCCGTTGGCTGTTAATTCCCGACAAACATCTGAGGGCGTGGGGCGCGGCATCCGCGTTCATTGAACGTTACCGGGCAGAGATCTCGATGCGGACGCAATTGTGTTCTGATTTGGATTTTTGTATTGGGCTGCCTAAGCCGGAAACCCGTTTTGGCAATGCGGCGACAATTGGCCTATAAAATGCTGGAGCATTTCGGCAAACAGCATCAGTCACTGACAAACCAACCAACCCCAACCACCAAATCAACATGAAGGTAGGAAATAGTTGTCCGTCCACTCAGGGTGTTCAGCCACTAAAGGATTTAATGGTGTCGTCCTTTCAGTTCCTCATCTGCTTGGCCCTCTGCATCGCCGCCGCCCAGGCTGGTTTGATTGCCTCCCCCGTGGCTACCTATGCTGCTGCCCCGGCCTACGCCACCACCTATGCCGCTGCCGCTCCCGTGGCCTACAGTGCTCCGGTCACCACCTACGCCGCTGCCGCTCCTGCCTACTCAACCTACGCCGCCGCCGCTCCCGCCTACTCCACCTACGCTGCCGCTGCTCCAGCTTACACCGCCTCGGTGTACAGTGCCCCGGCCTACACCGCTCCCGTGGCCACTTACGCCGCCGGTGCCGCCTACGCCGCTCCCATCTCCACTTACGCGGCCCCGGCCATCGTCAGCCCCTTCCTGAAGAAGAAGTAAACTTGACCCCATCCCTGGCCCACTTGACAAGCGAATCGATATACTAAATAAACCGCCAATTTAAGCGAAATCCGTTTGTGTTGAAGAATCATTATACACGTGACCTTCAGATCAACCAAAGTTTTGATAGGCTTTATTCTATACGGGCCGACTATATCTTCCGAAGAACAATATTCTGGTGCCCTCTACGATGGCAAAGAGGAAAGGACGGTTGCAGGTTATCATCAGCTCACTCCTATTGAGCACTTCCACACTCTCCGATCGTGCGACTATCATTAAGCATTGATAGAGATATAAAAATCTGAGATTTAAGAACATAAAACTAATATCAGACCTGCGCCTGCTGATCCATTTGATTCCTTTTTGTCAACCTCTTGAGGAGATGTGGAGTTTTCCTTGGATAGATTACTTCTATTTTTCGGGACCTTTTTCACCGGTGGTGCGGGTATCATTTCTCCGTCTAAGTATTGATATATATTCAAAATCAAAGAGTTAAGAACTTAAAACTAATGCCAGACCTGCGCCTGCTGATCCCTTTGTTCCCTTTTCGTCCACATCTAAAGAAGTTGAGCCCTGTAAGATGTCGAGCCGCGTGTTTTCCTTGGGTTTGGTGAAAGACTGAAGAAAAGTATCGTTAAAAATGCCCTTAATCCCGAGATCAGTTAGTGCTTGGGCCATGTCTTGGTCGTACTTGATTTTAAACTTCGGCAGGGAAACGTGAATTTGTTTGGGACTCAAGTTAACCAGGTCGAGGTACCGCAGTTTGTTCTCGACCGTCCGGATTCCTTTGAAGGTTTTGGGCACCACCAGAGCCATGGACAGATTCGACTTCCTGTAGGGAAGAAGGGCCACGTGGGCGTCGAGTGTTTTCTGGAAGTTGTACTTAAATTGGCCCGGAATTTCCATCATTTCCACGGATACCGAGCGGTTTTGATCCGGCATGTAAAATTTTCTCGGTAAAGTTTTTTGCACTGGGAGCTCCCAACTGCCCTCAAAATTGACGGCATTTACCATAAAAATTTTCGTCCCGTCATTGAACATTGGAGAATCGATCAGTTCAGCCACTTTACCCTTAGTCTTCGAAGAGACCCATTGGTTAATTTTAGAAATTCCCTCGACAGTTTTGTCCAAGAACTCGACATCAACGTTAAGAGATTTCCTTGACAGATTCCGGTAGCATTGGCATAAGGGTGTTCCATTTATAGCATACAGTCGACTAAAAACTTTGAGTTCCGTATATTTCTGTCGAAAGGCCTTGACGACCTCTTTTTTCTTGGCGCCTTGCGTTCCCAATACCTCCTTCAACGCAGGTTCAGTTTCGCCACCAGATCCCAGATAGATTTGTGCCAGGGAGAAGTCGATGGCTGCCGGGGACACGAGTATATTAATGTCGGCCAGCTCGAGAACCACCTTTGCAACCAACTCCAGGTGGGTAAATTTCAGAGAGAAGACCCCAATCGAAACAGAACAGAGCAACAGAAGACTCCACGCGATCATTGTTGCGAAGGTACTACCAGACAGACTACCAGACGAATTGAATTCTCTACAGAGTATTTATTTATTCACGCCTGTTAAATGCCTAAACCGTATGGGATGGCTAAAGCTACGATTCGCTTACGATCTAGGGAGTGCTAGAAGCGAAATACAAAACAAATTGCAGTACTCGAGATGTGGGGCTCGCGATGCTCGATGGGTTCAATGGAGGTTGTGGCTCAAGTACATGGGACTCCTCGGGGCGTCGACCTCCTCGAAGTCGAAGTCCACATCTTCGTCCTTGTTCCAGCGCACCGTGCGATCACTACTGAATTCGGTCGGGTTTGGTGGCGTTCGGGGAGAGAAAGTAAGTTCAGAATATATAGACTTTGTCGCTGTGAACACAATAAGAATTTGTGTGTGTTTTGGTTGGTACTCTTGTCTCTGGCATGTGCACAAGATTCGATCAAATCAATCAAAAAACCAAAAGTCAAAATCAAAAAACAAACTCATTGGCAACAGAAAACGGTTAGTAACGTTGGTAGAACCTGTTCAAGCCGGCCGCCGGCGGAGGAGGGGGCGGCGGGGCGCCCCTGGGCGGGGTGCGTCGGGCGCTGAAAAAGCACAAAAGTCATTGTTATTAGGAGTGGGCTTTCATTAGCCCAATATCCGAGCTGTCACAGAAATCTCGAGCGAGCCTAAGGTCGTTCGGCTTGGCCAGCCTCTTGAGAACCCAATGGGATCTCTGGTTTAGAAATCAATCTGTGCTGACGGATTCACTTCGTCATGGTTGTGTTACCATTTCATTCATAGCTTGATCTGGTTATAAGTTCTGTTACTATTGACTTTATTTCCTTTGCAAATCTGAGATTTCCGTGACACTCTCGTAAGCCGACTACTTACGCCGCGACGTCCGCATCCAAATGGCCTCCAGCACCGTAGGCATCGCTCTCGTCCAAGTCGAATTCATCGGTGCCGGTGCGTTGGCTGTGGGAGATCGACTCGTTTAGATAGCAGCTCGTCACAGAAACGGATTACTGGAGCGGGTGATCGGGTGACTGGGTGGGCGTTGGTGGGGGTGCAGTGATCAAACTGGCCTATGGGTTCGGGGGTTCCGGAAGTGGGACACTCACAGGCGCTGATTCCGCTTGTTGACAATGTCCTGCACAGCTCGGGCGGTCAGCGAGACCTTGCTCTTGAGACGCATCGGCGTCCGGGGCATCGGAATGGCGGCCGGAATGTCCGGGTTCACGCTGAGCACGGGGGTCACGGGCCGCCGGGCCGTCTCACTGCCAGCTCTGTCCGCACTACGTCTGGCATGGCAGAGGGGCAGAGAGTGAGTGGGGGGCGGACCTCGAGAGGGGGAGTCGGGGTCACCGGGCACTTACAACTTGAGCTTCGTACGGAGGTTCGAGCGCTGGCCGCGCGTATCGGATCGCTGCTCCGGACTGACACTCGACTGGTTGTGGACCTGGCTCGGCGGCTGGCTCTGCCACCCTCTGTCCTCGTGGGCATCCTCAAAGTCGAACTCCTCGGTGCCTTGCCGGCGACTTGGGGTCGGGTGAGACATTACAGAAACGGAAAGAGTCTAGGGGTTCGGGACGTAACTTACAGCGGCGTCTTGATCTTATTGCGCGACTGCCAAATGTTCAGAATCTTTCTGGACTGACTGCTTTCGCGCTCCCGCTCGCGGGAGTTGGCCCTACTGGGTCCGCTGGACGAGCCCCAATTGTCGTCCTCGGGGTCGTGGCGCCTGGCGCAGATGCAAATGCAAATGCCACATGGAATGGTGGAATGAGTTCGAGATGGGATGGCGTGGTGGCTGGGCGATACTCACAGCTGCTGGCGACTGCGACTGCGCACCGGCGTGGTTACGGCGGAGACGTCGCGACCGCGGCTCAGTTCTCGCTCCCGACTCCGCTGGTCCCGCTCGCGCACCCGCTCCCTGTCCGTGTCCCGCTGGATCTGCTCCTGGCGCCTTTGCACCGGTTGCTGCTGCTGCTGCCTTGATGGCGTGGAGTCCTCGTCGGCCAGGTCCAGGGTTTCCTCTGTGGCAGTGCGTCTCCTGTGAAGGGAGATGATTTATAGTTGCCTCTTTAGGACCAAATAACTGACATTGAACGTGGACTTACAGTGGTGGCTTTGGCCTCGCCGTGCTGCTGGTGCTCCGTTCCCGGCTCTGATCCCGCTTGCCGCTCCTGCCGCTGGCCGCCGAACTGCCCGACCGCTGCTTCTTCCGCCCGCGACTGCCGCCCCTCGACTCCCGGTCCGGACTCCGGTCGCTCCTCCGCTGCCTTCCCTTGCTGCGCGCCTGAGCCGCCTGCATGACATTCAGCCGCGTCTGCACGGTGATCAGATTCAGGCCCACCGGAGTGCCAATGGCCCAGAGGAGCAGTGTGAGGAAGATGAAGAAGGTCAGCCCGTTGACGAAGTCCACCATGTTGCGGCACAGGAAGGTCCGGCTGGCGTCGAAGGTGTCGTAGAAGGGCCGACACTTGGTGGTGGTGTCGCCCAGCTGGGACTCCATGGTGGCTCGACTGCTGGTCAAGTAGGCTTTCAGGCTGAGTAAGTAAATATATAAGGCATACATTTGTCTGTATTTACTCCAAGTAAGAAAACAAATTCCACAATTAAACGAAATTTGTATTGTTTATTGGCCCTATAGTTTTGAGGACACTTAAGCACATAAGTGGCTGCCACAAGTTCAAGCTGAATGAACACAAATGAATTTCCCCAGATTTAAACGGCATGAAACATGTAGGCTTTCCGGAGTCTTAGCAACAACATATTTGGCATTCCTACAATTCACCTATCATAAATACCTCTGTGGTTGCCGCACGTAAGTTCGCACTTAAAAAAACACTAAAAATGCAATCATGACACTTGGCAAACTTAATCAAACGATTAGGACTTTCAATTATCTGATAAGCCCGAAAACTATGTGCAGTACTCCCCAGTGCGCTCCTAAAATTGTTCGAGTGCCTTGTTTGTCTGACAGTTGCAGAAAGAGCAACACAATAATAAAGCTCAAACACGCAGTCGGACCGAGAATTCAGTTTCAAGTGCCGCAGGCGGTCGAAAAAGAGGCCAAACAGGAGCAGTATTGAGTTTGTGTGGTCTTGACTTTTGGCTGGAAAACACTAGGATTTCCATTGTTGCAAATACATCAGTCAAGTTATCTAACAGTCAAGTCAGTCAGTTGAGTGGAATATAAACTTACTTTTCGGGAATTTATTTGGTATTATTTGTAAGATCTTAAACAAACTTAAAAATAATCATTCTTTAAGTTCTTCCTATTATTCCCTAATTCAAAACATATATCCATGTTCTTTCAGATTAATTATATTATGAAAGATAACCTGCGATATCTCACCGATCTGTGTAGGCTCGCGTCATGTTGTGGCAGATCTCGCCGGCCTTGTTCTCCAGGTAGCTCTGGATGCTCTTCAGGTGGTTGAGCGTCTGGTTGACCTGCTTGGCCCAGGGGTCCCGCTGAAGCTCGAGGGCCGTCAGGTGGTACAGGATCTCGTTCTGCAGGTTCTCCAGGGGCTGGAGAATGGAGGCCTGCAGCCGCTTCGACCGGCTGCCCAGGGTGGTCATGCGCGAGGACGTGGCCACATCCTGAATCTGGCGGGCGAACCGGATGAGTGGATTGCGTGCGGCATTATGCGGTTCACGTAGCAAGCCCGCTCTAATTGAAACTAATCGGGGGGCGGCGGGACACCAGCTGGGTTGGCGAGGTATGGGTACTCACCTGCAAGGCCACCCGCTGCATCTGATCAATGAACGTGGCCAAATCCTTCTCGGGCGTGGGCGCACCCACACTGCTGCGGTACGTGGTCAGGTTGAACGAGGACGTCTGCAGCATGTTCTCCAAAATGTTCTGGACGGACTGCGTCAGGGAGAGGAGCGTTCGCCCGGACACGGAAATCGCATCGATGGCCGTGGACACTTTGGGGAACTGCCGCAGGTCGGCTATTTTGCTGGTGTTCACGAACGCATCCAATTGAAAGACATTGTACGATGCTTGATTTTGCTCGCAGCCCCTGCGTTGTGTTGTGTTGCGTAAGAGTTGTCAAAGAAAGTCGTCAAAAGCCTGCAAACCATAATGTCTACGGGGGAAGGGGGAGCACAGAATGGGTAGAAAGGGAGTTGGGTGTGCAGGCGGATCGTCCTTGCAGTTCGGCAATTTATGCCCCTACTCCACCGACCGCCTGCATGTGCATTTTGTAGCTGCTCGGATAATTGGAATCGTGCTTAAAATTTGCGGTTACAAGTGGGCCGAGCAGAGTGGGTGGGCTTTCGAGTGGGCGGTGGTGCGTGCGGCTAGTTGGATTGGCATTGGTGAGCTGCTGCAACATTGAGTGCCATGTGGCTAGCAAATTTCACTGGGCTTTCAAAACTTTGTGGCTTTGGGCCGACTGTTCCCCTTGAGCTCCCAATGCTATGGCTGCGATTTCGCATCCGAATAACTTCGCAAGTCGGGGGAGTGCGTTGCGGCTGCCTGTGCATTAAGTTGGTCGGAAAAGGAAAAGTTCGGGAGTGGCTACGATAATCACAGAAATGGGTAATCACACTAAAATCGGTTAAGAGCTCTTGGTTGGGATTCGATTGGCTCCTAGGGAGAGTTTCTGAAGGGCAGCAATGGGTTTCAGAAAGGGTCTACCCCTAAAAGGGAAAAATTCAACTTCTTACTGCGTGAAAATTACCATATTAAAAGGACAGTCCAAAGGAAAAAGGAATGTTCAAATTTAAGCATAATTTTCCCGGGTGCAATCATGTCTGCCTAATTTCCGCGTAAACTGCTAATCGATGAAACCGTAAAAACCGTAATATATTTTCCTTTTCCCAAAGGTCTTTGCGGGGCAATCAAAATTACAGGCACGTACAGTATCAAAGTAATTGGATAACAAAATTCGTTACTTCAACGCAGGCGTTTGGGCTTTAACTTTGGCTACCTGGGAACTCTAGACACACACGTGCTGCCCAGTTCAGTGTTAGCTGGGGGGGACTCACCTGAGGGCCTGGCCCAGACCCACGTTGACCACCGACCGGTTGACTCCGACGGGTCGCAGCAGCTCCCCGATGATGCCGGTCTGGGGCTCCTGGGCGTAGGCGTAGCCCGGCTTGTCCAGCAGCTTGCCCAGCATGTTGTAGTCCTGATCGTACAGGGAGCGGCAGACGAAGACCTCGGCGTTCCCGCCCACCGCCAGGGAGAAGACCCCGAAGAAGGTGAGCCCGATGCTGGCCAGGCAGATGAGCATCACGGCGATGAAGAAGACCACGCCCGACTTGCCGTTCGACTCGCAGAGGAAGCAGCAGTAGGACATCAGCATGAAGAGCATCACCCAGACGATCACCGTGCCGGCGATCCAGCCGACGCTCCAGTAGGCGTTGGCCCACTCCTTCAGCTCGTTGTAGCCGGGCTGCAGGGACGACCAGGTGCCCTCCAGTCGCTGGAGCAGGGCGTTTATCGTGGAGGTCAGCTGCTGGGCGTTGGCGGTCGTCCGGTGGCGAATGCTCGCCAGTTGCTCCAGCGTATCTGCAGAGAGTTAGAGTTAGATCCAATTCAATTAGCATCCACAGACCAGAACCCGATGACACTAATTAATGTTGGGGAACAAACTTTGGCAGCATCTGTAGATGCACAGGGAGAAATCTTAGAGATAATTTAGGGAAATTAGTAAAATAATACAGTCACACGGTTTTCATATCATTTAATTAATAGGAAGTTTACAAACACTTAAAAGTGTTATCTGCTGGAAGTAAGTATAACAAATTAAACTCGTACGTTTACTTTCCTGTGTATTTATCTCTATGTCTCGGGAAATTGCATTGCCAGATTCATGGGTTCTTAACAGAGAGTGAACCGAATGGGAAGCCCGACACCTGGCCATTGATTGAATTGTACACTTAGCCAGTGGCCATAATTGAGTTTCGGCCGGGTACAATATGGATTTTGATGGGGGGCAGGCGATTTACTTGGCCCGTTTGAAAGCCAAACTTAAATGGGGGGAGCGCCCTCCTTTTACTTTGATTGCTCTACTTACAGTTGCGTTCATATGCCGTGTCATGTTTAACTTGTTGCGGGAAATTGCTGAAAATGGAACGTGACACGCCAACTTCCGATGTCAGATTTTTGACAGTAGCACCGAATTCAATTTCGCCCAAGTAGCGCATACGGAAGATGCTCTGGTCCTCTTGCAGCTGACAAATTGTCGGCGATGTCGTCGTGCCGTTGTCCAGGAAATAAGATATTGCGGGTGAAATTAGAAAAACAGAGAAGTCCGAACGGGGAAATCGGGCAGAGAGGGTAGAAGGAAGTCAGAGTACAAATTATTTATACGTTGAACCAGCAATGAAGGTGGCATTCGGGGATCCGAAGCCTGAATACCCTCGCAGGGGAACTTCGAACCGAACGAGAAAGGAAGCCAGTTCCGGCGATCCGCTTTCTGGTTCTGGTTCAAAGCATCATGCCCCCTGCCAGGGTGTCCACGCAAAAAGAGATACAATCGAGGGGCCCACAGTTTTCAGGGGACTCACAGTTTTCAGGGCGTCGACGACGCCGTTCTCCTCGAAGCTGCGTATACGCAACGTGTCGCAGAGCGGGCGGTCGCGGTACGTGCACTGGCGCTGCAGCACGGACAGCTGGATCTGCAGCTCCTCCATCCTGGCAGCCGCCTCCTGGGAGAGTTTCAGGGCCCTGCCGACCGTCTCCTGCAGCATGAGCACGCGGTAGATGAGCTCCGCGTTCGCTGACAGCGACAAATGCACGAAAATATTATTATTTGCAGCGTTATTGTAGCGAGCTTTATTGGGGGAGGCGATTCGGGGTGTTCGGGATTCGGGGAGTTCGGGATGCTGGGGTCGCAGGGGCATGAGTCCAAATTACACATTGTGCTCGATGGCGAACATAATGGAGTTGTCATCTTGGCAATTGTGTAGGATGACTTTCGCCGGATCCGGCTGCCTCCGTTTGCATTCCCCTAATGAAATTGGGCGCAAACAATCTGTTTTGGCTGAGAGCCGCTGCCAATATGTTTACCGATGGGACTCCATGTGCTTTGATTTTACTGATTGTTTGGACTCGAGTGGATGCCACAGAGACAAAATTTAAGCAGATCGAGGAAATAAAATGCAGGATGAGCTTGCTAGAATTCAAAAGCTGATGAATGGTCTGGTATGCTAAATTAATTTTTTTAAAATTGTTATAAGCAAATAAAAAGCAGAAAATGTGATGCTAAATCTGTCCGCTCAAGAGAGCGTCCGTTTGAGAAATCATTTGTTCGTTGGCTTTCAACAGTTGAAATCAAAATGGAATTCAGAGCACAAACGAAACAATGAGAGGCAGCGTGCTAAATTTAAAGCCTCACCCGAAGGTCGCACCCCTTGGGGCCGTAATTTATTGGGGCTGGTTTATTGTCATGTTTGGCCAATAGCGGGTGGTCACTGGGCCTACTGGCCGTGCCACAACGGAATTTGGGTCAAGTCCGCAGCCAGACAATCGCAGGGCCATCGCATGGGAGCACTTAACCGCTCGTACTCACCCAGGCTAAGTGTCGTCAGTGAATCATACGCCAACTCAAGGCCAGTGTGTGCGGATATTTCCGCTTGAATCGGTTCGCCAAGAAGGACGTCCACGTCTGCGGAAAGAGGGACACATGGAAAAGTCATACATTAGAAAGTTCCAGCATAATGCACGGATCGGAGGCTATAAAATGGGCGGGAGTTCGAGTGAGCGGCGACAGAAAGTTGGCAAGGCGATTGCAAATGGGCAAAGTTATGCGTCCGACAGGACGACTGACCTTCCAGGTCTTTGACGACCCGCTCCACTGATACGTGGAAGCCATTATCGAGCTTGTGTTTGATTTGCAGATGCGTGTCCTTCAGGAAGACCTCCACGTCGTGCACGGCTGACTTGACCATCTCGGGCGTCATCTCGATTCCGGCGGACAGGCGGCTGTTGGCGTAGAATATGCTGAAGTCGCTAAGCCTGCAAGGAGATGGCGTTAAGGGCAGAAGTTACTTTCCATTACCTCCCTAGAAAGTGGGGCTCTTAACGCACGTTAGCAGGATGAAAACAATCCAGAGGGTGACCAGTCCGGCGCTCTTGCGGCACCGCAGGCTCTCCTCCAGCGATTCATCCCGGATGTTGCAGGGCGCGTTCCGGATGTGGTTCACCTCCTCCTGCGTGGAGCGACGACCGCAGCACCAGGCGCAGGTGGCAATCAGGGGCACCAGGGCCAGAATGGCGAACACGCTCATCAGGGCAATGAAACCGGACTCGATTTTAATGGCCTGAGTGGGGAAAAAGCCATGAAGATGTTAGCTAAAAGCAACCCAGCTCCCACTCACATTGGAGGCAAAGTCCAGCAGACTGGTGTTTTTGTGTAAAACATCGCGTATGGAATCTGCAAATTCAGATTGTAAATTGTAAATTTCTTCTTAAACTAAGGGGTTAGTCAGGAGTCCATGTAAGTAACTACTACAATAACTTCCCATTGGTATTTGTCGGGTTGTTAACTAAATCCGAATACAACTGCAACTGAACTCGCTTAATTAAACCATCAAAAGCCCATGATTGCCCCTTTCAATCTGCCACCTAGTTTTTGTCAATTCCAATAGCATTTATTTCACAATTGGCTCAGAGTCGCTGGACAGCGGTTCCGACTGCTCGTCGCTCAAGTGCTGGATGACCACCACGTTGCAGAGATTGGCCTGCACCAAGGTTCGGGTGTCCGATTCAAGGAGTTCCTGTCGCGGGAAGGCGGTCAGCAGGACGAAGTTCCGAGTGGAGAACTCGGGCCTGGCCAGCCGGGCATATCGGTAGAGGTCTCCGATGTTGTGGGTAAGGTTGAAGCGACCCGACACCCGGCTTCCATCCGCCAGTCTCAGCTGCACCGTGGTTATGGCGACGTGTTCGTTGAGCTGAATGGTCTGGGGCTCCAATGGGATGGGTCCAGCCACCAGGATCCGGGAGGGCGGGCTGTTCAGGGGTCTGCCTGGGCCCATGAACTGCTTCCTGGACAGATGGCGGAAGGGTTCGTTGGTGTGGTCCTGGACGCTTAGCTGGACCCCGGGCACGCGGAGCATTTCCTCGGGGAAGTCCCCGCTCAGAACGGCGCGCAGGAAGCGCTCGTTCTCGGGAACAGCGTACGGCCGCAGGGAGCCGTCGTCCAGGGAGAACCCCTCCGACCAGAGGTGGAGCACCACCATGGTGTGCTCCTCGTCGGCGGGCTCCGCGTCGGAGTCCTCGGCCGCGGACATGGGCGGCGGGTTGATGGGATGGGCGCTGCCGAGCCGTACGCCATGACCCCAGACCCGCAGACTCCGGTCGCTGTCGTGGTTCGTGATGGCCGGGGTGGAGTTCTCGATATTCACCCGCTTTCCCACCGGCGGCTCGTGCTCGGAGCCCGAGCTGTTCGACCCGCCGGCCTGGTAGCCATCCTGGTCGGCGTCCCTCCGCCGGGAGTGCTCGCTCAGCAGCGACTGTAGGTCTCGGTTGCTCCCCTCCGCTGGCGAGGATTCGGAGGGCCGCTCGGACTCCTCCTTCTTGGCCGCCGCCTCCGACTCGAAGGTGCAGGTGGCCGTTTCCAGGGACCAGTTGTTGGCGCTCAGGTACCGACGGGCCACCTCCTTGCGCACTCCATGGCGCTTCATGAAGGTGCTCAGCTTCTGCTCATCGGTCATCTAGGCAGGCACAACCTATTTCGGGGCTGTTTCGACGGATTGAATTTAGAAACACATATTGATCATTGGGGCCTGGCCACCTGGTCTCACCTTGGCCACCCGGACACACATTTCAATTCAGTAAAGGGGCAGGGATTAGGGCCATGGAAACTATTTAAGCCTTGATTGTTTTAGTCCTCGCACAAAGTGTTCGTGCACAGGAAAACTTTTATTTGGACAACTAACTGAAAGTTAAACACGGAAGTTTAAAATGCATATAGTTTTAAAAGGATTTTCAAAGCACTTACAAGCTTGTAATTATTATTATCAGATTCAGGTCTTGGTATCCAAATTGCTGGAGTTTTTCTCAGTGCACTATTTAACGCAGCTCTTGTGAGCTGAACAACATGCCTACCTATCAAATGCTTTCCTGAATTTACATCTCTAATGCCTTCATTGTTCGCCCGAAACCCCTTTAACCCAAACCCAAGTGTCCTTCGGCCCGAGCACATACGTTCACCCCTTACATGGACACAAGGACACGCCCCCTGCTCGGCGGCAAGGGCGGGGGCCAGGACTTACCCAGCGGCAATTCCTCGGGCGTGATAAGCGATAAAAATTCACTAACGTAGGTGAATATAAATGGTCCTGGCGCAATGTCCATGCCCGGTATGCTGTAGGTAAAAAATGTGGCTGGCGTGGTGGACACTGCTGGTGCTGGCGCTGTTGTTGTGAGCGTCGTGGCTAATGCCATTGTGGATCCCGCCAGGGCAGCTGTTGTGGGTCCTCCGGATGCGAGGCCCGCCAGCGCCATCGCCGCCGAGGATGACGAGGACATAATTGTTGTTGCGGCTGGCGTTGGCAGTGTTAGATTACGCAGGTCCATCTTCGGCCGGCTGGCTGACTCGCCTTGGCTGCTGGGCGTCCCCTCCTGCGAATGAATTAATGCGGAACAGGCATGACCATGAATGGAATCGGAGGGATCGGAGGCATTGCAGGACTCGGGGGTCCGGCAAAACAAAAACCCAAGACTCGCGTCGGGGCCAGGGAGAATGTTGTAAAATATTTTCGGAATTTTATGTTCCAATTATGCATTCATATGTACGTCCCTGTGCTGCCTTGCAGGCTGGTCCCAAGTCCTGGTTTCCTGGGTGCCTGGGTTCCTGGGTCCCGAAACCCCGGCAAGTAACTAACTGGGGCCCAGTTGCTCGCTGGGACCATGTGACATTCACGAAATTAATGAATATTGCAGCTCCGTGAGGAATTTTCACATATTTTGCACACAAATTAATTTTGCGGTTCCTAAATGTGGTTTATTAAATACGGAGTGACCCATTTTGGGTTAACCTAGGGTTGGCATTACATTAAGGTTAGCCACATTTCGTATTCGTTTCTATGCTGAGACTCCTATTAGGGGAATGTTGTCAGGGTTGGGCCATATTTTGACCTATGTCCATAAGATCTGAACGAATGACAGTTTAGAATAAGTTTATACATTTTTGGAAAGGTACAAGCGAGAGGAAGAGTTCACCAAAAATAGAGAATAAAAAAACAGAAACAAAAGAAGTTATAGGCGTTTGAAAAAAAAAAAAAATGTAGTCAGCGTTGGGCCATGTAGTCAGGTTTGGGCCACCTTCAGAAAATCGTTGACAATATCGTAACGTGGTGGAATAAAATTGAATTCAGGTTCATCTGACATTATTTTGTTCATTTATTTAATTATTTGGGATTTTACAGTAAATAAAAAATTATTCAGAGTTGTTTTTTCGTTTGTAGCGAGAAACACTAAGGAAAAAGATAAAAATGATTCATCTTCTTTCAATCCATCAAAATATTTTTTTGAGGAAATCTATTTAATTTATTTTGCATATTTTTGCTACCAAAAACTTAAATATTACAACAAAAATCGAAAATACACGAATAAAATGTAAAAATTATGATGGCCCAAGCCTAACTACAAGAGTGGCCCAACCCTGACGACATGCGGTATTAGTCTATTATGGTATGATATAGCCAAACTATATCTAACAATGAAACTATATCTTAGTATTTTGTAATATAACAACTATATAACGTATTTTTATGTTCACTTTGCGGATGACATGTTGTAATCTTGTGTTATTCCACCTTTTCGGCCAGGTTAAAAAAACTTTTTCGAGCACTTTTTTTTCACAGAACAACGGCACGTAGAAAAATGAAATCCCGAAATAAGTTGTCACGTGGAAAGTTTCGAGTGACCGATAGAAGTTTCTAGATACCCACTAACAGATGGTACTAGAACGAATATTCAAAATATTGAGATGGCCCAAGCCTGACAACGGCCCAACCCTGACAACATTCCCCTACTGTTTGCCTAATGAAAAAGTTAAGTAAGTGATGATGCTGTTTTATTTGCCCGGCAAAATTAATTATAATAATACTGCGATACTAGTGTAATAATAGCTTTAATAAATATTACGTATACGCACTACCTACTATTATTCAAGATACCTCTTTATAATATTAGTATAGATTTAACTTCTGATTAGCTCGAAATGATTTTTTTAAAATCCTAATTGAGTTTTTTGTCACTACATAAAACACCATTGTGTTAAATTGAAGAGCAGCCATCGCATGTTAAGTATACGCGGCGTATGACAGAGCAGCTTTCCTGTCAAGGTTCCGTTCCATTTAATTGGCGTCCCTGAATGCTGCCTTGAATTGAATTCTTCACCTCCTAATTCTATTAAATTCATTTTTCCTTTTGTTGCTATCTCGCGCTGTCTTTGCCTTTTTCAATGTTGTCAACACTCGGTCGACAAAAAAGCGAGCAGAAAGCCACGAGACGTCTCTCTTCCACCGCCCGTAGAACATACATCAATGGGTAATGACTTTCAGAGACTGTAGAACTACTCTTTCTGTGTCTTCTCTTTTCTCGTTTTCTGCTCTGCAGTGGACGTCTCTTTCGGGACTGAAGAAGAAGTACGGACACCCCGGGCAGAAGCCCCTCAAGTTGCCGCTGGAAAACCCAACTCATTTGTTTTCCTTGACAATACGCCGTTCGCCGTTCTCAGTTCTCCGTTTGCCGTTCTCTGTTCGCCACTTGCCGTCTTTATCGCCATTCACGTTGTTAGTTGGCCAATGGCCATACTAATTGCTCTGCCAGGGGACTTTCGGAATTAGAACAAACCAATACAGATGGCTGGCCAAACTTAAATAGTCTTGGGCGAGAAAGTGGGTCATTAAAACTCGATACCCGATGCATCGGGTGGGTTTTCCACTGGCTCCTCACTTACAAGCCCGTGTGTGAACTGCCTTACCACACCAGCTTTCCATCCACACACACACACACACACAAACACACAAGAGTCTTGCTGCATGTGCGATTATGTTAGCCAAGTGGACACGAGTCAAGGCGCTCGAATTCGCTGGCCAAGCTCTTTCGAAGGCAACTCGATACGCAGTGTGCGGACTTGTTGTCGGCTATTATCTCCCTATTATTGTAGCCATTGCTCCGCTTGCTCGGAAGATATTAGAGGGCCGTTCGATGATAACAGGCGGAGTGTAGTGGCAGGGTTCAATGCATTGGGTCACAGCCAGAAGGGCTTTCGGTGCGGCTTAGAGTGGAGTTATTCATACTGCTCTGCAGTGGGCCAGAGATTAAGTCTGTTAAGTAATGGAAAGGTTTAAGGTTGAAATGTCCCCAAAGTAAGCGGGTGAAAACATGAAGTAAGTATCGCAATTCAATCATATGCAACCAAATAGTATCACATAAATTTAAAGCGAACGCAAAGTCAGCTGCCTGCATTAAATATAATGAGCCAGACTTAACGCCCCAGTTTGCGCTAATGCCCCGGATTCGATTAATTAACAAATTGCACGCCAAATGAACTTACGCACCTCGTTTGGGTCCCAATTAATTGATTGATGTCGATGAGTCGAAGCCCTTTCCCTCCTTCTTTTCCCACTTTTCCCCTCCTTTCCCTTCTCCCTCTCTCGCTGAACACTCGCACACACTCTACACACTCGAATATGGTGTGATTATGGGTTTGACTTTGCGAACCATGCTTTTAATTGAACGCTATTTAAATTCGATTGCAATTAGTTTGATATGTTGATTCGTGTCGTTTATTTGAACATTCCGTTACCGAAGCCGAAATTGAGTTGCTATCGATTCGTAATTGAACACATTTGAAAACGCGCTTTTGCCCACGCTTACTGACCGTTTGCGATTTGCAACTATTTTTCGATGTTTACACTGCGTGCAATCAGCCCGACAATTATCAACCAATTAATTATTCATTTTCACATAATTAGCAATGGCGATGGGTGTGTATTATATATGGTGTGTCCTGGCTCGATTTTCTCTGATTCTCCGATTTTACAACACAGCTCGACCAGCGCCGCTCGACGACTGAACAGTAAAGAGGTTGCAGGTCCAAATAATCAGCGAAGAAAACCTAGAAATTTTCCCTTTTTTCCTACTTGCATTAACCAAACAGCGAGTGAAAGTGGACAAGAGGCGTGTGGTGAAAACTGCATTGTTGGTTGGGGAACATATCGTACACGTGCTGCTGAGGCGGGAAAAAGTCAACCGATTAATAATAACTCAAAGGTAAAAATGTCATTTGCCAGATAATGAGGAACTCACTGTTTCAATATTTTGCTAAGCCCCTCGAGAACTTCGCCTTAGTTCGCAGGTTATCCTACACAACCCGGCTAAAAGCTCTTTAGTTTCGGAAAAATTGCGAATGTATCTCATAAGTACTAACGACCAATTTCGCAGTTTTTGTTTGTGTTGGCGGCAGGCGCCTTGAGCTTTGCATTAAGTAGACTTTACTTTAAAGTTGCATCAACAGCCACGCGGCGGCAGACAAAGTTTTTTCATCGCTGAAAGCCAAACGCGGAGCGTGCTAAAGTTAAGCGCGAAAAGTGGAGGAGGAGGCGTCGTCATTTTCCCGGCATCGTCATTTTCCTCAACATATTGTCAGCGCTCGCTGCGGGAGACGACAACAAAAATGTAAACGACAACGACAACGACAACGACAACAGCAACGAAAACGAAAACGAAAACGACAACGACAACGGCTGGGGAGCGCCTTCAGTGCCTCCGTTCCAGAAGTGCCTTCCATGGGTAAAATTCAATTTGCCTTTGATTTATGCATTTTACGTCAGATTTGCACGCCTGCACGAAGAGGCTTTCGAACTTAAAGCCTGAAATGGAAGGGCCGCTCCCAGCCGGAAAGAGTCGCCGAGGTGCATCAGCCGGGCAGCATTGCTATCACCGCATTCACTTCCGGTCTTTTGGGTCTCTGTGTGCAACACTCGTCCTTTGTGCGGTGTATCAATGCCAGTCCCTGCCACAAATGCCTCATGAGGCACTGCAAATGCAGTCGCCTGGGGCGAGAAGGACAAGAGCGTTGAAGGTGCATAGGTAGACTGAAATATCGATTGTTGACTGATTTTCGACCGTACTCCTTTCAGTGCATCTGACAGCTTTCGAAGATAAAAGGAAGTTCTTTAAAAAAGTTGATGTACCACAATTCTGCTTTCATTCATCGCCATTCGATACATCACCTGATATACAGACCAACTCTTGATTCAGTTTACTATCTATCGTCGCTTTATTTGATACTAGGAATACGGTACAGAAAAGGCTATACAAACGAAAAGGTTTGTATTCAGTAATATTAGTAGAAAACTCCTTTACAGAGTAACAATTCCGAACTGCCTTTTGGTAAATTTACGCGAGACTGTAAAACGTATAAGCTTTCCGTAATCCTGTAACCTTTTGTAAGATCCTGATTATTTTTACAAATTTACGAGACCAACTAGAAAGGGAGAGAGAAGCCAGGTCCTGCCCAGGGTTACTCGGTGTTCACAGCCGGAGAGCGACATGATCGTCTCTTTAATCCAGTCCTGGTAGTACAGGAAGCTCAGGAACTGCATGGCCCTGCCGCCGGAGCAGCCGAGGTGTCCGGAGATGAGTCCGAAGAGCGCCCCCTTGCAGATGAGCGGTCCGCCCATGTCCCCGGCACAGGTCATGCCGTCCGCGTCGGGCTCAACGCAGATGTTGTAGTCCGCGAGGAAGGTCTCGAATTGCTCCTCGCAGAGCGAGGGCGGTCTCACGATCACGTCCAGGAAGAGCAGCTCGTCCGCATAGGGGCCGTGCTGCGACAGAAGGACAGTGGACAGGTGGTCAGGACCTTCTGTGATTAGAGAGGGACAGCTCACCTCGTATATCTGCCCCCAGCCAAGGGTGACGCAGGTGTCGCCATAAGTGACGTTCGCCTTCTTGCGCATGAGCAGCGGCAGGACTTGGCGGTTGACGTTCTGGATGCGCTTGGAGAGCCGCAGGATGGCCAGGTCGTTCTTGGTGTAGCGCTCGTACTCCGGGTGGACCACCAGGCGGTCCACGCTCCTGCTGTCCGCATCCGTGTAGGTGGACAGTCGCTTCACGTGGCCGTAGATCACCCGGATGCCGCGCGGGTTCATCGAGGCTTTGTAGCGACTGTGGGAGAAACGAATCATTGGAGGGACTCTGGATTGGCATCCGGAACGGGGCTCCATAACTCACTCCGTGAGGCAGTGGGCGGCGGTCAGGACCGCGCGACTGCTCACCAGGACTCCGCTGCAGAAGTGGTTATCGCCCCGGTGCCTCACGTAGTTCTGGGTTCGGATCGAAACCACGTGGCGGGCGAGCCGGTTGCTTTTCGGCCTGTAGCCACCGGCTATCAGCATCTCGAAGGACTCGTCGCTAATCTCGCCGATGACGCCGCGACCGGCATTGACCACCGATCTGCACAGGATAACTCCCAAGAAAACAATCACAATTTGCATGGTTTCGTTCGTTTCGCAGCTCCAGTTTGAAGTTGAAGCTTATGTAAATGACTAATGGGTTATCTAAAGGAAAGGAAGGAATTGGCTTTTCCCACTATGATGGCTAAGTTAAAACGAAAAAAAAAACTGATATTAAGTAAACAGCAATAGAAAAGCCGAAGGAAGTAAGCACTTTTCCTTACCATGTGCCATGAGTCGTTTCTGTGGCAAGGCAAATATTTAGCAGCTGACACTCGTTGTGAGTGGCAGATGAGGAGCTCCGGGCGGTCGGGCATAATGCAATATTCAGCCCCCGACAAATTAAATTCAAATTGTGGACGGATGCAAATTTAATGAAACGCTGGCGGCGAGCGGCAAAAGCAAAGGCAAAGCAATGGCAAAGGCAAAGGCATCAGCGTTGGCAATGGCGACGGCCAAAACCAAAACCAAAGGCGGAAAGCCGAGACCAGAAACCAGAAACCAAAGCCGAACAACATGGGACAGGCGCAATAACCAAAATTAAAGCCGCACTAATGAGCAGAGACAATCCCGAAACTCCGAAAGAGTGGCGCAAATGTGCCAACTACCGGCTTGCCAAAAAGTGGGCGGCCTGACCGCTGTGGGGCGTGGCAGCCGCTGCTGGCATTGTGGCCACTGGATGTGGATGTGGATGGGGATGTAAATGTGAATGTGCTGGCATGCAGATGCAAATGCAGCTAGCAAGTGATTTTGGCCAAAGTTAAAGTGGTTTTCCCCAGTTGCGTCGAAATGCGCAGGAAGTCACGTTCCCACTTATGCTGCAAAATGAGCCAGTCCGATTTGAGTTCGTGCCCAAGTCGGGTTCTTTAATCAGGAGTTCGAGTTGCTCGGCTCAGGGGCTCTGGCTGCCCTCCGCCGACTTCGGTGGCCGTCGGTGGGTCAGCTCGGCGACGGGCAGGAAGCCGGAGTCGCCCAGGCAGCGCAGGGTCACATAGCCCGAGGGCCACACGGTCAGCCAGGTGATGGAGCCGTGGTGCAGGTTGAGCCGCGTCCAGGCGGCCGGCGGCAGCTGCAGGGCCCGCAGCACCAGGTAGCGGATCACGTTCGAGTGGCCCACGATGAGCAGGTGCGAGTCGTGCTGCTGCTCCGGACTGGCCCGGAAGAAGTACCGCCTGAAGGCGGCCTCGATCCGCGGCCCGTCGCGCTGCAAGGCCAGCTCCAGGCTGCGGGGGCTCTTCTTCGAGGGCGGGTCCCCCGGGTAGGGCGTTCCCTCGGGCAGCAGCGTGCAGCGCCTGAGCTTCAGCGGGTCCAGGTTGAGCCGCTTCAGGATGATCATGGCCGTCTCCTCGGCCCGCGGCATCGTCGAGGCCACCACGTGGTCCCAGCTGAGGTCCATCTCCCGCAGCCGCTCGCCCGTCCGCTCCGCCTGCCGTTTGCCCAGCTCCGTCAGGTGGCTGCCCGCCGCGCTCCTCGTGTACTCGCCGTGGCGCACCAGGACGATGTGTCGCAGGGCGGAGGCCTCCTGCCCGCTGGCCACCTTCTGCAGCTGCGGCTTCTGCAGGTCCCAGTGGTGCTGCCAGGCGCCATTGGCCAGCGGCTCCGCTTCCCTCTGGCCATCTCCCCCGCTCCACTCGAGGAAAAGGAGGACCTCTGGCCATCGCAAAGCCGCAGGCTCAAGTAGGTGACCAGGGATCCGCAGGTCATGGCCCCCAAAGATCTCCAAAGTGCGGAGTATCTCATGGCAGACGGGGAGTCTTGTTGTATTTGTCACGGGTTCGGATTTGACTGAAGAAGTCTCTGATACTTTGTTTCAAACTTAAAATCAATTCATGACTTCTATTGTAACTACATATTAGAAAGAGCTGTTCGATAATAAAGTGGTATTTACCTAAAACTGAATTATAAAATTATAAATTTTGCTTGACCCAATAATCATCAGTAAATCATATAACAAGTTATTCAAATGCCATTTATTACCCATTAGGTAACTTCTAAGGAATCAGTGAGTTATTGGCTTAATTGCATTGCAATGCAATCAACTTTGACTCCTCAGTGGCTTAGTCGCACTTTTAAAAGTTTATACAGATTTGTGCCGGCCTCGAGTTTCCCTTCTTGATTAGCATTCAAGACAAAGAATAAGGGTTAAAAGAGTTAGGGAAGTGGCCGCTTGAAAGGTTTTGGTCGGCCAACTTTTGTGTCAAAGTTATTTTACCCTCGGCAGGATACTCGAGAACAACTTTCGAGCGGCAAACTTTACGCCCTCCACAATCGGAGAGCGAAAAGCCGAACAAGTTGGCAAGGTGATGCCTCGGAAAACTGTGAACTGTGAACCATTCGAATGGGAAATCTCCTGCGGGCGGAGGCCCTTAAAGTCCCATGCCGCACGGTATTTAATTTCTGCCAGTCAGCCAGGAAGGGGCGACTGGCCCCATCGCTGGCTAAATAACTTCGGTCAAGTTTTTGCTTCATTTAATTTCAGCGCCGGGCAGAAATGCAAGGCCCGCATCACCGGACCACCGGGATATCCACAAGTGGCTGGCCATGACGGCTTTTTCTGCCAGTCGCTCAGTCTGTTGGCCGTGGGATTTGGCCTAATGAAGTTGACTGAAACTTTTGACATGCCTCCGCCGTCGAGGGACGTCCGAAGTTGAGAAGTTGGCGTAGGTTCAACCCCATCGATTGGTGACCGCACGGAATTGAAATTAAGCGAGTTCCCCGAACAGATCGGGCTAATGCCGGTTTATCTGTTCCCGAGAGAGGGTTTTGTGGCAGAGGGAGCTTGCCAGCTTTTCACCCTGACACCTTTATTCAGCCAAGTGCACAGGGAAAAGGGCTCCTCCACTCATCGAAAAATGTAAAGTGGTCTTTTTCAAGATATTTAGACATGCAATTAACAAAAGCAAATTAAAAATTCAATAGCTCCTTTCTGAATATTAAAGAATATTATTCAGTACAGGTTAAACTAAATAAATTCAAATTATATTTGTGTAATTGTTGGTTTCTGTTTGATGATGCACTTCAGTTCATAACGTCGATTTCAGCCACAGTTTTCTCTGTGCACCTGCACCTGGGTTTGGCCTTGTACCCACACACACATCCACTCACTACTTGTGCGGGGTCCTCGGAATAAGCCACTTGAAGTAACCATAAAACAGATTTCGCATTGTGCGGCCTAGAAACTCTTACAAGGTGTTTGAATGAGTACGTGTGTGAAAGGCGGTGCCAGCGCCATGGTAAGTGTGAATGGCAGACAAGTCAATTTTAAGTTGTAATTCATGTGCCGAGAACTTTCTTGTGCGGCATTGAAATATTCAATGCGGGGGGCCAAGAATAAAATTTAATGCGAGTATAGTACGCAAAAGATTACAAATTTAAGATGTAGTTTTATGAAAGATTGTTTTAAGTGCGTCAAAATGGTTGACAAGCCATCCGTTTTTATGGCCTTGTGCGTGTATATCTTCCATGTTTCGCCTCTTAATTAATTGCCATCCGTTTCGGAGGAGAAACTATTTGGCTTTACACCCGACGAATGTGCAAAAGCCATCTTCATAATCACTGCAGAGAGCCTGTCCGAAGTTCCGCACTTCGGGGTAGTTTATGTTTTCAATTTCATCAGCATTAAACTGAAACGAGAACGAGAAAAGCTATTAACTTGATAATTCCAGACGAACTGAACATCTGCGGGCGAGGGGGGCGAAGCCAGCTGACACCATTTCCTTCTTGAATTTGCAAACAAATTTACACGAATTTGATTATTATTATGATGGCAATTTGCAAAAATGTCATCCTTCAAGCAAAAAGGAACGAGCGAGCGGAAATTTCTCATTGCAGAAAGTGGGGCACCAGCTCCTCCATACAGGGTGACCAGTCGCCCGGATGAAGGAGGGTCCTCCGCTCGCTCTGCTCGAATCCTTGGTCGGAGTCCTTGGCTGCAATTGTCCCGTGCAACGTGGAGTGGACTCGCACAATTCCCTTACATTCCGGGTTCCTTCTTATCGCGGTCGCCCATAATTATAGTGTTCGTCTTGGCCTCCGCCCCACTCCCCTCTGAACCCTCTTCACCCTGTGAACCCTCTTCACCCGCATCCACGTCCCTGGCCAAGTCGCAACGCATCCTGCTGCAGGATGTTCAATTTTCGCTTGCCTTTTATGTTGCCTTGCCATTTTGATTTCCTTATTTGGATTGCCGCGCAGCCATCTTTTTTTGCATTACTTTAAGTGGCCGCGACCCAGTGCCGCGCCCACTGCGCGGGCCACTGCCTCCATTTCCCAGCTAGCAAATTATCTTGCGGCGAAATCAAAAGTTTTCCTGGGGAAATTGTGTCAAGGACACGAAACGCTCGCAGGCGGATCCGAGAAATTATTGCGGAAACGGATAGCAAAGCCGCAAACATTGTTTAACTTTCATTGCCGCTTGTTGGCGGTGGTCGTGTTTGTGCTCAAATAAAAGTGCTTATGGAGCAACAACGGGGAAACAAACAAATACGAGTTGCCAATGAAAGGCGAGCGCCCCCACTGCGGCTCGACCTTGCGACTCTGTTGAAAGGATAAGCACTTTGGGGCCCCAACTTTTCGGCGAACGAATAAATATTTCATTTAACAATTTCAAGTTGGCCCGCACAAAGCAAGTGGATTTAATTTTTATTATTAAATGGGCTATTTGTTGTGAGTCGGATAAATTAAATTAATAACAGATTAAAGTAACGCACATCGCTCAATGAATTAGCTCTGAAATTGAATTCGTTTTATAAGAACTTAATGGTAGCAACTTAAACCAAATTCGGTTGATAAGCTTTATATCATTACTAGAAATTTTAATTAGTTTTACATTTGATACTATATTTTATTTGATTACTGTTGAGCATTATGGTTTTCTGCTTTCAGAATACATCCTTTTAAGCTTTATGCGGTGCAATACATCGTAAAAGCGAGTATTTCAAAGGCGCTGCAACTCGAGGTAAAAACAGCCTGCAGTTGCACTAGGTAGAAAAAGGAAAAACAGAATCGGAATGCGGAAACATAAGGATTGTGCAGGCGAGCTTAAAATATGGCTAGACCACGCACACACATGCTGCACTAAATAGCTCATACGCCATGTTGGCCCTTTGTTGACTGCCATCGTTTGTTTACGGTTTAGTGGATTAATGTTTGAGGAAAGCTAAAAATGAAAAACGGAGAACATGCCGAATAAAAGTCAGCTCAAAGAGCACCGCAAGGTAGTGTAGAAAAGCCAATGGCTGGGCAATTTGTTGGTTCTTTTGAAGTTAAACAAATCTGCATAAGGTAGGGCCAAAAGCCGTAACAATTTATGGCTTTAGCCAGGGGCTACGACCGGTTCCGGGCTTAAGTCCCGGATGAAAAACTCTCTATTTGTTTACTTTCACTGTGCTCCCCACACATTTTATATTTGTGTTTGCCAGTTGCACTTACAGTATGGCTCGTTGTTCACTTTAATTTGATTGTTATGTTCGGCTTCGGATTTCTGACTTTTAATGGAGACCTAATATATTATGCTTTAAGACTAAGTGCGTCCACTACACTCCAGTTTTGTCTTTGATTTCTGAGAGTTGCAATTAAAACTCATTTCCCAACCCATTTTGATTAGTCAGAAAGATTCAAAAGAAAAACTTGCTCACTTCAGCATTTCTGGCCATCCCACAAAACTTTTGTCCAATTAAATTTTTGGGGTTTGGTCCGCCTTTGCGGGAAAGCACTCGAAAGAAATAAAAATTACTGAAATGAGGAAACTTCGAAATGGAAGCAAAGTCGGGCCATTGGTGGGGCGATAAAACTCAAATGCATAAATGTACATATATGCATGTCCCCACACACTCGATTGTCCGGCAGATCAAAGGATTGCTGCCTCAGCTGCACTTTCGGTTCGAAGCCCCCTCGCATTACAACAATCGCCCCGGAATCGCAATAAATATCCATATTTAACAGTAATAATTCATATATACTGCCGCCTAAATCAAACTAACAAAGGCCAAAAAATACACGCACACGTTTATGTTCTGGCAATTGAACAACTCGTTGGGCGAACCCGCCATTTGGTTGTGGAATTTTATATACTATAGTATACTCGTATGTAGAACAATGCCATCGACTGGGGCTCCCTGATCAAGGGGAACATGGTGCATTTTGGGCTGGCTCCTAAGTTGGCTTCTGCCATTTGTAACAGAAGTTCTTCACACCTCCCTTGAAATCAGTTGATCTTTTAGAGTGTCGTAAAAAAAATATAAAAAATAATTAGGTATTTATAATGTTTGAGTTTCCGATTTTAGATTCATTTCTGCCAGAGCCACTCCAATAGTTTTCGTACCCTCAAATAATGTTCGTGCCCGAAAGTCATGGCAACTTTTTAAGCTGAACACACACTCGCACATCTGCGGACCAGTAAAGTTGCAATGCATTTGAATAAGTATGTTCGGGCAAGTTCAGAAGTACGGACAGTTAAGCAATGTAATCCTTGCAGCAAGGACTCGTGCTGTCGTCGCTGTGTGTGTGAGTGTGTGTGTGGGCCAGAGTGTTTTATTCTCGATTGAAACATGTCGATTGTGGATCTTCCGCCTGACTGCACTGCCTCGTTTTAAGTGTTGTTTTTCGCAAAATACATCCAAGTAACATTTCGGTTAATTTATGACTTACTCCTGTCCGCTCATAAATACGGGAAAGTGCAAATGTTTACGTTCCGAATGAATGCCGGGGAAGGCAGCTAACTCGCAGCTAACTTGCAGCGCGCTGTAATTACATTTTACGGCAATTAAGAGTCACAAAACTTTGG